AGTTATACGCGTTCAAAGCTGATGCTTCATTTGGAGTCCATTCAAAGCGGACTGTGCATCACGTGCGGCTGTGCACCACGCGGGGATGACCCTTAATTTATGACGCCCGAAGCTCGCGTCGACACCGCGTCACCTAAACGCGTCTCCGAATTGGTGCTGGAGGTAAGAGGTTGCGGTCATCCTACACAACACATCTCGGTTGAGACCACCAGAACATCCAATCATCTCATGCAATGCTTGGGATATTGACCAAATCAGCATCGAGTGTGCCTGCGAAGCGGGGTCTACAAGATGCACCCAACTCCCGACAAAACCAGCAAGTGTCGCCATTGAAGAAGATCAAGCTTGAAGATGGCAAACCTATTGTCCATGCTGTACCACGAAGAGGACTCAATGGCAGTATAGTCGGCTCCAGCCAGCCCAAGAGCAAATTTGAGGAAGAGGTTTTGGAGAAGCTCACGCAGGATATCGATGCGCTCAAACACAAAAATGCGGAAAAGGATCAACATTGGGCGCGGCCCAGTCTTGAAGATTTCGACCCAAGCACAAACACTCTCTGCTTTCAGGCCATCGATGCGGAGGAAGGCACTCTACACGGTGGCAGAGGAACGGTCAAATTGTTTGGTGTCACTGAAGACGGGCACTCAGTGGTCCTACATGTGACCGACTTCTTGCACTACCTCTACGTGGCAGCACCTGTATCGTTCACAAAAGCCGACTGTGAGCCATTCAAGATGTTCCTCGAATCAAGCCTAGCGCAGCACTCGACTGCGATACATTCAGTGCAGATTGTGCTTCGAGAGAACATGTTCGGGTTTCAAGGCAATCAAAAGGGGGCTTACTTGAAGATCACTGTTACGGATCACAAAATTATCAATCGACTACGGACAACAATTGAGAGCGGCAATGCCAACTACAAGGGCCTCTGGAAAGGAGCCGATGGTGGCATTCTCACATTCGACAGCATCCAATATGTGCTACGATTCATGGTGGACACAAAGATCTCGGGGATGTCCTGGGTTTCGGTGAAGCCGGAACATTATCACATAATACCTGAGCGCGACCGGCATTCGCAATGTCAAATTGAGGCGCACTGCCACTATCGCGATATTATAGCCCACCCCATCGATGGTGAGTGGGCCAAGATGGCACCTCTTCGCATTCTCAGTTTCGATATCGAGTGCGCTGGTCGCAAAGGTGTTTTCCCTGAGGCCAATGTGGATCCAGTGATTCAAATTGCAAACGTCGTCACTCGATATGGAGAGGAGAAACCTTTTGTGCGAAACGTCTTCTGCATGGACACTTGCAGTCTAATCGTCAACACCCAAATTTTCGAATTCGGCTCGGAGGAGAAAATGCTCATGGCTTGGAGGGACTTCTTGGAAGAAGTGGATCCGGATGTAATCATTGGCTACAACATCTCCAATTTCGACTTTCCATATCTGCTGGATCGTGCAGCTCATCTGAAAGTGGGCCGATTTCCTTTTTGGTCAAGATTGAAAAATGTCAAGTCGATCGCAAAGGAAACGAACTTCTCCAGCAAACAGATGGGCAATCGAGACACCAAAGCCACGAACACAAACGGTCGGTTACAGCTCGATCTCTTGCAATTGGTGCAGCGAGACTACCAATTACGCAGCTACACCTTGAATTCCGTCTCTGCGCACTTTCTCAACGAACAAAAGGAAGACGTGCATCATACCATGATCACCGAGCTGTACAATGGAACACCTGAATCAAGGCGAAGATTGGCGGTGTACTGTCTCAAGGATGCTTACCTGCCTCAAAGACTGATGGACAAACTCATGTGTCTTGTGAACTATACCGAAATGGCGAGGGTCACGGGTGTTCCATTCAATTTTTTACTTTCCAAAGGTCAGCAGATCAAGTTCATCAGCCAGCTTTTCCGGAAGGCGCTTGAACAACAACTCGTGGTTCCTAATCTCCGGAGTGAGAGTAGTGACGAGCAATACGAAGGCGCCACCGTCATTGAACCCACAAGAGGGTATTATGATGTCCCCATCGCGACGCTGGATTTTGCGTCCCTTTATCCCAGCATTATTCAGGCCCACAATCTCTGCTATACAACTTTACTGAACAAGAACGCAGTGGAAAAATTGCAATTGAAGAAAGACGAAGACTACATCGTAACACCAAATGGCGATCTCTTTTGCACCGCGAAGGTCAGAAAGGGTCTCCTCTCCCAGATCTTGGAGGAGCTTCTCGGCGCACGAAAGCGTGCCAAAAAAGAACTCGCCGTCGAGACAGATCCTTTCAAGAAGGCCGTGCTCAATGGACGACAACTTGCATTGAAGATAAGTGCCAATTCCGTGTATGGCCTGACAGGTGCTACGGTGGGCAAGCTTCCTTGTTTGGCCATTGCAAGCAGCACCACCGCATACGGGCGTCAAATGATCGAGAAGACCAAAGAAGAAGTCGAAAAGCGATATACCATCGCGAATGGGTATACGCACGATGCTCAGGTCATCTATGGCGACACGGATTCCGTCATGGTCAAATTCGGTCCCAATGATCTTGGAAAAGCAATGGAACTTGGTCAAGAAGCTGCAGATTTCGTGTCAAGCAAATTCCTCAAGCCGATCAAACTGGAATTCGAAAAGGTATATTTCCCATATCTCCTCATCAACAAGAAACGGTATGCCGGGTTATATTGGACCAATACAACCAAATACGATAAGATGGATACCAAAGGAATTGAAACTGTTCGTCGAGACAATTGTCGCCTGGTGCAGAATGTTATTGAAACAAGTTTGCGCATGTTGTTGATTGATCAAGACGTTCAAGGCGCTCAAGAGTACGTTGTCATCGCGCACCATCACTGTCATACATACTGACCATCTCTCAGCTATGTCAAGGAGACCATTTCCGAGCTGCTTCAGAACAGAGTGGACATGTCGAATCTTGTCATCACTAAAGCGCTGACAAAGTCTGACTACGCGTCTAAGCAGGCCCATACCGAGCTTGCGGAGCGCATGCGTAAACGCGATGCTGGTTCCGCACCTGCTCTGGGCGATCGCGTTGCATATGTCATGGTCAAAGGTGCAGCCAACGCTAAGGGCTACGAAAAGTCAGAGGATCCCATTTTCGTCCTCGAGAACAACTTGCCGATCGACACCAAGTACTATCTGGACAACCAGCTCGCGAAGCCTCTGGGCCGTATCTTCGAGCCGATTTTAGGAGAGAAGAAGGCGGCATCTCTGCTGACCGGCGAACACACGCGCTCAATATCTGTCGCGGCGCCGACCATGGGCGGCTTGATGAAGTTTACAAAGAAGACAGAGACGTGCCTTGGCTGCAAGAAACCGCTGGTCTCGAAAGACGAGAAGGGTGGCGCGGTTGGAGAAGAATGCCGACCGCGGTTTGCAGAGTTGTACCAACGCTCGCTTAGCAAGGTTTCAGAGTTGGAAGTCCGATTTGGAAGGCTATGGACTCAGTGCCAGCGGTGTCAGGGCAGCATGCACAACGAAGTCATCTGTTCTAGCCGGGATTGTCCGATCTTCTACATGCGAATGAAGGCTAAGAAGGATGTTGAAGATGCTGGGAAAGAGTTGGATCGATTCGACCGGGACGCAACACTTTGGTGAACCACCTTGGTGCCGAATGCTTCAATCATATCACGCATGCAAACTACTTTTCTAGGTAATATTGGCTTCTCTGAATGGTGGAATTTTGCGAGCAAGAAAAGAAGACGACGCAGTTCACGCGGGAGGCAGTGCGCTCGTCACCCAGAAGTACGCTGCAACTGGACAAATACTTTATTCAATATGAGAATCTGCCACTGCAGCTCTGAACTGAAATGTTTGCTTTCTTTGAGCCAGGCATATCGCATTTTTGGAGACAACTTGGAATGAGTGATGTTTACAGATGTCACGTGATTCCGCGTCAAGTTCCGCACAACGCGTGAGTTGTGCAAGCCGAGGACCAAAGCGATCGTCCTCGAAACCGGCCATTGTCGCCAGTCACAAGTGCAGCCACCAACGACTCACGAGGAAGCTGTACTACATGTAGTCGAGACTCACGCTCAGTACGGTACGCTATTTTGAGACCTATGGTCACTTGAGTTCTGGTGAAGCTAGGCGTGCCGGTGCTGGTATTGCGCACATCGGGCTAGCCAGGGGGGCACTTCATCCTTGTCAGGGCCCGTCAACAGCGAATGCGCCTCAAGAACCCACACATGATCGTGAAAGCATTGTGTCGAGGATTGAAGGCTGAGAACATTCCCTGTACAGTTGTGTAACGCGTGGACAGCGCCTGAATTAACATTAATGGTCATACATGGGAGCGATAGCATCGACGCTCTTGTGCAAAAGTTCCTAACATTTGTTTGGTGCTCCAGTGGGCCAGTTTCATTCACTGTTTCCCGCAAGTGTTCATCAATGTCTTGGCATACGCCGAGGACAAATGCAAGTGGCGTTTCTGCCAGCCCTGGAGAGCTCAAGTCCTGCGGTATGCAGGAGTGAAATCTCGACGGCAGCTTCAATGAGGGCCAGGCGCAAGTTGAGCAATAGTGTGTACAGCTTGTGTTACAGCGCTTCGCTTCCTTGGTATACATCAATAACGTATTTCAACACCTTGTGCTTCCGATTCCCGGCAAACTCCTCGTAGCGAGTGCAATTACACGTGCATACATAGACAATGCTCGTTAAAGGGGCTTCCTGCATCATGTGGGCGTGCAACCAACCTTCGTTCAATCCGTGGTCGGGAGACGACAAGCCTGGAGCAGCAACCGTCCACAAGTTCCGAGCATGTCAGCTGGCCCGGCGCGCCGCTTGGAACCACATTCCAAAACCACATATCCACAGCAGAGTCGTGTTCAGGAGTTTGTACGTGGTCGATCCAACGGTCGACGTCATTCGGACGATCTGGGCGCGAAGCGTGGACGACTGGAGCCAGTGACAGTATGTAGCCGATGGCAGCCATCAAGCCTGATACTGTGCCCACGTTATCCATTTGTCCGTCTCGAGACCAAGCATACCTCGTAGGTGTGTGCTTGTTAGCTGATTCGTGATATGGGCTGACTGGTGTCAAGATGTTTGCGTAAAGCATGCCCGAGGCAGCAAGAACGCGAGCGATTGGCGGCCCAAGTAGCCAATGACCTGGAGGACGAAGTCAGCGGCTCAGCGGGCAGCGGCTAGTAGGGGGCCGTCCGAGCGTTGAGTCGGTCAAGATCGCGCACTGGTAGCACGAAGAGGAAAGTCAAGGTGTCAGGTTAGATCGCTTTGCTAGATGAATACGAGTCATCCCGGTGGTCACGACTGGATTGCGCAACACAGATCTGGGGATCTCCTTATACACCGAGGGAGTTCTCGTTGTTGTCGTTGTTGGATTGTCCACTACTGGCCATTGAAGCAGCTTCCAGTCGCTCAATCAGGATTTCAAAGCTATGGCAGCACTGAAGACCAGTGGAGATAGCGCACGAGGGGCTGAACGGAAACCGAGTACATATGAACAGAAAGGCATACAGAGCTGGGACGGGCTGGACATTTGCACAAACTTCCCGACATCTCAAATGACAAGGCACCGCAGCACGAAGTCAAGAATACTCCCTCGCGAAAGACGTGCATTATCCCATCTGGCGAGTGAGAGCCCTGATCCCGACGAGAGCGCCATTTTTTGAGATGCCCACGGAGGAGCGATTATCGGTTCACGTCTGGCATCTGCCATCGCTCTTGTCAACCAAATCTCGGTCTCTGTCCGGTCCTGCTCGCAAAGGGCTGGTACCTACCTAGTAGTGTCGTTTGATCCACTGAATCTGTTCGCCAGTGGCTGCTTCTAGGTTGACTCCTGCCAGTTGGAGGTAGACTTGGGCGTATGGTACCGCATGGGCTGCACAGCAGGATACGTACGTGTAGACAACACCTGGGCAAACATGCACTTTAGGGTCGATCAAGGGGTGCCTAGCCTCGTTGAGGCCGATCGTGCCACGATGTCGACCCGCAACCCCGTTGGTCAACCACGCTCGTCGGGTGTGTCGTGCCACTTTTGAGGGTTGGTGTGTCTCATCCCAATTACGACGAGGCATTCCATAGAATACACGCATGACTGGAGATGCCCTGGACCTATCGTCCACGCTGGCTCTCGTGGTTGTCCACAAAACTAAACTCTCACCGTCGCCCGTCTCACCGCGTGCCCACTGCCGCCGAGCGCGCCCCTCTTCAGATTTTCTCTCTTCCGTTGTGCTGACCGCGCACTGACGCGACGCGAACCACGAGCTATCCCCGATCCTTTTTAGCCACTCCACCGCGACCTGTGTGCGTGCATGCCTCCCTCCGAGTGACCTCTATCCCTATCCTTTCTCTGGCCTTGCAGTGCATTTTTCGTGTTTCTCGCCTTTTGTTGTTGTTTGTTTTGCGTTTTGTCTCCTTCTTACGAGTGGACTGTAGACCTTCCTCCGCTGTCCCCGCTCCGAGCCAGGTTTCCCTACCGTGCCTCACCAACTGTCCGCTGGTGTCAAAGGCGTCGTGAGTAATGTGCACTACCCCTGGACTTTGCGCTTGTCACCTGCGTGCCGTGTTCGCCCGCCGGTGTGACTCTCACCTTTGCCCGTCTCTCTCCGCCTCCTTTCTTGTCGGAGAGATCCACTCGACTGCCGCCACCGCAATCACCATCGCCATCGCCATTGTTGGTGAAGCCGTGTACACACTGCGCACAGAGGCGATTGTCTAGCGCAAGAGTACACTTTCGTAGGTACCGTACCATCTGGCTAGTGGAGAGAGATGTGTCTACCGTGCGTATGATGGTGTCGTGTAGGACCGTAGACTGTGCGTTGCCGCTATCCCTCCCGCCCGCTTGTCCGCGCACACGACGTTTACGGCGTTCGCTGCGAGAACTGTTTTCTGCCACAGATTCATCACTGCCACCTCCACCTCCACTCCAGCTTCTGCCTGTACCCTGTTCCGCTCCCACCTCGCCCGTTGGACAGGTCTGGTCATCCCGACGTCTGCCATCGTTCGTCTCTCCAGCCTGCCGTTTCTTTCTTTCCCTCCTCCATCATCACCATCATCGTCGTTGTCGCCGCCCCCGCTGCTGGGCTCTTACGACTTGCCACGGATTGAATCGCAAACACTCTTTCGATGCCTTCACTTTGATTTGCTTCTACTAATCTCCTTTCCTCTTTTCATTCCTTCTTGCGAGCCGCCTTGCTCCTCCGGTTGCCGTCACTCTTTCCGGCACCGCGTCATTCTTTCAAAGGTCATTTTTTCGTCCTTTCTGGATCGCTATCTCATATCACCGCCGTGGAAACGCATTCCAGACGGACGACATTGTCTACACCACAACTGCATTCGAAGCGGAGACTGCTGGACCCAAGAGTTGTTGTCCATAAGCCACCTGGTCGTGGACATTCTGCGGAAACTTCCTTACTTCATCGCTATTCGGTCATTCACTGCAGGATCTGATCCGTGTAATCCAACTCGCGGACCGTTCCATCACACTCTTTCAACTTCTGACGACGTGGAGACGCATCGACCTTGATCACTCACCACCTGCTGGTCTCGTTCACAGTGCTGCAGCAGCCGCCGCTGTAACACCAATACTTGGCGGCCATTCACGACCACGACTCCGGCGAACATGGCCGAAATAATGCCCCCCCAACAGTCGACACAAATGGAGATGACATCCCCATTGAGTGCAACACAAATTTCAATCAATGGCACAGAAAGTGCGAGTCTGCTCGCCAACAATGCCGCACGGCGCCCGCCACGGAAGAGCACGCTTACACAGCAACAAAAAAATCAAAAACGACAGCGTGCTACGCAGGATCAATTGATGACCCTCGAAGTTGAGTTCAACAAGAATCCTACCCCCACGGCCGTGGTGAGAGAGCGAATAGCTCAGGACATCAACATGACTGAGCGCTCGGTCCAGATTTGGTTTCAAAATCGGTAGGGCAACACTCTGTCAGTAGCCACAATCAAACAGTACTAACATCAATCCTCAGACGCGCAAAAATCAAGAACATTGCAAAGCGAAGCATCGAAAGCGGAGAGGATTGCGAACACATCCCCGACTCAATGCGACAGTACCTCGCAATGCAACCGTACGGCCAGGCGAAAGGCTTCGCGCCGGGTCTCCTTGGTCGTGGTGGACCAGCGTTCTCTCCTTATGGTGGATCCGCTCTCGGCATGAATGCTGACGCCACTTCCGGCAAAGTCGTCATCCAACACTTCCACTGTCGTTCTCTCACCATCGGTACGTGGCGCCGGATCGGACAGAGCTCAATGGATCTCGTGATCTTCTACTCTCCAGACAAAGCCTGCGTCACATACTACATCAACAACGAGAGCGCAGGCTACAAGATTGAGTATCCTTTCGCATGGATCAAGAACATTACGCTTGAGCAGGGTGACGTTTCCGCCGCGGCGGAGGGTTCCTCGCAGCGCTCGGGAGGACTCATCATTGAGATGACCCGTGCGCCAAAGTTTTACATGGACGGATCTGGCAGCGGCGGATTCTACGAGTGCGGCGATTTCTCCGAGGATCAACAAGCCAGCACTGTAATGGTGCACCAACTGGGCGGCCCATCCAAAGTTCTCAGCGGTCAGTTGGCAAAGCTCATCTCCCTCGAGGCTTACCAGAATCGGCACTCGATCTTCGATCAGTCTGTATTCGCAGTATCTGCCCCAGTTTCACCTATTCATCACCGCCCTGCCAGTCAGCCCAACCACATGATGCACCCACACAGTGGCATGCATCTGTTCCCACCTCACGATCCCAATGCTGGGTTGATGGGTCCGCCAGGTCCTCGTGGTCATAAGCGTCAGCGAAGTCGATCCGTGCCATGTGCAATTGACTTCTCCATGATTCGGCACCCAATGCCGTCCTTCCTGATCCAACAAGACGGCCAAGCGGCACAACAGCCACTCCAAGATCCGTCCATTTTCCATCCCGTCCCACAGCATCAACACTCCAATGGATTTGTGGCTGGCGCAACAGGCCCTCATTTGAGTCTCGACACCTCAGCCGGTTACAACATGGGGATCCCTTTCAACGGGCCTCTATCTGCTGCCTCTGCGACCTCTCCAAGCGACTTTGGACCGCCGGCATGGTTTACCGGCGCATCTCACGTTGATGGTATCCAGCCGAATCATTTGCATCCTAATTTCCAGAATGGCTTCCTCGCTGTGGACCCCGGTGCGATGCTCGGTACCAGTCACACACCACTCTCCATGGTCAGTCATGGCGATCCTGCAATTGTAGATCACTCGCCTCCATTGAGCGGTGTTGGGCGCAGTCAAAGCGCAGACATATTCGGCGGGTCGGGCGAGAACGCACAGCTCGACGAAGAAAGTTTATATCTTTCCGACGCTTTCAACAAGCAAATCGCCTTGCCGTTCAGAGGATCCGTATCGGAAGAGCCTTTCCATTCGCCCATGCCGGAGGGAATGTTCACATTTCAAACACCTCCAGGCAATGGCACAGAGATGCAAGCCCACCTGAACATGAGCGGACCTAGTCAGCCAAGCTTCCAGAGCCCTCCAGGTCAACAGCAAGACATGTCTGCTTTCGACTCGCCTTCACAGCACAACCAGGACAGCGCCATAGCCTTCTCGACCTCATCACAGGGATCTCAAGACCAAGCAGCTATGTTCAACAGCCCTAAGGACGGAGGCGTGATGTACCAGGATGGAAAGATGTATGCTAGCCCCGGGCATTTACAACAGGCTTCCGAAGAGCATGGCATGTTCCATCAGAGCCCTGTGGCTAACGGTGCCATGACCCAGAGCTTTGACATGAACGGCCAACCAATGTACAGCTTTGTCGATCCCACCAACCTTGGCCACGCTCAGCAATAGATGCCACAATTCTGTGTACAGCAACAAGTTACTGTTCAGGCACCGATTCTTTTCACGATTATTAATGCGCCATGGATCCGGGGTCATTACGACTCCTCACCGATTAAATTTACTTTGATATACCCCGCGGCTGGCTAACCGTGGAAGATTTTCATTTCTTTGGGCACCGGAGTCGATGTTATGTTTTGTCTGCTTGCCGTGTACGAAATTTTGTCCATTTCTCGCGCTCGGCGTCATCAGCTCGGGCTTCTTTCTTTTGTGCTTTTCAGCTCTCTTCACCTGAGCTGATCTTGTCCTTATGAAAATGTGCATATAATACTTCAGTTCTGGACCGCTGGGAGTGTCCAGCACCGGAAGCAACCGCCCCTGCCAATCTACCGGATGCTGGGCTGCGCACTCCTTCAGCTGATCGGCGTCGGAGGCGAGACTCGGTTGTGAAGGCGACAACAACAGGATGGCTACGATATTTTACGATGCGACTACTCTGCGCTCTCTTGCACGGTCTGCAATCGTCCCTCGAGAGCGGGACGAGTACTAGAGGCTATGCGGCGCAGATACGTGGGCTTGCACAGTGCTCTGGGCATCCTCACTGCCCAAGTCGTTTGGTGTGGTTATGGTCGAAGGCGTCTTGGGTCACATTCATCATTTATCACGCACGTACTGGCTGCGGAGTGTGCTTGTAAGATTGTAAGCGCGAAAAATGAAAGTCTTTCTCGAATGCTCTACTGCAGTACCTACCTACCTTGAGGGTCTATCGTGGATTTGCCATGCACTGTGAGTCAACTACAATCAACAAAGGGGCTATTTTGCACGTGATAGACGCTTCAATATGGTCAAAGTGATGGCGATGCCGACGATCTCGTCCAGTCGCATGCAAAGACCACTGATTAACATGCCATTCACAAAATATCGTGCAGCAGCGGGTGAGTTGTCCAGCAAATGCCTCCAGCACACACTAAGTACCTGCTAGGTACCTAGGTAGGTAAGAATGTGATCGGGGAGGGTGATGACGATTTGCGCTCGCTGCGCCGCAAGGCGCAGGCGCTTGCCCAAGTGGCCAACGATGACAACCATCACCAACACAGGGCAGAGGACACTTGCGCAGCCCTGAAGGCAGTTCTTTGTCCCGATCGTCTGCTTGGTGTCTGCTTCAGCACCAGGTAATAATAAGCTGCAAACCCTGGAATTGTAGAGGTTGCCGTCTCTGCTGTTTTTGCATAGCTTTGAAGGTTGCTATGCTGCTGGAATGCACTCGTGGTGAATTCATGAGGCTGATGAGTTCCAAGGTTGGACTGACCATCCACCCTTCTATAATTATCCAATCGACGTAACACCCGGCCCCATCCATGGATCTCGGACACTTCTTGCAATCCGTAACTTGATCCCTCCTCTTCTTTTCCTTCCTATAACTTCTCTTGCAAACACCAACCGTACCCTCTTCAATTTCTACATAACACTGATAGTGTCGAGAACAACGAGAACAATCAATTGATCGGTATCATCAAGATGGGCGTAAGTCTTTCCCTCCGAGTCGCGGATACCCCGCCGACGTCACCGTCCCGAAATCACACCCTTCGGGGACGGACGCATGTCGGGCGCACTGTTGCAAACCACCCGGACTTGCACCAAATCCACGGTGACGCGGCCGTGATCTCTGTGCGGGCGTGCAAAGCACTTCCCTGGCGCAAAATGATCACACCTGGTAGCTGATATACCTGTTCATTTCTACCTATAGTTGGCATCAAAACTCGCTGCCGCCCAAGGTGGCGCTGCGGCAATCGCCAACTACAGTGGGCAATATCCACCACAAGGGCAGCCGCAGCAATACGTAAGTTGAAACTGGCCCTCCTTCCCTCGCCTGTGGTCCCCACCAACAGTTTCATGCATGTGACGGCCTGCGTCAGTGGTGCTACAGAACTTACGTCAACCCGGCCTGGCAACCCGAGCAAACTTGATCACTCCTACGATCACTTGGGGGCATTCACTGATTACCTACGTAGCCTGGCAAAACTTCATACCAAGCTTATCCCGGTGGTCCACCTCAAGTGAGTATCGCTATCTTTCAATCATCCATCTTGCCTCCTCCTTGCTGCACCATTACTTTTGCGTTGCGATGCCTCTCGCATCGCGCCTCGCCGCCGGCGGAGCAGCTGCGCCAAACACAACGCCCTACCCACAAGGTGGTTATTCGGAGTACTCGTCACCTCCGGCTCCTGGGGGATACGGAGCATCTCAGCCTGGCTATGGTCAACAACAATACTCGCGCCCACCGCCACCACCGCCACAACGACCAGTAGCAGGTAGTTATCCTGGACAAGCCCCGCCTTACGGACAGAGTCCTCAACCTTACCATCAACCTCATCAGAACTCATCGTACCCTGCACAAGGTCAATACAGTGGCCACGGCTATGTTCGTCGGTCCGACCCAGGAGATTTTGCACGCGATCATACTAGCCTCAGCCGCTGACTGCATGTTTATCATAGGGAGGCCCACCACCTGGCCAGCAAGGCGGCTATGGCGCGCCACCACCGGGGCAGTACCCTCCTCCAGGTCAACAGCAGTATGGCGGCGGCGCTGGCAATATGGACTACCAGCGAGAGCTGGAGCGTGCCATTCAAGAGAAGGGTCTCCACAGGTTCTATGGACCTGGATCACCGGGACAACAGAAGATTCCCATGATCGCAGCTCGTGCAGGCCAGCAAGTTGATCGCCTCTGTCAGGCTTGGCGCATCCAGAAGGAGATAGCCAATGATATCGTCAGGCTCGCCTTGTATGATATTGTCATTTACATCGACGACAGCGGATCAATGTCCTTCGAGGAAAATGGCGAGCGAATCAAAGACCTGGGACTGATCCTTCAGCGAGTCGCTTTCGCCGGTACTTTGTTCGACGACGACGGCATTGAACTGCGCTTCATGAATGAGGACCTTCCCATCCAAGAGCTCTCTGGCATTCGCAACGAGCAGCAAATTGAACAGCTACTTTCGCGCAAGCGTTACAAGGGGCTCACACCGTTCGGAACAGAGCTTCGCAAGAAGGTCGTCGATCCCATCCTCATTTCGCGCCTGAACAGCGGCCAGATGCAGAAGCCACTGCTCATAATCTGCATCACAGATGGTCAGCCTGCTGGCGAGAACCAGAACACCCTCACCGAGACAGTGCAGTACGCTGTCCAGGCGGCTCAGCGTTCTCCGTACGGCCCTGGGGCGGTCGCGTTCCAATTCGCCCAGGTCGGAAATGACCAGAAGGCAACTGAGTTCCTAGCAAAACTCGACAATGACCCATTGGTCGGTCGAGAGGTCGACTGCACTTCCAGTATGTCTACGGGAAGAGCTGTGGGGAGAGTGTACCGTTGCTGACGAGTTCGCTAGATTATGAGAACGAATCCGCCGAGATGGCCCGCGCGAACCCGCCTGTTGATCTCACTCCTGATCTTTGGATGATCAAGCTCATTCTTGGCGCCATTGACCCAAGTTACGACACGAAGGACGAGAAGGCTGGTCAAGCCGGTCCGCCTCCTAGACCCCCGCAGCAGGGATACGGTGGTCCACCGCCTGGTCAGTATGGCCAGCAGCCGCCGTACGGTCAAGGCCCGGCAGGCGGCTATGGACAGCAGGCTCCAAGCGGTTACGGTCAGCAGGCTCCTGGCGGTTATGGTCAGCAGCAATACGGAGCGCCTCCGGGCGGTCAGCAGGGCTACAACCGCCCGCCGCCTGGTCCTCCTGGCCAGGGCTCTTACCCTGGAGGCCAAGGTTACGGCGCTCCTCCTCAGCCACCACGTTACTAGACCGATTCGGCATGATGTGTAATCAGCCGGCTTTGCACGCTTGAATCTGTTGCCAGACGAGCTTCGCAAGCGATGACAGGATGCAGGAAATATGTTGAGGGGCACAATTTCACGTCTTCGGGGTCATTGGTATCAGTAGTAAAACCAGCAGGCTTAACGAGCTTTGGCAAATACAGAAATGGTTTGCCAATGCACCTATGTATTCGAATGGGATTGAAAGCGCACGCCAATTGTGGTGATTCAAATAGCCATGGTATCCGTTCGTGCTGCGTTACATGTTGTTTCAAGAGGTTTTTTATGCGTGTGCAGTATGCGCTTCGTTGCGCAATTGCAGACAAATTCTCGCTGTCCGTTCACCCGCAGCATCCAAATCATTTGACCACCTGCACTGGCAGTTTGACGCGGAGTCGGAGCAAAGAGTTCGCTTACTTACTCACCTAGGTAGGTATCTAGGTAGGTACCAGGTAGGTAGAGAAGGTTCAAATACCTTCGTTCCTTTCTCTTCAACATCCGATACTGAGCATCGCTGCATCGCCGCCTGTCTATCCACGAATATGACACAACTTGCATCGGACGATAGCATAACGCCCGCGACATATCCACCGGACCGCGCAATAGCTTTTGCTCTTGCAGTCGTGAAGTCAAAGCCCGCCGAGCTGGCCATCAATCGTACGGACTGGGCGGAGAAGTTGTTTCTCGCACAATGTGATAAGCTCTCTGACGAGGTAACCAGAATACATTGACCTGCTTTGCCGGCATATTGCTCCTACCCATCGGCACTTGATTGTCAGCCCCACACGCTGTCATCTTGATCAATCATCCTTCTGGCGATCTGAATACGATCGAACGTGCGCTGTACTTGCCAAAACGCAAAGTGAGCTCATCGAGGTTCGCCGACAACTCGAAGCACTGAAGAACAACAGCGATGCCTCAAGGCCGTCGACTGCCTCGCGTAAGCGAAAGCAGAATAACCACATCATACCTTCTCTTCGATCGCCAAGGAAGCTGAATCGATATCTCATATCTGAGGATCCTGCCGTCACTACAGTATCAGAAAGTCCAATCATGACCCTGGGCGATGGAGAAGAAGCTGGTAAGAAACTCGCCCTCATCGGTTGGGTTTCATGATCTGATTTCATTGATACAGGCAAGACACTACTCGGGAGCCTATTCAACATGCACTCTTTGCTTCGCAACCGCAAAGCCTGTCCGCCGGAGGATCTCGCATACTACCTTTCACGAGCTACCACTTCCCTGGCATCCATTGTTGAGCGAAGTATCAAGACGGCTGGTACTGTCACAGACGACGAGCAGAAAGATCTGAAGGCAACTCTCACGACGGCCGTGCGGGCTGCTGCTTCCATCTTCACAGCGTACAACAGTTTGAGCCGTCTGGCGGGCCATGAACGTGTCATGGGTCAGAGCGTCTACGCTCTTGCCAAAATGTTCCAGACTTTTCTGACAAGCCTTTCGGACCTGTCAGTTCTAGAAACCAGGAAGGATGACACCGCACATACCACGACTCCTGGAAAGTCGTCCGGTCGATCGAAGGCTGCAAAATCCAATAACGGCAAGAGCAACGCTGCACTCGACCACGTGACAGGATTCATCGTCGGGATAATCGACATGTTTGATCACAGCGTCGAATCGACAAAAGAATTATTTGAGAGTCTCGTATTCTGCTTGTTAGACGAACTTGGGACTGCATTGTACGTCAGCACTTTCGGAAAGCAGAGAGCCAAGTCAATCGAGGCTGAGATCTCTGAGCGCTTCGCCGCTGAAGATTCTGTACCTGATCTTGCCACCGTCCGGACTCTCCAGCAGAAGCACGTCGACCTAGTGGCACCGTATCTGACGTATCTACTGGCACGTACTATGTCTCTTACACCGCATTATCTTGGTACAAGAAGCGAGAGCAGAAGACCCAAAATGAAGCCAACAAATATGAAAACTTCGGTAAAGGGCTTGTTGACAACTACGGCAAAAGAAAGCCTGCAAAGAACGTTAGTGAAGTGCATGTTCGGTAATGGTGACGTGGATAAAGATTATCTCTTCGGTCACTCCTTGAATTTTCCGCCGTCGACTTTCAAACCGGTACCGATACCAAAGATCAAAAGTGCGGACATTGGGGAGTGGTTTCAAGGAGAGGTATGGCGCATTCTTGGCTGGGAGATTCTATCAGGTGCACAAATTTGATGAGAAAGGGGAGCCTTGCTGGATTGCTTGCTAAGACGACATCAAGAGTTCTTCTTGTTTGCCATGTACTTGTACCTATGGCTCTTATTGTAATGATCGCTTGCTAAATGATCGCTTTTCGCATCAATTGCGCAAACAGTCTCGTTCGAGCGACATTAGAATCCGACTATACCGCTCAGCAAGCCTGATCATGTCAAGCTTCATCACACATCACCCTCCATGTAACGTCGAGACAAACATTATGTTATCACGCGACTTGATTTCATAGCTCTCTTCACCTTCAAGTTCCCAATCGGCATCGTTGATAAGGACTAGGATTCCCGGTCGGCTACAGATTATGTTAGCATATCTTAAGAAGGCGCAGGAGCAAGGCTATAAGTGATGCGCCGCCGACGGCCATGGGCACCTACACAGAGTCTTCCAACACAAAGACGTCCTTTCGCGGATCCTTCATCAAATTATCGCACAGCCAGGTCACAAGAAAACGAACGGTGGATGGCTGGCCTTGTGGATCTGTCGATGGGATGGAGATGCTATGCTTCCGTTGGTCGGAAAAGAGCATCTCTAGGCCCCCGCTATAATGGAGAGACAGGCTTAGAAATGAGGTCCAAGTGAAATTGATGTCTCTCACATCGCAAAATGTGGAGCCACATACGTGAATTCCACAGTAAGCGCCACGCTCGCTGCCATGCCTGCAGATCTTCTGCAGCTCTGCAGTGATATCGGCTGTTTGGCTTTCGGCTGGAATTACCAATGTGATGATTGGCCAAGGTAAAGATGGAGGAGATGTCGCGCCGGTAAAAGAAACTCGGCGCGCAACTCTCCACTGCAGGACCCCATGAACGAGGTTTGTGTGATCATGAGCTAGCTATATTCAGCTAGCCCGTCGGAATACTAACTTAGGTTCCGATAACTTTAAGTGGGACTTCGAAACGTCACCGAGAAAATGTTAGTGAAATTTCCGGCGGACACAGCTATAGAAGGGTGTGGACCAGTGCGACTTTGAATCGCGAAAGAACGAAATGGACAATGTTGCGACAGTTGAATTTCTGGCTGCCGGAGGTAACTGCCATCCTTCCGCCGCGGACTGGGCTCCGGGTCTGCTTGCTTTCGGAAGTCACCACAACATCGCAATATGGAATCCGGAGGATGAAACTTACGCTGGAATTACGGCCTTGCTAGCGGGACACAGGGACAAGGTCAATGCCATAAAAATTTACAAAGCCGAACAAGCATACCAAATCATCAGCGGCGGCGCCGACAAGACTATCAGAATCTGGAAATCTTCTGGAAACTCGCTTTCTGCTTTTCAACAGACGGTCTGCCTAGAAGAGCATCATGGCTCGGTCAACACGATCGCAGTGCTACCGCAAGCCAAAATCTTCGTCTCTGGAGCGTCCGATGGCACACTGAAGATATGGAATCTTGTCGATGATGAGCTCCCGACTCTGGCGCAGTCATGTATCTTGAAACCCCGATTTCTGCCCTTGGCGACAGCCCTCACGCAGCTCCCGAGCGGCGATATTGTGCTCGCCGTTGCTGGCACTTCAAATCATATCCAGATCTACGTGAGAGGACATTCAAGTACGCACTTTTCATTGCAAGCAACACTCACGGGGCATGAAGGATGGCTCCGGTCCCTAGACTTTGCCCAGGAACGCTTCGACAACAGCCGGGATGTCTTACTTGCATCAGCCAGCCAAGATAAATATATACGTTTATGGCGCTTCCGCAAACAAGATGCCGCGGTTATCAACACTGATAAATACGACATTACTGGCGACCCAATAACGTCGCTCTCGAACAAAGCGCACGAAGTAGGTAGCGCTGATGCCAGGTATACCATCACATTCGAGGCACTTCTGATTGGGCACGAAGACTGGATTTACACAGCACGTTGGGCATCCAGCCGTACTGACGGCCAAGCACCAACACTGCTCTCAGCATCTGCGGACAACTCGCTATCAATATGGAGCGCTGACGCCGCGTCTGGGCTGTGGGTGTGCAGCACAAGATTGGGCGAGGTCAGCTCTCAGAAAGGGTCGACCACAGCTACTGGAAGCACTGGCGGATTCTGGATTGGTCTATGGCAGTCGGACTCATCATCTGTTGTCAGTCTTGGTCGAACAGGAAGCTGGCGACGTTGGAAACTCGACTCTGACTCCGACATGTGGCACCAGCAAGTCGGCATTTCTGGCCACGTGCAGGAGGTTCGTGGACTGACGTGGTCACGCGATGGATCATCTCTGATCTCAACGAGCTCTGATCAGACGACAAGATTATGGTGTCAATGGCTGAGGGATACAAAGTTGTCGTGGCACGAATTCTCACGGCCTCAAATTCACGGTTACGATCTCAATTGTATCGACAGCGTTACCAACGACCAATTTATCTCTGGTGCAGATGAGAAATTGCTTCGTGTCTTCAACAAGCCCAAAGCCATTGACGCGCTCCTCTCTCGGCTCTGTGGACTTGACTTATCGGCAAAGGACGACCTTCCAGATGCTGCCAACATACCCGTCCTTGGTCTTTCAAACAAGGCCGTCACGGTGACTGACGATCATCAAGAGCATGACAACGACATCCACGACGGGGATGAGGAGTCAGGTTTCGAAGCCAATGTCCACAAAAACGCGCTCGATTTTGAACACCCTCCACTTGAGGACCACCTTGCCAGGCATACACTCTGGCCGGAGATTGAGAAGTTATATGGCCATGGTTACGAAATTTCGACTGTGGCTGCAAGCCACGACGGTAATATAGTTGCCACGGCTTGCAAAGCGAGCTCGATTGACCATGCGACAATCCGGATATACGAGGCGCGCGAGTGGAGGGAGATCAAACCACCATTAAAGGCCCATAGCTTGACAGTGACTGGTCTGGCATTCTCGCCGGACAACCAATACCTGCTTAGCGTAGGGCGTGATAGACAGTGGTCATTGTTCAAGCGACAAGAACCTGAGTCACCCACCTTTGTGCCCCTCACAGCCGATCCAAAGGGTCACTCCAGGATGATTCTGGGCTGTTCCTGGGCGCCGTCGTCCGTGGGTGCAATCTTCGCAACGGCTGGTCGTGATCGAGTTGTCAAAATCTGGCGGGTCCGCGACGGTGGTGTGGAGAATTTGACCAACATACCGTCAAAAGCCCCAGTCACGGCCATTGCCTTCGCACTAGAAGCCGACACAAGTCAGTTTCGCCTAGCATTTGCCTGCGAGGAAGGCAGTATCGCAATTGTGGACCTTGACGCACAAGACGCGCATGTGCTAGACACGAAACATATCGACGATCTTTGCAAGCCTCATGTCGTTGTCAATGCGATGAAGTGGCGACCTGCGAAGGGTGGCGCAGATGCTTCCAACACAGTTGTCGAAAGCAAGAAACTGGCCGTGGCGAGCGATGATGGAAGTATCAGGATATATAGCGTCCGATGATGTGCAGATTAATGCCAATGAAATGATGTGAAGATCTGTTTACACATCATCGCGTGTGCGCATCATGTCCAAGGACAGTTGTTGAGAACAGTTGCATCGACACGGGCGTGGAGAGGTGTGAGAAACGTCATGCTTCGTGTAAACAGACACGATGAAGTCACGAGAATCAGTCCTACCCAGTCGTTTCAAATGATTCAGATCCGTGTTTCAAAGTTATATTATCATATCTACAGTCGGTCTTCCATCTCTTGCCAACGGGAACGGTGATGCCTGTTGTTGATGTCGAGGATGTTGAGCTTCCCTCTACAACCACGATAATGGTGGTTTCAAGCGCCGTCCGTGATCGAGAGTTAGATATAGACGTGTGCTATTTGTGCATTGCTTCGAGACTGTAGCGTTTCGGACGGCTCACTGCCTAGATCGTGTCGACAAATGCGAAAGCAAAGGCAACATGGCGAGTTCCGGTCAAGCTTTCGACCTTCGTGATAGCAAGGGAGAGGTTGACGGCATGTGTGGACGAGCACGCTGATATTTGGCCAAGAACTCAGACTTCACACGCGTGTGAGTCTCCCTGTCATGAGTTGTGATTCTGCCAGGTTGAGTATTCCAAATGGATAGCATTATCGAGCCTTGTCAGATAATGCATAAGGAGGCTCAAGCGAGCTCGAGACGATTGATAAACAGATGCAAGTCTTCAGACAAACTTCAAGGATGAGCACTGTAGCCTTTTTCTTTAAGGAGTACAGCTTTTGGCTGCATCAAGAAAGAGTTTCCTGAGGCGAACGGACTCATGGTCGGTTATAGAAATGGACCGTTTCCACGAAGTAAAGAAGAAGCGGCAGTGACGCTTTCAGATAATCATCAGAAGTTGAGGTACGCTAAGTCATCACGGATAATTGCATCCTTTAGAATGTAAGATGACTTCAGCAGATTGAAATCCTGACTGACTGTCTCGCAAGAATCACCGTTGCGGGTTGTTTCTACAGTCGATTTGTCGCTTTCGATGATAGCCGCAATTTGACCACCGACGAGTCTCCCGCGGTCGTCCCTTCTTTTCTTTTCGGGCTCTTTTCCTATGGAATGGCGACAATCAATGAGACGGAAAGCTCTTCAGGTCTGATTTCATCACGCCATGTGCCACTTGCACTTTTGCTTGGTAGAGCTACCATCTTCACACGATCTCTACGTGCGAGTCTATCAAGGGTATTTCTTCCGCTTCTTAGCACATTCAGGTCTCCATCAAGAGACGTGAACCGGTAACTTCCAGGCGTCCTTGGGGTGTTTGTGTTCGGAAAAGATCCAAGGTGGTGTTCTTCATTCCGTGCCACACCTGCATGAAGCGCCATGCAATAACATTGCATTTGGTTGTCTTCTGGGTATCTATTCACATATTGCTGCCCGGAGATGGGTCAGAGATTGCTGGAAGTGTTGAGAGCGGTGGCGCCTTTGGTCGCGTAATCGCCGGTGCAGGCCTCGTGTAGCGGCCTTCCGAAATGCTGTGCCGCGAATGCACTTGTGCTCAGAAGCGATCCGTATTCATCACCGTCTCATCACAGTATGTCCACAGAATGTCCCCGCTCATAGTGTGCCTTGCATCGTAGCGAATATATCATTCCTAATGTTGGAATGCATCGCTCGCTTCATGTGATTCGTCATCTCGCATTGACGCTTGTCCTCTGCTTGCACGGTATGGTCTCCAGTGGCGTTTGACTTCTTTGCCAAGGATCCCAGGACGTTTACATGGGAGAATATGAACGCAGATCTCCCGCTTTGAAAGGACGAGATCTTTGTGTCTGTTGAGCTGGGCTACTCTCCCAGCTCGCTTCTTGAAATTCCTGATACACGAGCTACTACCTCGGTATATCCATACCGAGAAGCTGAGATCTGTGGTCGTAGTAATGGCGGTCAAGGGCCTCGCTATAATGAGGCCACAGGGGACGAGGGTCAAAATAAACAGCTTCGTTGTCCCAGCTCCAGCACTAGCAGGCACCATCATAGAGGTGCATTGATTTGTTGTTGACATTTGGGCCGCAGTGCGGAGCTTTTGATCTAGCGGCCTGCGCGTTGGTACAGCCAGGAGTCTGGTGTTGCATCTGCGGGCCCATGAATTGAACGATGATCATTGAGTAACATGATCTCTGGCACCCCACAAGCTGCGAGGACACGTTGTGTTGTACAACGCCGATCAGAAGGACAACACCGATCAGGAGGGATCCAAGGCGGGCCGATATCTCTTCTGAAACACACTTCTTCTAATACAGATCGATGCGTGTGGCTTCCGGGGAGTGATCATCTGAACCTCCCCTTCCACATCTACTCGTAGATATCGAAAATGATTCACTGACATAGCTCATATGATTGGTCTTCAATTGGGCCAGCTCACGTACCGTTGGCCTTCAATCCTTTACTACCCAAGGATCGGATCGATCACGATTCGTTTGGAGTTCAAGTCATCGCATCTGGATCTTGGTGGAAGCCATTTATTGTTGGACCAGACCCCACATCTGCCTTCAAATCCACTGCCCATATATTCGCAGAGGCACGTATACCTCCAACTTCACGCTCATTCAATGACTAACATGTCACAAGCTTATGCTGAAATCTAGCATTCTTACGATTCATAAGCGCAAGGTGAGACTTGAGCAACGAGACTTCGAGAAGATCTCCCGACAAGTCCTCAAGCGTATTATAGACAATAGACATTGAATCTAGGGAAACTCCAGTCACTGGGACATGGCCGGGGCTCTCCAAAATTAATTGCTGAAAGCAATATGGGACGGAAACACTGGCCGGGTCACAACCTTGCAATGTCACTACAAATTTGTCGTTGGGCGAGCGTGCTGATGAGGATACTTAGTCAGGTTAAGTGGACCGAATCTATGAATCGATAATCATGATGAAGGAAATTCAGATTCAGCTTCCGCTACCTGGGACCGCCGGCAATCACGGTACGAATTATTTACATCTTAACCGAAACCACTCAGGGGCGGCGTGCAGATTGGGCTTCAGCCAAAGCGCCAAACATCGATTTCGGCTCTGTTGGTGGCTGAAGGTAAACAATTGCTATCTTGCCATGTGAGGCAAAAAAGCATCGTGAATCGACCATTCAATGTCACTGATCGCGTCTACGCTTCCCTGATCACCAGTAGATCCATCACATTCTGGAGCGATGAGATCGCTGTCCACGAAGCTGAAGCGTGGATTGTGCGGCGGCGGAAACATGAACGGTGGTCATGGGGGCTGACAGACGATAAGTCACCCGCCTCAGTGCGAGACGCAGAAATTGAGTGATTAATGAATCCATCCACACCTCATCATAGTAACAGGAAATTTTTGAGGACGTTACCTATTGCGTCTCATCGTGGTGTAACGATAACAGGTCATCGACACATGGTCGTTTTCGCGCGTCCCGCGGACGGAACTAGGTCACCAGCACAAGAGAGAGCGAGAACGAATGACGGCTCAACCAAAGATGCCGCAGTGTCTCGAATGCTCGAACCAATTGGGCTCGAAACCATTGGGCTAGCAACCATTGGTTGGGTTAGAAAAGGCAATTCCTTCAACGGCGCTCTCGCGTAGTTAGACGCTGAGTCCATACTGCAACGCGCCTGTACGCTAAAAAGGGCGGCGCCCTAGCTACCTTCCACGGTCCTTGCAAGACTCGATGTTGTAATGATGGATTATGAGCCAACGGTGGGGTTACCGCACTCACATGATGCTTCCATCGAGCCGACTCAAGGGCAAACCAAGTGTGTGCATCTGCTCGACTACTTAGAATCCCTTGCGGCGTTCGGAAGGCTTTCGAGAAAGGGTCTCAACGCGACTTCCACACATGTGGCACAAATGATGTACACGAATCAAACGTTTTGCTCTCGCTTGTCCAGAAGTCGTGGGAAATACATGTGCTGTAGAAGTCCGAGTAGCGGACATCAACACAGAGCGCTTCAAGCTTTTAACTCTCCAAATCTCGAATCTTATGTCGATTGCTTTCACAAGAGATAGCGTGTTTGTTGAAGACGGGAATGTAGGGGCGGCCATTCGAGAAGCTAGCCTCTCTATATTGGCATGCTTCTGTATGTCGGTTCAAGGTCCGGCCTAATATTCCAACGCTCCGCAAGGGCTCTCAGCGTCTAGAGTCCCCTTGTTGTCGCGCATTCGCTTGCAGCATGGGCTGGAGTCTGAGGAGCAATTTTGTGCACGGCCATTGACTGCCTATCCAATCAATAATGTACATGCAATATACACGTTCTGCTTGAATCTGTGCGTCTAGCCGAGGCGTTCCGTGACAAGGTTGTGGAAGTATGTGCGTTGCGTGGAGATCTGTCTTCGCTGCTGGGATCGAGGAATTGTATTATAGTGCACTTCCGGTCGTGATCGACTCACGCCACTGCAAGATCAATTCGGGAGCATTGTGATGCGGATTGCGGGTTAGTGCTTCACGCGCGACTCATGGATGCTGCTCCACAATGAATATGTACTACGAGAAGGACTTGTATACCTCCTCCCGTCGGGGCAGATAACGAGTGACAAAGAGTACCATGGTTTGGGTCATGAACCCGTCATTCGAAACCATAGATATGTGTCTAGACGTCTTTACCATCCGGCGGGTCATTCTTCCCCTCGATCGAATCGGTATCCACGAGGCATGAGGGCCTCATACATATTTACCTACAGACCATATGTCCCGGGTTTGCCTTGTCTGTCTTTCCTGGGTGCTCTTGCTTGATCAAAATATGTGGAATTTGTGCTTTGTCTGCAAGAATCATTTGTAACAACCGGCGGATCGAAAAATTTCATACCTAGGTAGACAGATTGCGACGAATTCGTGCTTGAGACACCAACATCTTGCTCAGAGCCATTTTGCGTTAACTCCGTGAAAGCAATCCGCTGAACAAGAGAGGTACATCAATTCCATCTTACACGTAAAATGATTGAGATGTTCTGAAGAAACAGTTATTTCTGCATGCATCGACAACCTCAGATGGAACCGATCAGGAACACCGGAAAGTCCTTCACGCCCGGGCTCTGAAGTAGTAACTTTCGGTAAGAGGCGGTCCTGATCGTAGGGACATGCAGGTGGCCAGACCCACGACTGGCCGTCCCGGACTGGTCAGGATCCAGTGATCTTCGTCTGATCAAGACCAGTATTTGTGGGAGATAGACCTATCCGAAGTTGCTCGTGAAAAATGATCGAAAGCTGTGTTGACATCCTACATGGCCCAGCTCACTCATCGCACCTATGTGTCCGCTCTTGGGTATATACCAATAGACGACTTCGGGAGTTTACATTGTGAACGTAAGTAATCAAGAAGCGGTCGTGCAGCCGCTCATTCTTTACGGGCAGAGCAATGCATAACAGCGGGCATAATGCATGGGCGGCTCAAGTGCTGTCGATGATGCATAAATTGCTGGTTCCCCGTAGCACATACAATTCCGCGGATCCAATCGACTGGGATCGCACTAGATCGGCAGCTTTCCTAGGCGGCCCGTCACAAAGTAGGAAGGTGTGTATGTCGATGGCCACGATGATGCTGATGGCGCAGGGCAAGCTGTCTGTCTATTTGTGCCACTGCATACATCCAATAATACGCTTGAGTACGAGGGCTGGGTAATATTATGGAATAATTCGTTCCCAGGTTATTACAATGAGACAGCTCCTTCCGTATTGCTACCTGCTACATGGACCATTTTCCCTGCTAGGTTTCCTATCCACGCTACTCACACACACGCACCGCCACCCTACGCATACATCCACACCTACATCAATGGGTCCGTCCATCCATCCATCCATCCATCCATCCATACATACATGCACACATTAGCTCCTCACGTGCGAAATTTCCACCACATCCTCGGGCATCCATAGACTTCAGGAGTGCAGCTTTCCAACCTGCCGCTAACTCGGCCACACACGAATCCCGCGTCATTCCACGGGTGTGAAAGGAAAGTCCAACGGCCCCAGGTGGACCCTACGCGCATAGGCTGCACCGATCATCGTGGTGAGCAGTGACCTTTCCTGACTTAGATCCACCGGCCGGAGTATTCTGGAGTCATGGTTGGGACTAGACTGGGGAAGATTCTCAGACTGATAACGGGACCGAAAAACGCCCCTCTGGCTTCGGCGCGGCACGGCTGCTCACCACCATTGTCGTTCATACTACGCCTGGGCAGTAGTCGAAACATTGGGCGCGTTCATTATGTATTGAAGTTCTCCATTCGCGACGGGGTCGGCGTTTCACCACAATTAGCGATTCCTAGGCCGTGTTGAGGATTGGATCTGTCGACAGTGCGCACCGTATAGTCTTGATTGCCCTGACTGGTTACGGCGAGTCAGGGATATGCTGCTGGATTGCATTGACAGGATTCGAGGTTGTTTCCGACCTCCCCATCTGCAGTAGAGCGGCGCGTAGGTACATCATGAGTACACATGCATGCATGTCGGGCTGTGGGCATGCGCGCGCAATGCATCACAGAGCAATTGGACTCGTCAGGTCGGTTTGGGCTCGATCGACGAAAAACACAAAGGTAGGTAGCCCGTATGCAGGGCCACAGGCTTTTCGGCAGCCAGTTCGGCGCGGGCCCCAGCAGCATCGACGTGCTACTTCAATCGTCACCCGGGCAATGAAGTTCCCTTCGTTCGCCCTTCCGCTTGTATGAGGACAACCGAAGCACCGCTCCCACCTGGGCACCTTCCGATTCCACGGCTGCCTCGTCGAAGCAAGACCGCCGTCGCCTGTACTGTCACAACATCCGAACGCTGCCTTGCCCGCGGCGAGCACCCCGACTTTATCTGTGCGACCAAAGAGTGACACACTGCTGTGGAACGTATGGTTCAATCAGCGCTTGTCAGATTCGTGAAGAACACGGCAGCACCAGCATCCACGGTGGAAAGACTCACGTTCCGGCATTTGTCAGTCGGACCCACCCACTGCATGGGAGTACACCGGAGCCTGATCACAACTGCAATACGTCTTACTAGCATGCTTCTGCCATTGACGCGATAGTTCTCAGGTCTACGCTGCAGTCGTCAGAAGACGTCCCGCTCATGATAATACCAAGAATGAGGAGACGTGCGAACATTTTCAATTTTGCTCACGAAATGATCCAAGTCTAGGAATGATCGTCAGAGACTCATCTTCAGCAGTTTCATGACCATCTTCTTGAGCCCAGAATCTTATTCGACGGAACGCCGATATTCGCGTGCGCTTTATCACCATCCTGGCAGCCGACCGTCCTCACCGACGTCCCGTGGGCCGCGCATTCTCTCCTCTTCGCCCCGAATAGCCTACGCTGCGACAGGGCTTGTGAAATTGGGAAGCAGGCGCTGGAGTTGAGGGGCTGACCAACTGTGCAGTCAAAGCTCCAGGCCTGGTACAGTACATAAGCCGCCGTTTCGCCTGCTAAACGCTTACACGCCATTCAACCGTCGGCACTGGACTAAGGTCCGAAGCTTGACCATGACGCCCAATGGAGGCAATCCCGAACGCCCCAAGAAGCTGCAGCGCATCTCACAGGCCTGCGATCTCTGCCACCGTCGCAGTATTCGCTGTCGACCCAGCAATGAGAACGCTGAGCATCAATGTCAGAATTGTTTCGACTTTGCCGTCGAGTGTACATATAATCGGCCTTCACGTCGACGACGCAACCCAGCGAACATTCCTCCTGGACCGCCGAATGCACTTCCCTCGCAACAACAATACTTTTCGGTACGCCCCACAATCTCCATCTGTGGAGTGGCTGAAGACCAAATGCTGACTACAAGCACAGCGAGGCTCACCTCAAGTGAAGGGCGAACATGTTCTGCCGAGCCAGTCTCAATCTGCACGACAACTTTCTGCCACGTCGGACAGCATCGCTGCCTCCGCGAACGCGCGAGAGGGTCGTCATGAAGATGCCCTCCAGATCGCCTGGCGATCATATGCCTCGGCCAACAATGCCATGATTCTGCGCTACATCGAGGTTTACACGAGTTACGTGTATCCCATCTTCCCACTTTTCCATATTCCAACGCTTCTGCGCCGATTACAACAATCCGACCACATGGTCGATCATGGCTTCTTCGCTTCCGTCATGGCAGCCTGTTCGCTTGCGGCTGCTCGTGCTCGCGATGGAGCAATTCCGGAATCAGCAGGCTTGCATGTTGGGAAAGATCTTGATACAAATTCGGAAATATTCTTCGCAGCCGCCCAGTCGGCTGTATGTGACGATCTGAGCAAGGCATCAAGCTTCAGCATCATGCGCGCTTGTGGCCTGTTGGCGTTGACAAGCATCCAGTATGGTCGAATCAACTCAATGCACCAATACATGGGACACTATCACACCCTCAGCGCCATGCACCACTTTCATGATGAGAACACCTGGTCTGAGGGCCTGACTATACCTGCAAGAGAAGAGAGGCGTCGGCTGTTCTGGTCCATGTATCAGCTGGACGTGTTCATTGCCTGTGTTTTCGAGGGGATGCCTCATGTACAAGAGGTATACGCCAACGTCACTTATCCTGCAGAGATCCTCGATGACGACTTGACACCAGTGGAAGCTGCGTCTCCAGGCGAGAGCAACACATGGCTACGCGGTTTCAACTTCACTATACACCTTTATCGCATCCTGGCCGCGACTTTGACGCGGATGCGAATGGACCAAACGCGTCAGGACCGCATCCCGATCCATCCTATGTTCATCGGCCAAGGTGCTCCTGCAGTGCAGATCATGGATCAAGTCGTCGCCTTCTATTTCACTTTGCCGGCTGAATTTCGACGCTTCGATCTGCCGGTCACCGGCATTCCAGCTGCGGATATTATTGGGTTCCAGGTGGCCAATATACAAGCAACCCTGCAGCTGGTTCGCATGACCTTGATAGATTCCTGTAATCAATTCGACGGCGATCAAAAGTGCTTGATTGTCGAACAGGTTCTTGCGGCCTTCACAGAGATAAATCCTTTCTATCTCAGAGCCATCAGCACTCCGCTGGTCTTCCATCTTGGTCGCATAGGACACATCTTGGCATCCGTGATACAAGGTCCCATGACGGACGTGCTGTACAATCGAGCACGCCAATTGCTCGGTTCCCTCGCCGACCTCCTTGAAGGTCTCGAATCCAGCCTACAACCCACCGTCGGCGCAAGCAAAGAGCTGCGCGACCAGATCGAGAAGATCGACACTCATATGCAGGAGCAGGAGCATATGGATATGCGCGTTGCTCGTATGCAGCATCAGATGGCGCCAAACACGATGACGCCTGGCATCCCGACGAATTCGCAAAGCTCTCAGATACCATTTCGATCAGCGCAAGCAATGACAGGTGGCAGCTCTTCTCATGGCCCTATGGATGAATTCCAGCTGCCTCCGGAGCTGACAGGTGAATGGCCGTGGCCGTTTGATGTGCAAGCGGAACAGAATTACCACGTGGCTCCTGGGTATAGCCATGAAGGGGAGAAGCAATAGAGCAATTCTGTCTGTTCCACTAAGACACGTTTGGGTTACTGCTCTACGGTCTGAGTCTTGCAATACTGTGCTTTCAGGCGAGCCTTTGTCATCAATATCGCGGTGCTCCACGTGAGCATGCGGATTTGTGTCGGTCGACGGGGTGCATTCGTTATGCATAGCTCTGATTGCGACTTTTTGCCAAAATCATGCCGCAATTGGCTTGGCTCGATTGGTGTTCCAGCGGAGTTTGGCACTTAGGAGATGTGGCCGTCGAGATGGCGGCTATGACTGCAGCTCTACTCGCTGCCCAGGGGTGAGAAACCCAGAGTCGCGTGTCGAAAGTCATGCGACACGTGTGAGGCCGGGGTCTTGAACTGCCCGGATGAAGGCAGTAGCGATTTGGTAGTGGTCGTGAGATCATAAGCGCAGGAAAATTCGGGCGTTGTTCAATTTTTGTTGTCATTTCCGCGCCTGATCTGTCGTGTGATGGAACTGATGGTTTCTTTGGCTGACTCATGACCTGTGTGCCACGGCAGCCTCCGGACGTCCTGAAAACCCCTGGCGAGGTACCATGCGGGCCAGACTCACCTCGCACTCGGCCTGGCGCTGTTATCACCATAACGAAACAATGCAAAATACCATCGTGATACCTTCCCACTATTGCAGAGCAAGAACGCTGTTGACCTGCAAAGTTTTAGATGCACAATGGGCCTTGGCTGCAATGGAACGCCGAATAAATTTGAAAAATGAAGCATCTGAAGTGTCGGAGCTGGTTCCGCTGCTCCGGTCGCAATCTCAACGTTTTTGGTTGGTTTCAAGTTTATTTCGACGACAAGACAAGCGCAAGAGAGCTGCATGATCTCCACAGGCTCGGCGCCAAATATATGCGATCTAAAATAGTGCTGAAATGGTGCATTTCTCCACCATCGGCTGCAAAGCTCCGAAATTGAAGGCTGTTCTCCGACGCTCGTTGAGTGTGACGAGAAGCAACTCCTGCACGATTGGGAACTGGAAGCTTACATTCCGAGATTCTGAGTATTCAGCTGCACCCCACCGGCGATCGGCCTCTATTGCTATCGAAGGTAGCCATTTGCAGACGTCTTGCCAGCGGTGGAACCTTGCTGCCCACGTGGAGCGATTCAGAGGCAGTGCAGCAGTCCTAAGCATCGAAAGGTTTTTGACCTCAGCGCTCGTCAGTCATCAAAATGAGTAATCCAAATCACCAGGTGGGTATGACAGGCCCCTCGGCCATTGAGTCGTGTTCTCGCGTTTGCCTACGAGATTCTCTGGCATCACAGTCACAGGAGCACGAGCCTCTTGTGAATCGCACACCAGGCGGGTTTTGTATAGAGGCAAGCTTAGAGGTCAGGCGTCTGCTGGAGACGTTTCTCCGCATTGTGGTAGTGCACAGGGTCAAGATTTACCGAGCGGTGCTCATTTCACTCTCGTAGATGTGCAGACACTACCAATGCCGTGCACATACAGCCGGCGAGAAGCTGTTGAAATTGAAGCGAGATCCCCTTAATTCTGAAGTAAAGGAAAGAATGAAACCCCCGACGGGAGAAATATATGCGTGGCAAACAGTACTTGACACGTGCTCAACTCCGTTCTGCGCCTAGGTCGAGCAAGAAGCGCCCCTGTATGATCGAAGAACACCAACTACAGTCCATTCGCGTTATATGCTTGCAGAATCATGGCGATCATGCATCCTAACGTTCTTTTCGAGGCATGTTTCCGGCTGGAATTCGGGTTGCAACAACAAGATCCATGCCGTGCATGGCTCTGAAGCGACAACTATCGCCATTGACGCAGACCGATCCAGAGCCCGATTTAGGATATGGGCAATGATGGCCATAGATACAATCTGCATCTTGACAAGACGTTCCCTTCTTGCAAACTGTCTCTCGTGCAACTAGCCGAAGCCACTTCTTGTCCTCCTTGGAGAGATTGACGTCATGTCGATGCGGACAATTATCATTGCCACAGATGTAATGGCAGCACCCTTTGCCGATGTAATGCTGATTACAATATTTGAATTTCTTCATCTCCGCGACCTTCTGTGCATCATATGACATCGCAACATCAAGGCGGCGGCCTTCCGCATTCAGCAAGATCACTTTACCATTAGTCTTGACGGGAGGCGAGATCTTTGCGAGATCTTTGAAAGGGAGCTTGGCTGCTCGCGATGCAACGCGCGACCAAGCCGAGTCGGCAGCAGTATTCTCCTCGATACGGTTGGAAGTACTGGTACCCGATGATCGCGTAGGAGAGCCGTGACTCCGCGGCACAGCGCACGCATCATTCAACGACAGAAGAGTATCGGGTGTCTTTTCGACGCTAACAAGACTGACTGAACTGCACAATTCTCGATTCTGAGCCGATGAGCAATTCTCCCTCGCCGCATTCGTGTGCTGGTTGTTCGTGACCTCGCAAGTAGCTCGCTCGTGGTTTGGCCCAACGTACTGCTTCTCCAGGTATTGGACGCCTGTAACAAAAACGGCGGGCAAATGAGCGCGCCGGAGGTGGGACAGAGCTGTGTGCTGGTCTTGTGGCGCACCAACAAGCAATTTTACTCTGGATGTGACCTGGCAGTGTCAGCAAAGTTCCCCTTCCATGGCTGCAAATGGTGCATCGACCAACCCATGAGTTCAGCCTGTTCTCTTGTAACAGTGGGATCACGGAACTGTCCATGCGACAGCCAAGGATTATTTCACAGCAAGTCTTGTCGTTCAGGTAATGCAATAATTGGTCTAATGATGGTGTCAGTCAACATCGCTAACAATCTAGGATTCAGACCTCCGACACACTGCGAATACGCTCGTCTGCCATCCTCGAAATCGGACCAATATCGATTATGTCAGCGTGAACTCCGAAATGATTGAATCCATACACAAAGTTGCGGAAGACTTCTGCGCTGGGCACGGCGCCGGCTCTCTGGTAACAGGAGGCCAGGCCCTGAACATCTGCATAGATTCGTGCCACCACCTTGAAGCTCTGCTTGTTGAACAAGTCTCGGGCACCTTCTTTTGCAGCGTAGTCTGCGATAAAATTGGCCAGGTTCCGGCCTCCATCGTCGCCAAATCTTACCAAATTCCCTGCAGCGAGGAAATTGTTTCCATCGATGAGGACGACAGTATAAGCGGCGGAAGCCTGGTCTTCTTGCAACAGATTCAGCTGATGCCTCAATGCAAGAAGTTCGTCCTCTTGCGTGGCGCATTTCTGTTCCGCTGTGCACAGCTTGTAGTAGAGCTCCTCCCAGTGACTGCGCGAGCTCTGCTCCTCCATCTTCGCTCTCAAGACGTAGTTCCTTTCAAGTTCGAGGGTGCTGTTTTCGCCTCTGAGGTCTACTTGAGTCTCACAATCATGTGCTTGTTGCGGATGTCGAAAGCCGTGTTCATGTGTTGGTGACTTTGCATACGCAAATAAGGCTGCACGTAGGCTTCTTCAATATGTCCTGTCCAGCAGCTCGGCGTCATCAGGTGAGGTGATAGTAGGCGAGGATGGCTCAAATCTTCAAATTTAAGTGCTTCCTGTTGTATGCGGCGAGCGATTCTTGGTCTGGTAAGCAACTGCAAATATTATGCGCCACTCGTTAGTGAAGCCGCAAATTGAAGGGTGTGCGATTGGTTACGTGCATTATGTGCTTCAAGATATGTGTTTGAGACCCGCACGCATTTGGTGTTGCGGCATGTGACTTGGTCGACAGTGAAAGGCGCTGCAGCAATTTGGCGTCGTAGGCCATTCACTGTGAGCCGGGATCTTTATGGGCCGGGGTGCAAACATCTCCTAGAATAGCCCCATACGTTTTGCTGAGCTCGTTTGTTCCACGCTGACAATTCGTGAGCCTGTAGATCGCGACTCGAGACGACTAAGGCCACCGCAAGCATGCTGATCATTGTGAGGAAGACAAAGCCCTCCATTGTCAAAACAGTCTCACGCACGTCTCTGATCGCAGCGAGAGTAGTTCCGGTCTATAAATATTCATATTATGCCACGCCTGGCTCATTTGTCGATAAATACATGCTCTAGCCACACGTCCAAACGGTTTGCGTGTTGCTGTCACTCATGAACCCATTCTGACCATTCTTCGTCTAGATGTGCCTTCAGCTTGGACATCTTATTTCCGAAATTCTTGCCACATCGCCAGCAGTACATGTCTTCCGGAAAGTGTCCGTAGTTCCTGCGGAAATCGTTGTTCGCCAGGGGAAAATGTTCGAGACCAACGAGGAAGTCTGTGGTGAAAGATAGATAATGATTGCGTTTTTTCATCGGCCCGCTTACCATGTCTCGACTGAGCACGTGAATGTGTAGGTGGCTCATGGAGGGATTCGCATGAATACCTGAAATCACTTCTTTGGACCAATCACGTCCGGGTGGAAGCTCAGCGGGAAGGTCTACAGCTTCCATTGCACGAACTCGTGCTTGCTCGGAAGCGGAGTACTGGCCGAACTTGCGTCGAAGCTCGTCTGCAACGATGTCTCGTACCCGAATTTCTTCTCTTCGGCAGTCTGCCAGAAACTCTGGATCGTCAAATGCGATCTGAGGCTGAAGAAGGTTTTTCTTCGGGTTTCGTGGCAGGATAAGTAAGTGCACTGAGGCTTTGGGATACAGATCACGTATCACGGTGAATTTGTCGTTGAAGTACACAACACGGGTATCCGGAAAGGAGGCAGGATCGATAGTGTAAGCACCCAAACCTCCTCGGCCGTGGATCATTGTCCGCAACGTCGCCAGGTCAGTATTGCTGGCAACCGGCTTGGCCTTCTTGGGCTGCATGAGCACCTCGACTGGAGAGAATCAATATATGTTTCTGGTGGGGATCGGGTCAAGCTTCGTGACCTACATGCATTGATGGGCCTCGGATCAAGAGGTCCATCGCGCGAATATGAGCGTATACCCGTTGCATTTTGCTCTTCAAGGTCATCCGCAAGGGCTCGATCTTTCGACATTCTGCAAACGTGATACGTGCATCTTCCCCCCAATCAAACCTGGGAAATATGTTGATGGCCAAACGTCTTCTCCGCAGTGATGGTCCTGGAGTGGTCACGTGGACACCTTCTTTTAAGAGCCACAAACGCATGGGCAGAAGGGAGCCAGTGGACCACGCGTGCCTGCCGCAACGGGATTGTGGCAGCACAATTTTGCACCACAGGCAACCGTCAGTGCCCTCATCTCCAACTTTATTATATTTGGTGTCTAAATCTGCTCGATGGAGTAGCACTGTATAACGGGAGGTCAGGGACACACCTAGACGGCGTTTAAGTTTTGACAAAAACCGTGAATAGATACATTCAATACTAGAAATGGCAGCGTTGACACGTGATATCATTACCGATCGCGTCAGCGACGCGGCATGACGCCATGCCTGGCGTCGCATTCTTTTTTGGCGGGCGCGTCGCACGGCTTTTGTCGATACATGGATGTCTTGCAAGCGTCCACAGGCTGTACCGATCTGGCGAAGAAGGTTATGCCATTCGATGTTCTCATAGTGAAATCATGCCATCCACGCGCAAGCGTCAAACTCGTTTGGCATTCAGCCCATTACCGTCATCGTCACCAGCTTCCAGCTCTTATCACCCTCAAATCCGCGACAGAGCAGCCGCCATCACTCTGGACCACTTTGCAAGCCCGCGCAAACGACGTCGACTCGAAATTGGCAACACAAACGCAATTGTAACGCCAGACGCATCCTTAGAGGTCGATGCGGATAGTGATAGTGAACCAGTGCGCAAAGTGCGCCGCCGCAATACGCCGAGCTCTTCATGCCTACCTGTTGTGGGCGTCGTGGGACCGCCCACAGCCGCAAGGGGACCCACAAGCTCCGGGATGTTTACGTCGCAACCAGACTCACATGGCCACAATGACTTCGTCGATAATGAAAGCGACATTTCGACCGATCTCCCGTCCCCACGTCCAGAAACTACCTCCCGTAACAAGCGCAGCAAGCGGAGGCAGGACAAATCGAAGGGCCGGGGCAGTGAAGCATTTTTGACGATGCATTCGAATATTGATGACGAGCAAGATGTCGTACCAATAAAGACGAATAGAGAACGGCGAACTCGTCGTCCTGTGTCTCTCAGCTCGCTCGAATCATGGTCGACCCCAGGTATTGGGGAGGACGAGGTTACTCTCGTCGGTAGGACAAGCAAGCAAAGTCAGGACAGCACGAGTGAGGATGAGCCTGTGACCCCGAAAGTAAGGAGACTCCTGAAAAGGCCTCGGCAGATGTCTCAACGCGAACGGGAAGAGAAGGATGACCTAGCCGAAGATCTCGATTTTCTGGAGCCCGAGAGTGACGCCGGAACAAAAACACCTATAAGCTCGCGGTCGACGAAAAAAAGCGCTCGACAAGCTGCGCTAGAGCAATTGAAGCTTCGGCGGTCAGGTGCTGTAGAGCCCGATGCGGCCCGCGAGAAGACAGGAGAAGAGAGCGATGGAAGCGTTGAAGACGGCGAGCTAGATGTGTGGCTTGGTGATGATGAAGTTGCCGAGGATGATGACGATCTGCAAGTTATTAGCAGCCGTCAGATATTTCAGTCGACACAGGAGGACGAGGACTTCATCGTTGATGCGGACGAGAACGAGACACTTGGAGAAATGGAAAATGTTCCACTTGCTTTCACGAGCTTCGCATCAGAAAAGCCGAAAAACCTCTTCAAATTCGCTGTGGAATGGTTCGTACAGAAGAAAATCAATCCAGCATTTGCTATCAACGATGAAATATATGACCTTACCTTCAAGAAATTGGACGACGAGATTCGGGGTTTAGCAGGGTCAAAGTTCACATCTTCTGCTTGGACACCAGACTTCACAACAGCACTACAAGCTCGACCAGAAATCATGGTGGATGATTCTCCGAGTGGCTTGGCTCTTCGTGACAAGTGCGATGCCTGCAACCGAAGTGGCCACCCAGCAACCTTTCTGATAAGATTCCTGAATAAGCCGTACGACAAAGAGACTTTGGAAGAGGTCACTAGTCGGAACGATGGTGACAGTGATGATGAAGACTCGAATTCAGATTCAGACTCTGACAGTCAATCGCCAAATCACAAACGTGCCGTTGATCGCGATTATAAAGGCCGCATTGTTCCTTCGGAGTCAACGGAGTTTTACGTGGGAAAGTTCTGCACCGCCAATGCAAAGACGGCGCACGCACTAAGCCACTGGAAATATCATCTGAACGAATGGGTAGTAATATGGCTGACATCGCAAGGATATTGCTCAGCTGAGGCACTGCTGGAGCGTGATAAAATGAGCACGAGAAAGCGACGCAAGCGTGCCAATAAAATCGTCGATCGAATGGTTGACGAGGGTGTGCTCAAGACTTTATGGCGCGAATTCAGAAGCACCGCCGATACGGCAAGGAACTCCAAGCAAGGCCGGTATGATTTTGCGAGTCCTTGAACTCTTAATTGTACAGGCTACGAAACAATGCAAGTTCAGATTTGCTACATGGCAACCACATTTTCCACCTCAAGTCTGCAGAGTACTGGACACTGTTGGCTCCAGGTTGCGATGATGTTGTGCTGCCTGGGGAATGCCCCGCCAGCTGAATGACATAGCAAGAGCCCTCCGCAATCTCTATTCGGTCACTTGCAACATACAATAGGCAGGGGATGTGGAGTCCATCTCATTCCCTCTCTGCTCCTTCGCGCATCGGCCACGAATGAAATTTGAGATTGACGAGCAGGGATCAACAATTACATACGAAATGGCGGACTGGATAGCTCAATATGCCGAAGCATTAGACGTTCGTGATAGCCGTGAGAAGGCTCACAAACAATACATTGACGCATGTCAGTCCGTGCACGCGACGCGTTTGGCTTATGTGCGACATTGCTGATTTCCATAATCACAGACACTGAACTCGCCGACCTCACTGCCGCGGAACGAGCAAATTCTTGGGCTTTGCGCAAGGCACCGTTATCAAGCACATCTGCAAAGACGGATCCAGCTTATGGGAAAGCAACAGACGCATCAGGCACGACAGCGGCAGCTCTCAGTACAGTGAGAGCGGACTTGGGCGCCACACAGAAAGCTCGGGTTGCGCTTCAAAATGAAGTGATTTCACTCACATCCTCACTGGCTAACTCGCAAAAGACAAATGATGCGAGAGCTTCACAAATTACAGCGCTTTCGAAACAGAAAGCCGATATGGAGAGAAAGCTGCGCGATCGCGATGAAGAACTGCGGGGCAAGTCTAGACTGGTGGAACAAACCCAGGATGAGATGGTGAGTCTCAGCCTGCAAGTCAACATGGCTGAACAGCGGAGCGAGCGACTAGAGAAGGAGAACAAAGACTTGATCGCCCGCTGGATGAAGCGCATGGGCGAGGAAGCCGAGAAGGTGAACGCTGGCAGTGGGTGGCAGTAAAGTGTGGTGATACGAGCTACGTGTTTGGTACCAGAAGAGACGGCATGTAAATTAGTGCGGCATCACATGAGAGCGTTCCGCCACAATCCGTGTTAGATCGGTAATTGTGCGCACATTTGTCCCGATGACGACTTACTGGAAGGCGAAGAACACCCTCTGGACGATTTGCCAAGTCATGCTGACACGTCCTATGCGTTCATTCTTCACAAGCTGAAATCACTTCTTGGGGTCGTCATTCACGTTAAGATGAATGTGACTCGCAGCTCAAGATCGCCTCACACAGCAATCCATCTCGACTTGTATCGAAGGCTGAGAAGAACTGAGAAAAATATCGGCTTCGAGACCGTTCAACTCCTTGCAAGACCTCTCAGCACAACCCTATGGACGGATTCTGCCCAGGGGTAAAATCGAGCCGAAGAATCCCAGCAATGTACACTGTTCGTTACATCCACAGTCATCGCCAGCCTGCGCGGCCCGAGCACTACAGCTCTCGCAAAGGCGACTCGCAAGGACCAAGACGAATCGCGAGCCATGAAAAGGACACTGTCCAGAGCTCGAGGGACGTTAGACCAAGCCTGTCACAGCAGCAAAGCTCACCGCGACCAACTAAAGATCATCGAACCAAAGCAGATTCTCACAAGGAGTCTAAACAAGTGGTGGACTCCCGGAGAACAATCTCGCAGCGTTCGAAGAATGATACATCATCATCAAGTCACAGACGCTGGCCAGAATTGAAGCGTGAAACAACATCAACACGCGGAGTGGCTGCAGTAATGCCTGAGTATGGCCTAGGAAAGAATGAGCTTCGCTACCCAACGCATGCACAGCCCAGCTCCTTCGATAGACGACCACCGAAGACGGTGGAGAAGCATCGTCGAACAGTGCGGCATGTGCACTTCGAATAGCTGTCATGTGCATTCTGGCGTGTGACATACATTATGATCGCTGTGTGTGGTAGCTATTAGATATAAGCCTGCAACCGTGGTGCTGAGATCCAGTGCCATCTCGATAACCCCGTTTTCGTCCTCATATTCCTCAATTCAATGCGTACGATATCGCGGCAGCTATCGATTCTGCGGCAGTACGTCATATTTCGCGCAGCATTTTATGTTATATTGAATGACGATCGGTGCTGTACATCAAAGAGCCGATGGTATAACCTATGCAGATCTTGAGACTCCATCGCCCGAGCCTTCGGCGTCGCTCTCTAGCTGATACTTCGCCTCTTCCAAGTCTGATGGTGCGGCCTGATTCGAATGTGGCTCAGATTTCTGCGGCAAAGATTGCTTGCCAACAAAAATCATGAGTCGCTGAGCACCGAGTTTCTGAGACAACGCCGGATCAGCATCCTCCGAGACAATCTCTCTAGCGCCGGGCACAGAGTCGACACACTCCTTCAAGGACCGAAGCACGTTTTGACATTCTTCGGCAGTGGCCAGACGTCCTCTCTTCTTTTTCGCGATGGCGACTTCGACTCTCCGTCCTTCTAGTAGGAATGCCTTCAGTTTGTCCATGCGGTGGCTGAGATCGTGTGCATCAATCGCCCAGTTCAACTCGATTGTCTTCGCACCAGCTACGCTGGTCTTCAGGCTGCGGGATTTGGCGGCTTTGGCAGCAAGTTTGCGTCCTTTTTGCACCTCATACTCTTGCTTCTTGTCCACAACTCGACACACTGGTAGATAGTCGGGATTATCGGGCTCGTCTGGTGTGAGCTGCTCAATGTAGTGGGTTTTGGTGTCGACATTGCGCAATGCTAGTTGCAGCCTCACCGGGTCGTCAAGCCTGCCTTCAGAGTTGACAATCTGGACCCATCGATGGCGAATATCTTCATTGCGAGGCTTTCGAAGCTCAGGAGGTTTGTATTTAGGATCGGAAGGACTGCGCGGTACGCATGCGATTCGGGTCTGCGAGAAGTGCCGGTTTGTGCGCGTCAAACTGGCGAGCTTCGATGGAAGTCTACCAGCATTGAATATCTGCGTCCTTACCAATGCGGGAAGAACAAACACGCTGAACAACGAGTGTCCAATAGTCGACGCAACACATGTACCCGCCATGATCATGAGATTCCTGCGCATTATGTAGTGCGATAATAACAGAGGCACTGCTCCTCGAAGCTTCACACTGGTTGCGGAGCGGAGGTGCCGGATTCGGAAATATTTCACGTGATCTTCGTGCATCCAATTCCTGGAACCTTGAAACCACTCGTGTTTGGGTACTGTATCCAGGGAAAGAGCTTTTGGAATATGGGGTGAAAAGTAACTACAATTTTAATACATATCGTGGTCTTTAGAGAGCGAATTCAACCTGAGATGCGGAACCACATCATCTTCGTGACGTTTGAAGATTCCAGTGAGGGCATTTCGCTCGATAATCAGCCGGCGACCTTCAAGCAAAGATTTGACTTCGACATCTTTAGACTGAAGGAATCGAACTGGATAATTGGGGCCAGTGGCAGATAAAGCTGCAATCAGACCAGTTCGTGGACCGCTCGTCACGAACGTTGTCCCTCGCAAGTCGTTCCAATCCAAAAGCTTTCTTAGAAGATCTGCGAGATGCTCCTTATTTTGTTGTGCTTCGGAGCCATCCAAGATGAGGTCGATATTTCCATCTGTGACGATTAATTCGCCTTGTCTGTATCGATGGCTCAGCGCCGTGCGAAACGCCAGATCGTAAACTTTCTGGGGAAGCTCAGTGCTGAAATCACGAGGTTTGGGCCCAAATGCCACACCGCCACCGTTGAGCGATGGACTCTTCCTGTCACCCAGTCGAGCACGACCTGTTCCTTTCTGTGGCCTGACTTTTCTTCCAGATCCGGCAACTTCACTACGCCATTTTGTGTTGGCTATTCCATATCTTTTGCTGTCGCCCTCAAATATGACGGCGCGGTGGAGAATGTCCTTGCGAAGAGGAAGCAGCAAATGCGTTGACGGATAGCTTATTATGCGAGTTGGCTCTAGTGATGGAAATGCACGTAGCGCGCATTCAACTTGTTGGATGAAAGGATTGGCGGGTGGTTGATATGGTCCGGGTATATGCAGCGACGGCTTGGTCGAGGATTCTGCGCCAGCAGATGCTGAGACTATGGAGGCGATGGGAAGCTGACTTCCAATTTGTGATGGTGCGGTCGCGATTGACGATGCTGGTGATGGCCGGACGGCTTCTGTTGTCAAAGGTCTGAGAAGCTGAGGTACGCGCTGCCGTGAAGGTTCACGCGTCGATATCAGGGTGTTCAACACGATTTGGACAGGAGTGCGCACTCGTCCCGTAGCCATCGCTGTTGTTGTCTTGTTTATTTGCAAAGTCGCGGATAAGGCGAGGCTTGAGAAGGTGCTGCCAGAGTAGGGATATGAAGTTCTGTCTCCGATGTGGGCTTCGGGAATGAAGATTTGCCCGCATATGCCCCATGCACCAGATCACCATATGAATATTCATCCATCTCATCTTGATTAACCCGGCTTATCAAGAACATCACATCCGAGAGACCTAATGTCGCTGAAAACACCATTGCGCCCACTGGTGCAAAATCTGCGATGTGCAAAATGTTCTCACTCAGTCACAAATGTACCACATCGCACATTTACTGCCTCAACGACCCGACAGCTTGATACTACAACATCAGAAGATGGACCGGCCAAAGCATTACTCGATCCATATCTGGTTGCATCACCACGAGCAGAACGACGTTTACTGCGCCAGAGAAGGATGACCCCCATTGGCTCGCGACGACGACGTACTGCCATGAAGTCGACTCCCAGCATCCCTTTTGAGCAGCTTCCATACCAGTGTTTCCAAGAGGCTCGTGCAATCCTGCGAGAAGATCGCGCGGAAAAGCTCGCCGCCATCAGTCTTGCTCGTGCGCGCCTCGAACGCACTGCAGATCAAGTAGCTGTGGATGCTCGGTCGCAAGGGCGTAAAGACGCTCGCCTCCTCAGTCTCCGCCATCACTTGGAAGAGTTGAAGATCAAGGCAGATATCAATGATCCTCTGGTGAAGAAAAAGTTTGAGGATGGCCAAGGTGCGTGACTTTGCTCGAAGCGGCTGCGACTGTCGATGCAGAATACTGATAAACAAGCAGGTGATATGTCCAAGCCCATATATCGCCATTTGGCTGATAAGAAATGGCGCAGTTATGAGCGCAAAGTCGTCGTCCAGCGAATGGAGCAGATGGCTATCGTCCCGGATATCCTTGCAGACATCGACCCCGTTGTCTCAACTAAGCTCGCCTTCCGCTGGCCGTCAAATCTGCCAGGAGGCAATTCCCGCAAAGAAAGGGTTATACCACACGGCGACTTCGTTGAGTCCCGCCTTTCGGAATATGCTCCAAAGCTCCATATTCAGCCGTACACTCAGGGCGAACAGCTTGTCACCATTGCGCTGATCAACCCCGACGTGCCCGACGTTGCAAAAGACGGATACAACTACCGCTGCCATTATCTCGCATGCAATGTCACGATATCACCGACAAGGACTTCCATACCGCTAGGCCAACTGCTGCCAGATTCTCAGGTGCTACATGATTGGCTACCAGCGTATGCGCAGAAGGGAGCGCCATACCAGCGCATGGCTATCATCGTGTTAGCTCAACCGCCGGTTCAAAGCCCGCCTGCTGGAAGTAATCAAGCCCCAGAGTCCAAGACCATTGATATTGCACAACTCAAGGAAGCGAAGGGAAAGTTTGCGCGACGGGAGGGCTTCACGCTTAGGGGCTTCGTTGACAGGTTCCAATTAAAGCCCATTGGCGTGCATTTGTTCCGAACTCAGTGGGACGACGGAACTGCTGGCGTCATGCAGCGAGCTGGTATTCCCGGATGGGACGTTGAATTTAAGAGGAAACGCATCGATCCATTACCTTACAAGCGATTGAAGGAGGAGCGTTATCGCTAGACCCAGTTCGCATTTGTAACCTCAGGCGGCGTTGTACTTTATTCTTTAAATGTAGCCAATATTACTTGTACAAGACCCCGACCTCTTTCAGTCCGCTTTCATCCCGCGCGGAGACTTCACAATTCAGCGACCTGATCTACCTTTGCCCGGCAAGACGTCGTCGGCATTCGTCCAGCCCTAATAGCGCCATTACCTGACCAATGTTGGGTCCTGCTTGGCCGTATGCGAGCTTTTCGCGAAGGAAGTGTAATAATCCCATTTTCCAGCGCTTGTGTTCCTCCACAACTTGCTGCGCCTCCTGTTCCGACCGAACCTGTTTAGAAGCTAGCATCCAAATTGCCAGCGCATCTTGTTTCTGGAGTGCTAAGGGATCACACTGCGAGAAGTCGATGTGAGGAGATGCTCTCCCCCGAATTGCCGCGTCGAGCGCTTTGGTGATCTCTTCTGAGACACAAAGTATAGATTGCAAAAGAGATTGGCAGCTCGATTCGCCCATTCTGTTGGCTGTTTCGTCAGTCTGACCTGCTAACGTCAAAGGACGTAGTCGATTGAATGCTTCCGAACATTGCAAGCTTTGTATGAAGTCGTTCGTGAAAGACCTCAGATCGTTTCGCCGAACACCCGGTCGCTCCTCACTATTGGCATCAGGCTCGTCGGGAACTCTGCTACGATCGTATGTGAAGAAGTACTGGTTTCGCTGGTTGACATATTGGTGAGGCGTTCTGTAGGCCTTTGGGTCGACGAGCAGTACTCGCCTGCATTGAGCGCGGATGGCAGCATCTGCATTCACTAGGCCAGAAGAAAACATGGCGATATGAGGGGTGCTTGAACATAGCAGTGATGCAGATGGGAGAATCTGATCCACGATCTCTTCGAATTTATGGCCCGAAGTTGAAATGCCTGTGCTCGCTTCACTACATATCTTGGCCACATGCATTTTCTGCAAGTACCATAGTTTCTCTGTACGGACAATGGTATTGCCTTTGGTGAATTTGAGATCGAAATCGCTGATCAAAGATTGCATGTCTTTGAGGTCGTCCTTTTGTGGATTACTCCATCCTAAAAGTGCGAGAAAGTTGCAAAGCGCCACAGGCAGGACATTCTCTTGCTCGCGCATACCTCGAACATCAAGAACGAGACCAGTACTGCTGCGCTTCGATAGTTTGGCTTTATTTTCGTCAGCCAGAAGACTGACGTGCGCGAACTGGGGGGGCTCCCAGCCGAAAGCGGCATACAAATCGTAGTGTAGAGGCGTGCTCGCCATCCACTCGCTTCCTCGGATGACGTGTGTGATCTTCATGAGGTGGTCATCAACGACATTCGCGAGGTGATAGGTAGGCGTACCATCGGACTTCAGCAATATGCTTTCGGCGGCACTAAAACCCGACTCAGCTTCTGAACTCGAGCTAGTTCCTGGCGATCGCTTGAGTCGTTGTATTTTGCCGTGTATGAGGTCTTGGTAAATCCGTTTGTGGGCATCTGTAGGTGTTCGTAGACGAACTGTGTATGTCTCTGATCTGCTCGCGCGCTCGTCAGACTCCTCTAAAGACCTTGTGCCACAAGACTGATAGCAGCCGCTTGTCACATAGCTACTTCCTGCGTCTGGCGTCTCTGACGATTGCGGCGTACAAAAACATCTATATGCAGCGCTTGTGTCTAGGAGTTGCTGGGTGTATTGTAGATAGATGTGGTTGCGTTCAGATTGTTTGTATGGCCCGTACGGTCCGCCGACACCCGGTCCCTCGTCCCATTGAAGGCCTGCCCACTTCAAGTCATCACAGATCTGGGCTTCGGCACCAGTCACTAGGCGTTTCTTGATGTTTGTCAATTGAGAACACATGCGTTTGACAGATTTGGGGGATTTAGGGGAAGCGACATACTTGGTCGGTGTCCTCAATTCGAAGAATGAATTGTCCTTTGGTCTTCTTCGCGAGTAGGTAGCTGAAGAGCGCTGTTCTCAGTCCGCCGATATGAAGCTGCCCTGTAGGAGAGGGCGCAAATCGTGTGCGAGCGGGCGTTGACGGCAGATTCTTGTTGCGACCAGGACCATTTTGCGCCGGAGCATTATTTGACAAGTGCCTTGATTGTTGTGGGCAACGATCGCAGACCGAGTGGGAAGCCGGCAATCTCGAGCGGGTAAATAAAACGTTGCCATATGCGAGAGTGTGATGAATGATCGTGTTGGTATGCATTCTTCTGGTGCCGACATTATTAGGCAGTATACAGTTCCGATGGGACCGGCCAATGCAAACACGAGCAGGCTGGTAGATGAATATTTCTTTCTTCATGAATGACATCGTTTTCAGGCATGTCGACCGAGCTTAATTTGGCGGAAAGCACCTCATCGAATGCGCATTCGATGTTTGTGTCTTTCACGCGAATGGCTCTAATAAGGACAATACAGATGGGTTCACATTAACCATGATACTCAGACGCCCGGAGCAGCAATGCCGGACCCTGGCTGCGCTCAAGCAATACCTACCTAGGTAGGTAGGTAACCTTGGAATTTTAGGTGACAAATTTGTCATTCGTCATTACCAAGCGTACCTAGGTCGGGACATAATTTTTGACCTCCATCCAATTTCTTCGGATCTATCGTGGTTGTCTACTCGTCGTGCTTGTTCGGCACACATGGCTTCTTGTCAGCTATATCGATCGTGCAATTGTCTTGACATGGCCGCGTAGATTCTTCACAAGACCAATTTGGATCAAATGCTACAACTGTGACCAGCGACCCACTGGAAAATATATTTCGTGATACAACCATTCTCAACTTCTAAACTGCCCCAGTTCCATCCAAGGACACGATCCCACAAAGCAAAGAGTACCAGTCATGAGCGCCACTAGAGAGGAGGATCTCTATGGTAAGTATGAAGACATGGGGTCTGCAAACTTCACGCTAAGCGTAATGTAGAGATCCTTAACATCCAACGGACTGCGACAAAGGCTGAGATCAAGAAGGCATATCACAAGGTATTCCGTCGGACAGTGGCTAATATGGCAAGATCTTCCTGCTGACATCACTCCAGGCCGCTTTAAGTTCGCACCCAGACAAAGTCGCGGACGATCAGAGAGAAGCAGCAGACGCCAAGTTCAAGGACATATCTCGGGCCTACGAAATCCTCAGCAGCGACCACGATCGCGCACTATATGATGAGCATGGCATGGCAGCTTTCGAAAAAGGTGGACCTGCCCAGGCCGGCCCCGACCTGGACGACATTTTCGCACAGATGTTTGGCGGTGGCATGGGAGGTGGATTTGAAGGCATGCACGGGTCATTCGGCGCTGGCGCCGGCGCCCCTGGCTCAAGACGGAAAGCATCAAAAGGTAGAAACGAGTTGCAGCAATATGAGGTTACCCTAGAAGAGCTGTACAAGGGCAAAACAACCAAGTTTGCAAGCACCAAGAATGTTATTTGCGACAATTGTCACGGAAGTGGTGGCAAGAATGACAAGATCGCTCCCAAATCCTGCGGCACCTGTAAAGGACGCGGCAGTACTATCCAGCTTCAGCCCGTTGGACCAGGGATGGTGACACAGAGGACGGTCTCCTGCTCGACTTGTCACGGCAAGGGCAGCTTCTACGCCGATAAAGACAAATGCAAAAAATGCAAGGGAATGCGTACGATCAAGCAAAAAAAGCTATTGGAACTTTACATTCCTCCGGGCAGCCGACAAGGCGAGCGCATAGTCCTCGCAGGCGAAGCTGACCATAGCCCGGACGACGAATCTCCTGGAGACATTATCTTCGAGCTGACAGAAGCTGCACATCCAGTCTTTCAACGTGCAGGCGACGATCTCCACGCAGGCCTCGTTGTTAGCCTCTCGGAGGCTCTCACGGGTTTCAATCGTGTTGTACTGCTACATCTTGACGGTCGTGGCATCCAGCTGAACATCACACAACCTCCAGGGAAGGTGCTACGTCCGGACGAGGTCGTCAAGATTCATGGAGAAGGCATGCCTGTGAAGCGATCGGAGGCGAAAGGCGACCTCTACATGTCAATCAGCATTGAATTCCCGAAGGACGGTTGGCTCAAAGATCAGACTGCAGTGGACCGGGTCAGGGCCGTGCTGCCCAGGCCAGAGGAAAAGAGTTACAAGGTTGGGGAGACTCCAGATATCATTGACGAGGCATCATTCGAGATTGTAGAGAATCTGGAAGGCTTCGGTGCCGGCTCAGGAGATCCACGAGCTGCCGCTGCTCAGTGGGAAGACGATGATGACGATGAGGGCCAGGCACAGTGTCCGCAGCAATGAGACAGTCTCTAGTGACTCTTAGAAACACCGATGCGATTTTACGAACAGCTGGCTATACGAGTACCATGACATCGCTCACATGGCCAATTTCAAATAGCCCTGGAGTTTGCAAACAAGGGCACGTGAACTATCATTGCATCGCGGGTTGTACGAGCCTTCTCATGTTGATAACGCACCGACCTGCAAGTACTGTATTCAGGGTTCGATCGACCGGGGGAGTGATAGGGTTTGGGTTACATGGATTGCATCGACCAGGTTGGGAGAACAAGACATCCGAAGTCGTGATTTATCATGAATGTTTATGCGACCGCTTTATTCAAACTCCAATGGGCCGTCTGGCTCTCCGAATGCTTGTTACCGGCGTCGCGATTTAAACCGACTGGTCGAGTTCAAGGTGGCGAGGAAAATGTTCGTGTGGCATAAAGCATATCCCTGCACCTGGTCTTCGTGAGTTCACTCTATATGCCTTCCGACCTGCACCAAGGGAGCACCGCACGTCAACGTGACTAGTGATTTGTCTGGGCCAGGAGCTCTATGCATAAGAAGGGTGATGATTTGTTGCTTCGCAGCTGGCCTCGCCTATCATGTCCCCGGCCATTATCATATATTTACATGTTTGAGGACCTGTCCCCCGACATACATGACCGGATCGGGCTTTTCCCCGCAAAGGTGTGTAATAATAATGCCGCAAAACGAGATCAGTCGCTTGCACTTTGTGTCGATGAGCAATGAGACGTTCCCCGGTAGTTTCGCTACCGTCGCTGAAGGTGCTAGAATATCTACTGCGTCAAGGTCGAATTCCAGCATCAAGAATGGCCGTGGTCGCCGTCAACGCACCTGCCGAGCAAGCAGAAGTGCTCGCACCGCCGCCCAATATCGTCACCACTCCCTGCGATCCCTGGCCGCGGCCGTACATCATCGACGGAGGACTGCGTAGAGTAGCGCCATATCACTTCACATACAACACTAATTGCAAGCAAAGATGGCGAGGTCGTGGTATATTGGACATATTCCAGGATGAGTTTCGAGACAGGCCGTTGGAATACTACGTGAGCATCCCGCAAAAGCAAGTCTACATGGAGGATCCTTGACCTGATGAATCTAGAAAGCTGCCATAGAGAGCGGCGCAATTCATGTAAACGGAAAGCCGGTATCATCTCCCAATGCGCCGTTGAATAATGGCGACATCATCAGCCACACGCTTCATCGACATGAGCCCCCCGTCTCTTCGCAACCCATTGGAGTGGTCCACGAAGACGACGACGTCATTATTATCAACAAGCCTGCAGGCGTGCCCGTTCACCCCGCCGGTCGCTACAATTACAACTCTGTTATCGAAATCCTGAGGGCAGAAAGAGGCCATCAATTTAATCCTCTACCCTGCAACAGACTCGATCGATTGACCAGTGGTGTCATGTTTATCGCGAAGAATAAGAAAGCAGCTGAAGCGATTACCGATCAACTCATGGGTAGAACGATCCGCAAAGAGTACGTCGCCCGAGTAAATGGCGAATTTCCCTTGGGAGAAATTGTCTGCGAACAGCCGATTTTGCAGATCTCCCCTAAACTTGGATTGAATCGTGTTCGAGCCAATGGAAAGGAGGCAAGGACTGTTTTCATCAGAATGGCATACTACCCGCCCGCAGAGCCTGGCAGCATGACTGCTGATGGCACGAAACGTGAGGGCTATAGCATTGTACGGTGTCTGCCCCTAACGGGTCGTACACACCAGCTCCGAGTACACCTGCAATTTCTCGGCCACCCAATAACGAACGATCCAATCTACAGTAATCGCAGAGTTTTTGGACCAAATCTCGGCAAAGCTTCATGTACTGACGAGGACGACGAGGACATCATGACGCGACTTGCACGTATGGGCAAGGAAGATGTCGCCGAAGCCGTCGCATACCATGATGAGATGGTAGACGAGTACAATCGGAAGAAAGCCGAGAAGATGACCGGGCAATTATGCGAAGTCTGCGGCACACCGCTGTATAGCGATCCAGGCCCGCACGAGCTGGGGATTTATTTGCATGCGAGAAAGTATGCTTGTGCTCACGGGAAATGGAGCTATGAGACGCAGCTGCCACAATGGGCTCTCCCGCCTCCTGGTGTTGCAGGACCTCAGGAATTGACAAAAGACACTGATCCGATGGCGGTCGATCTTATCAAGCTTGGTGTCGCGGAGGAGGCAGACTCTCCAAGTACTGCCACCTCATCCCGTCCAGCAATACTATGATGAAGGAGTCATCATTCGGCCATCTTTCGTCCGAGATCGAACTCTTCTACCTGACCAGAGCTTTCTACACACTGTCCAAACTCGATACTAATACAAATGGCGTGGTACCCTGCATAGTATCGAGCGTCATGAAATAGCGAATGGAGCTTCACCGCACGCTCTATGTACGTTGGCCATGTTTCTGCGAAATCCACTAAAGAGCGCAGGCATCAGAGTGTCAAAACCCTGAAGGCAGTCTTGATGTCCTGGTGTTGCAACACCTATCAAATCTGCCGAAAAATAGGTGAAAGCTTTGCCGAGAACAAATGGACCGAATCGTCACCAATTCCGACTCTCATTACCTTTGAATCCTTGTTGGTGTAATCGCGATGCATTACGCCTGGGTATGCGCTGAGAGCTTGCCTTGTCCATGAGCTCGAAGACGGTGTTGAACAAATCTGAAGAGTTCGGGGGCGCCGATACATCCAACGTTGGTGCTGGCTCAAGTCGAGCGATACTTGTGATAGTGATGTCGATGACGTAAAGCTTGCGCGGCGTGTCTATTTTGTGTTCGACATCGACGCGAACCCGATGAGTTCCTATTTCCATCCAGCTACCTGACGGTTGCGGATTGAATGCATCCTCGATCTCGCCCAGCTTGTCGTAAGGGCGGCTGGAAACATCTGTCAAGCAATCGTCAGCAAGCACGTTGGATACTGCGTTCGATGTGACAGCCGAGAGACATACCAAATCCCACCTCCAAATCGGTGCGGCAACCTAGCAGAAGTGTGAAAGTCGCATTGTCGGCCGGGCGGCAAAATCCAAGAGCCGCAGAAACTCGCCTGGCACGCTTGATTACATGGAACGCACTTATAGTACCTGCAGCGACCCATCTTGCGCTGGCTAGTGACGGCGGTGGGGTATTATGCTGCTCGTCGGGCGTTAGAGTCACATGATGAGCAGCACCGGCTAGCTCGAAGGTTTGGCCTGCAGTGTGCAAGGAGCGCAGCGAGAAGAAGTGCCATGGCATGATGGCATCCTGGTCGTGCACCGAGGGAGCTTGTCTGACATACACTGTCTGCAAAGGACCCCGCTGCGTAAGACCGATGAGCGCGTCGCACTGAACCCGAGCATACTGATTAATGCCCACGGGCAGTCTACGTAACTTCAGAGCTACGAACCCGTGGTAGCCCCTTGCCTGGGAAGGAACAGGACAATTTAGTGCGGCGGCGAAGGTGCCATCCGGGAGTTCGGTCAAATGAAGTTCCATACGCAGTCCGCGATTGCTTAGCTGGAATGGCGAAGCGTCTTCCCAATCGTGATACGAGATAATATCGGTCGCCTGGGCGAAGTCCTGTGGGCTGTCAGCGAGGAGGCCGTGGACAGCTACGGTCTTTCCATCTTTGCTCCGCCAAGCGAAGATCGAATGATCGTTGGACTCGCGCATGATCTGTTCTTGTAACCTGTGAAAGGCCTTGACAGCGCCTTCGCCATAGAGCATGGGCATGTTAACGTCAAAAATACCCATTAGACTGTAAGCCGTGTCCTCTCGTCGCGTTGCGATTCTGTTCGCTGCCCAGGACATCCTCTTCGCAATGCTAATGGTAGTAAGCTGACTGACGCCTGTGAGGATACTTTCGTCAATACTTGTGATTTTTGAGACGAGAGCGCTGATCTCCTTGTCTCGTTTGCTGCCGATGACTATCCATTTGCGATCGTAGAAGACCAAGTCTGTTGGACCTATCAACTCCTGGAGCGTCCAGGATCGGGTGAACCATTTCGCAGAGCCCAGGTCCGCGACGGAGAAGATAGTCTCCTCTTCGATATAGGCATAACATTTGGCGGCATTCTGATACCACGAGAACATGCTGTTGATAGCCTCGCTGAGTTCGCTGCTGCTGCTCTTATCTATGCAGCACGTGTCGACCCAAACCCATTCGTAGCCATCATGCTTCGCTTGGTTCATGAACCCCTTCAATTTTGGGTAAGCTTTTCTTTTCTCGGCTGATCCATTTTGAATATCGTCGAAGAGAACCTCATCGGCGGCATCTCGGGACCAACAGTGAGATAGTATTGCGTAGCGACAAGTTGAGATTTCCAGATCTGAGAAGGATTTGACTTTAAGCTTGTCAGCACGTAAGAGACGCATTGTTGGGACTGTGCTCGCCAGCGCGCCATATCAACTATGCATTATTGCGACCATATCATAGAGTTCGTCTGGTCATTAGACCAAGCATAGGTGTACGAGCAGTACTTCGATACATGGCACGCATGGCCACGTCAATTCGGGTTTCCATCAGATGCTATTCTGGTATTCTTACTGACTGCACTAGCTCTTCAGCCACGTCACGCTAAATGTACTGCTAATGTGAGGCCATCATCACTCTACATTTCAAGGTTGTCAAGGTGCTCTAGCCCTACGTGATCAGCACGAGGCCGGTGGCGTTTGGCAGCCACAGATCCAGCAACATTATCGTGATAATGTTGCATACCGCTATCAGAAAGAATGATCAGCCGCTGATTGCAGGCATCTCTTCGCGAAAACACCATATAAACACACGGCCCATCAGGGAGTCGCCTGTGGCAGCAATCGACCACATGCAGTATGGGAGTTGCACACGGGATATTGCTGATCCTGCAGGACAGTTGCGGAAGCACACTGCCACAACCCAATCAAGCGTGCAAACATGAAGATCGGGCGATAGCCAAGAAACGCCAAGTCAGTCGCTGGAAGCATAGCCTCGTGCCATATCCATGCGGCGCAGCATTGCCGTCATGATCGGCATGCGCTGACAGCACCTAGGTCTTCGTGATGAAAGATCGAAAGAATACATAAAATGGGCTTCTCCTACGCATTTCGCGGGAGTGACTTGGTCTGTAAAATTGTTCTGCGAAAAGCCTTTATCAGATTTGTTCTCGGCTTGTCCCATTGGTCATCATGTCAAACGAGATCTCGATGACGAACAAACACGACTCGCCGGCACCGCCATATTCCACTGTCGAACCCGGACAGAACAGCCAAGCCAACATCCAGAATGGAGCTGCGTATCCAGTGAACCATCAGAATCACGAGCAGTGAGTATCCGCCTGCGGCCATTACCAGATCGTTCAACTCTGACGATGTGGTAGGATCAATAGCGCTCCCTACCAAAATGAAGCGCAGCACCACACAAACGGCACGAAGCCGATCCACAGTGTCCCGAACGTGCCAGTGGAGCCGACTGCGAGCGTGACGCCTCTCAAGCTGCTTCGAGAACAGCCAGCGTACATCGACTGTCCTGTACGTTTCTAGTCCAGCCTCGTGCTTTCGTTCTTATGGGACCTTTTTGTTAATGCTTCGCAGTGCTGTCGCAGTAGACAAAAGACCCGGCCAGAGGAGAAAGACTCTGGTATGACATGGTGAGTAGGCTTAGGTAGTTGGTCAGTTTTCGACAGACTAACGTCATTTTGCGCTCAGGATAGCTGTGGGGGTGACCTTTTTGATTTGTCCATGTGTGGCTTGCCTGCCTTTGAATTGCTGCATGGGCTGGCTACAGGATGTTGACCACTATTGCGAGGGATGTGGTGAGCGCATCACCCACAAGCCCTACGACAGGGAAGTACAAGTCCTGCACCATGGCGTCAACGGAACGCAGCCATCGCAGTATGCGACGCAACCTCAGCCGGTGTACTCGCCCGAATCTCGGAAATAGCAGACACAAGCGGCGTGCCTTTAGACAGAAAGTTCGTTTGGTAGATCGAATTAATGGCAAATTGGAACCTCGTTGACGAAGGCTGGGCCCCTCGCGAGCGAGCCAGGGGCGGAGCTTGTTCGGAAGAATGAATTTTGAATCTGACACGCGACTCTGGGGACCGCACGAACTCTGTGGATCTGAAGTTGGACTTGAGTTTGGCGAATCGTCGTAATCGATAATGCGAACGCGTCTCGCACTCGCAGTGGAGCGCAAAATGATTCGAAGCGCTGCTTGCGAAGCGATAAGATGTCGTCCAGATAGAGCTTGGCCAACAAGGTGGTCCTGTAATAATTCGAAAGCCGGGCTAGAGGCATTAGCAACGATACACACGTCGATGCGCAAGTGTAGCCGAGATCTCGGCTTACTCTGGTCTATAATTCCTATTCCGGCGAAGCAAAAATAGTGAGTCCAACAGTGGACCAAGAGATAATTTGGCCCAAGATAAGAAGTCACAAAGCATCTATAGGATGTTTTCTACAATCGAGATGCGTGCGTGACTGCCACTGTAACCTTCTGGTCGTCCGGTCAAGCGTCTACCGCGCTCTCACCTTGAGGAGGCGCGACACCATTCTGGCCAGCTTCAGTTTCCTGGCGAAGCGAAGGATGGTCACCGCCTCGAAGATATGCTTCATATTCTCCCAGCATCTTGCCACCCTGCTCCCAGCGCTCTCTGTAGGCCTCTCGTCTCTTTCTGCATTCTTCTGTCCATGCGGGCCAATATACCGAGTGGTCATACTCAAACTTCACTTGACCACCATACTGGTCCAAAAGCTGTTCTGCAGGCACAAATTGCTTCAGGTCCTCATTGAACCTCATCTTGTCGCGGGTGACAGGGTCGATGAATGGACTTATGAGCTTGAAAAATGTGCTGACATACCACGGCAGCTCACTGATGAGGGCCTTGCCGAGACGTTCGGGGTTGTGATTTTGGAGCATCCCAAGAGCTTCTCGCGCCTGAGCGAGGGAAGGCACGGTGCCGGATGCAGCACCTTTGAAGTTGATCAACAGGCAACTCTTCTCCACACCAGGAGGCATGAGTTCCACAATTCGATCTAGCATGTAGCAGAAAGAATGATTTTGGCGAGGTGACAGCTTTGTATTCTGGTTGCCGGGATTGAGGTAGAGACAAGGTCGAGCCTCGTTGTCGAAACCAAGCTGAAACTGCTTTCCCGTCTCATTCTCGACACTAATGTAGTCCGCTGTGAAGGTGTCTGCACCATACTCACGACGCCAGCTCAAGGTCGATTGAAGTCGTTTGAGCGCCTGCGCCGTATTCCACTTCGTAGCTCGGAGATAACGTAAGAGACAGTCGCGGGTTAGCCACATGCGTTCATGGTCGGTTAGGTCAGCTTGTGGAGCCGTTCGAATTGTGCTGGCAGGGATGCTTTTCCAAGTGGCAACGCTGGCCAGAACTTCTGCATATTTAGCTTTCTGAGCGTCCGTCAACGGAACTTCTGGGTTTGGTTTTGAAGCCGGCGATGGTGCTGTAATCGGCAATGACTGCACTTTTGTGCCGCCTGCTTCTGCTGTGAGGTGACCATTGGGGGCGGTGGGTTCAGTCATATTGAGATGTGCAAGCGAGTGTATACACGGTGATCGGAAGCCCGAAAGAGAAACACACTTTAGAAGGAAGCGAACTCTGTCTGGGTTAAAATATTTCTGAACGTGAACACCGGGCAACCTTGCTGATGGACCCTGCGCATTTGAGCTGTGCATCATCAGCCCCACGAAAAAAGGTTGAGGGCTTCGAGACACGTTCCTGCATGACACCACGCGAAACGACGGCGAATCGTTTATTTACATGCACATCAACCCGAGTAGCACTCCCGGTATGCCATACCTCACGCAATTGATGATGATGATACTGGAGTCAGTTGGCGGTAGATTGTGCTTTTGGCGTAATATTAAATCTGAACCTGCCTCCACGGGGCACGTAACCTCGTCTTCATGTGAAAGGTTGTACACCTGGGCATGAAATGGGTGCATGTGTAATAAGTGCCACCTACCTAGGTATCCATCCATTGACCGTGAAAGGTCGCACTGAGATCTGTGGCGGCATACGGCGTCATTATCGTTCCTCGTTTACAGGACGCCCGGGTGATGCGTTCCTGCCGGTTATCATTTCTTACAGAGTTCATGGCAAGATACACCCGCTGGGCACAGGCATGTTGCATTCCCTCGCGTCTCGCCCCTTTCTGCAAGAACAATGCGTGGGGATCTGTCCGCCGTCACGGCTGTCAATTCGCAGACCCGCTGGACCATAATTTGGGGTATCTACAGGAATGAACAATGAATGCTCATAAGCTGCAGATATGTACCGTGAGTGCAGGCGGGCCGGGCGGGGCTTGAACAGAATCCCGCCAGTAGTAGTCCACCTGGGCAATTAGGTGTCTGAGAGTCGTGAGCAGGTCGTGTCACGACGCGTCTTCCCCACATACGCTCGACCACTACACTGTGCGATGGCAATTCGTGACATCTATGGATAGTTTGAATATGCGCTTGGGTCCGTTATCCTTGTCAAGTCTACGATCACATTCAACCACCTTGATACTATTGCATCGATACCCGGTTCACCATGGCGGATCTTGATGCCCAGATCAATCAGTACTTCGCCCAAGGGGATTCTCCAGTGCCCCAAGATGTCATGAACGAGCTTCGACACATCATACAACTACTTTCACTCAGTCCCGAGGACCTCTATTACAAATGGGACAGCTATGTTATTACCATGGGCGCCGAAACTACTAGACTGGACTACAAGACTGTACGAGACTTCAAGAAGACGCTTCAAGATGCCTTCGAGCGGGACACCCGGAAGAGCAACAATGTGCAAGGCTCGTCGAAGCGGGCGGCAGCAACGCCGCGGGCCACAGCCATGGGAGGAAGCGATGTTTTTGGCATAATGGAAAACATGGTTTCTACGCCGAGTGCGAGGAACACTATGACTGCGAAGAGGAAGGCGATGCACTTGGAGACCCCACTACCAAAATCTGTCAGGAGCGGAGTACAGAGCTCGCCGGGCGATTACAATCCCCTCTCGGGACACCGCAATGCCCCGGCTGTTGCATTCGAATCGCGACAGAATTCCGGTGAGATACTTGAAACGCTCAATTCACAGCTGCCGGTGTCTGCCATACCCGATGAGCCGCCGTCAGATGCTCGCATCAAATTCAAAGCAGCGATCGACCTGCCCAAATTTTCATACAAGCCAATGGCCATGAAGTTGTCTGAGGCTTCGGAAATCCTCGATGATAGGATCGACAGCTTCACCGATCTTGTGCAGAAGCACTACGAGCTACCAGATGGAGCTTTCGGCAACGCAGCAGCGCAGTCAAGCGCCGAAATCGTTGCAGTGGGCCGCATAGCTTGTAGCGTACCCAATGGCAAGCTCAATCACAAAGATGTGGTTTTGGAGACCAGCAGACGCATGGGTGCCGGATTGCGGGTGCCATTGCTATTGGACGGCGCCAATTACGATTTTTTCCCGGGAAAGATTGTTGCGCTTAAAGGTACAAACGTCAGCGGCAAGCATTTCGCAGTGACGGAAGTCTTGCCGATGCCATTACTCCCACCTGCAGCATCTAGCCCCGTCGACATCGACCTTCACAACGATCGTCTAGTGGGCTCGAGCGGGGAGTCAAGACCATTGAGATTGCTGGTAGCTAGTGGTCCCTTCACGACGGATCAGGATCTATCCTTTGCACCATTATACGCCCTATTGGAAAAGGCAGGACAAGAAAAGGCGGATGCCGTTTTCCTATCGGGCCCGTTTCTCGATCTGGAGCATCCTGTCGTCGCAGCGGGAGACTTCGAGGCGTTTTTGCCTCCTGATTCCAAGATAGAACCAGACCGAGCGACGATTCTTGACATGTTTCGGACGTTTATCAGTCAGCCGTTGCAGAAGCTTGCACATGCTCTTCCGTCAATCACGATCATCTTAGTACCGTCAATGAGAGACGCTATCAGCAAACACGTCGCTTGGCCACAGGATCGTGTACCGAAGCCTGCGCTCGGTCTTCCCAAACAGGCCCTGTTGGTCGCCAACCCCATGTCTCTCTCCATCAACGAGATGATCTTCGGGATGTCGTCTCAGGATGTGTTATCAGAACTTCGGCGTGAAAATGTCCATAACTTGGCTAAGGGACAAGCCTTCAACGATGATTTCCTCGCTAGGCTTTCCAGTCACGTCATCGAGCAGAGCCATTTCTTCCCTATATTTCCATCTGCAACCCGCGAGGCACTCCCGAAGCCTGCAGGGATTCCCGACGAGGTTCCCGACGTAGCAGGAGAAGAGCGCCTTGCTGTTGGAGCCAATGTTGATCTGACCTATCTGAAACTCGGCGAATTCTGGAATGCTCGACCCGACGTGCTCATCCTCCCGAGTGTGCTGAACCCGTTTGCCAAAGTAAGTCCTGCTCAGGCCCTGATATTGCTGCTCCTGCTAACATGACGAAGGTCGTGAATTCTGTCTTGTGCATCAATCCTGGAACACTTAGTAAACAACGCGGTCCCGGCACTTATGTCACAATGCACATACAGCCACGTATTCTGAGTGACGAAGAGCGCGAAGTTAGCGACGTTTCACATAATGTGTTCGAGCGAGCGCGAGTCGAGGTGGTGCGGATATGATGTCTGCAATATGCTTTGTGTGCCATGAAGCGGGCCGAATTGCCCGAAGATAGTGCCAGGGCACGCCTACCACGAGACAATTCATCTCGTACGAGTCCACACATCTTGTAGAGAGATGATACCAGGCACTATGCCAGAAATGCCCATCCATGCTTCGCTGACCGGACTGTCTAACGGGTCCTCGTAGCTCAGATATAATGTCGGCGCAATCCATCCGACGGTCGCAAATAGCTCTCTTGCCCACCGCCGCTTGAGTTCCTCGCTTTTTACCTTTGCGATCTCATCCGAGCCTCTGCTTTGTGCCCCGAACTCTTCGTTAAACTGTAGTTGACGTACGCGCAGCAGCCGCAGCAGATTCAAAGCGAGTGAAACCATCCAAACTCGATTACTCCACGCCCACCATTTGGGTTCTCGGCTCTGCCATCTCTTACTTCTTAATAGCCCGACACTCGCCAGAAATGCGCCATTCTCAAGGATCTGGTAGGTCGCCTTCGCACCTATTTGGGTCCAGACCAGCAATTTGATGATTGGATCGTGTGGTGGTCGGCTGTATGTTCTTCGCGCACTTCCATAGATCCTTACCAGGCCCCAAAGGCGCAAAAAGGATCGCACTTTGTAGACTGTCAACCCGGCGGTTCGTACGCTTTCACAAGTGTCTCGAAGCTGGACGTGTGGTGGCTCGATATGGGCGGCGACCACCTCCCCGGGCATCATGGTCTTGCTAGCGCTTGCGACGATCTCGTCGGCGATGCGCTCGTATGATGCCTCGAGCAGATGCGTCAGGCGGGAGTGCAAAAGAGTGAGCGCATAGTATAGCGTGCAGAGTGAAGCTTCAATGCCCTCGCTGGTCGAGAGAAAACGCGACGAGTGCAGCGCATGATGCTTCAATTCTGCGAGCAGAGCCTCGAGTGTGCTATCAACTACGCTCATGATTTTGTATACGAAGGACAATGCCCTTAGTACGATGAAATGCGACCGAATGAGTCGATCGCTGGTCGTGTATCACAAAATATGCAGTGCCCAGTGCACTGAACTCCACGAAGAGGAACCCCGGAAGCTGGCGGAGCTTCAGCCCTGCACGAGGAGCGCAAAGCTGAAATGCATGCTGACCTAGATAACTTGACAGACAAACATGTTGATCTCTATGATTGGCAGAAACGAACACTCCATCTCCCATAAACAGCCACTCTGTCCTTTGCGAAGCCGTCTCGCCCCTCGCATACAAATCATGTGTCCTGACCGTTCTCGCTGGTCTGCTACTTAAATTGCCTCGCGCCACAGCAATATACACAAGACCATTTTGTGCACAGCGCAATGTCTGTAACCGGACAATTCTCTTCCAAGAACCCGACAGTGAAAAGGATTCTCAGAGAAGCCGCCGAGCTGGCTACTCAGCCATCCTCTGATTATCATGCAGCGCCTTTAGAGACAGATCTATTCGAATGGCACTTTACACTGCGCGGTCCACCTGCACCTTCACCTTACGAAAGTGGCATTTACCATGGGCGCATCGTCCTGCCGCCAGCGTACCCGCTGAAGCCGCCTTCATTCCGTTTCCTGACTGCTTCTGGGCGTTTTGAAGTCAACCGGGAGATTTGTCTGTCTATCAGTGGACACCATGAAGAAACGTGGCAACCTGCTTGGGGCATACGCACAGCACTTGTGGCTATCCGGAGTTTCATGGATACAAATGCAAAGGGCCAGCTCGGCGGCATGGATGCGACTGATGAGGTCAGGCGACGTTTCGCTGGTCAAAGTGCAGCCTCGAGATGTCCTACTTGCAGCAAAAGCAATGGCGAAATCATGAAGGACCATGACACGTCGATTCAAGCACTGGGAGAGGAGCGTGTTGACGCCGCTATCGATGTCCCACAGCAGTTGAGGCTCTCATACAAGGGAGAAACGTCGGGCACCACGGACCAAGCAGCCCAAGCATCGTCTTCGAAAGACGAGCCACTTGGTCAAGGTACAACTCAAGAGGATATTCGCCGTGAGCCTCCTCCAGTATCAGCTGTAATATCGCCAGAAATCTACCAGCATGAGCCTGTGACGGGGGAACATACCTTCAGACAGGAGCAGCTGCGACGACAACGAATACGTGAAGAACAACGCCGTGCGCAACGCCGCATAGACGAGAATTTACCGGTTTGGCTGAATCCAGCAATCTACGCTATCATGGCCGCGCTGATGTACTTGCTCTGGCGGAAGTTCATGTGAGCTCGGATACAAGTGATATACAATCCTAGGTTACGGATCGACCTTTACGGTCCATAATCTCAAGTGCGAACAGAGTCATGATCTCCATTCGCTCAACAAATATAAATGCCTTGTGCGCTGCCACTTTACCGGCCTGCCTACTTTGGCAATAGCAGAAAGCTGCAGCGCGTGCAGTATTGCATGAAGTCCACAATTGTCGCTTCCTGCTCCGCTGGAGTCTTCTTCGTGGAAGAATCGCAATATAATGACTGGAAACTAGGATAGCAAATTTGCTTGTCGAAATGAGAGCTTCACGCCACCGGCAGAGCCAAGTATTCAAACGTAAGTCACCATCTTCGGAGGACGTGCCTATCACTGGCCGCGACAACTTGCGGAATGCGTCGATACAATAAAGCACAAGGCAGCTGCTATATCCGAAGTGCCATATCTGCGGGGATGTGATTACGTGTGATGATTAGGTCTTCGCACATTCTGATCGTAGAGCTGGATCTAATTCGAGACGTCGTTTCGAATCCGTGGAGAAAGGTGCTCCGTCGTGTTCGTCTCTATCAGTTCAGAGGAATATCGCTTGCAGGATCTGGAAGCTTCTGCTATGACCATACTATAGTCGACCTGCACAGCGTGTCGCTAAATCTTGAAAGGTTGACAAATGTATCGTGCGAATTTCAATTTCTCATCCTGGATTTTCTTGATTCGCTATGCTCGCATGATCGCATGCTCGCATGTATTTACTATAAAGCGGAATGAACTGTACCTACGTACGAGGTAGGTAGGAGGTAGGTAGGTAGGTAGACACTGTATGGGCGTATATGGTGATGTCAATGTTATTAGAGCGCGGTTTCACCCGCAGCTCGAGGTGCCAGCACTCCAGGGCTTCCTCGGATATGCCGTCCTCCAGCCATTGAGAAAGCTCAAGCTTTCACGAATTTACCACGTTCCTTCAGCGCATTCCGCCCATCACTGGTCGCCAGGACTTCAACAAAACACAGATTTTAATCACACGGTCCCTCTGACAAATGTCGTTCATTCGCGCGCGAGCTCTACGGAGCGTTCAATCTGCTCTTAGCAGAGGTGCACCACGCGTCTCTGCGCCCCGAACTCAACTTGTAGCCAAGCGTTTCGCATCCGGAGGACACGATGGTCATGCTCCTCCTGGCTCCGATCTGCCATGGTAGGCGACTTATGCGGGAAACTCGACGTGGATACGATACATGAGACTGAGGATTTTGCAGGTTGATCTCCGCTCTCATTGTCACCCCGGTCTCATGCTGGTACCTGTGGCCTGAGACTTCGCACGCGGACTCGCACCACGGCCACGGTGACCACGCTGCGCACGATGATGCGGACGAGAAGCATGAGGATAAAGAAGAGGACAAGGAAGAGGATTCGCAGCCGACCGAGGAAGTAGCTGAGAAGAAGGAGGAGATTGCCTCCGAGCCAACTGAGGAGAAGTCCGAGGACAAGACTGAGGACAAGGCCGAAGGAGAGGCTGAAAGCAAATCGGACGACGAAGAGACTGCGGAGAGCGATGATAACGCTACCTCTGGCGACAACAACAAGCGAGGAACCACTGGTACTAACAAGGTTCGATCCGATTCTGAGGGAGCTTCCGTGACACGAAAGGTCGAGGCCGGCAGCAAAGGCGGCAACAAGATCCGACTCGACTCCGGCCTGGGTAAAAACCTCGGCGAGGGCATCAACTCCGATACTGCCTACAATGGCTCCGAGGGCTCTGAGGTGAGTTGAGGGAAGTCTATGCTGATCAAAGTAACACCTACTAATCACCCACGGTGTAGAACAAGTCTGTCATGGCTGATAAGCAGAAAGGACTGTCCAACACCGACACTCGGCACTCGATACAGATTGATGCGCCCGGCTCTGAGCTTTCAACCAAGGGTCATGGTGGTCCAGAGACCGCAAAGCACAAGGGAACCGTCGATCCCAGGGCTCCTGTGAAATAAACCATCTGACTCGCTCACTCGGTTGACTGACGTTGTACTAGACCCGACAACAGGGTCGAATCCTGAGCTAGGAGAAGATGTGATGGAGTTCGGTCTGTGTGTCCATATGTAATCTATGAAAGTTTTTGATTCAAGGCTTTTAGCTACATAGATGCACCTTGTTTACAAAGAAGGTCACCAGTCGAAATATGCACTTTTGGGCCCATTGCACGTGAACGCCCATCCCTGCGTGACCATGGAGAGCGACTTCCTTGGTGCTGCGTATACATGATCACGCTGGGTGTACTCTCTGGCATAGCGTCATCACAGACGCGAAGCTGGTTGCATCCACGGCAGTATCCCAAGTGTCGTGAGATGGTTCCAAGGAAAGGTGATTAAGTACAGTACTGTGCGGGACCTTTAAAACAACAATCGCTATCATATTTGTACTGAAACGTATCTTTCCCTGAGAGTCGAGCGTTGAAGCACTCGGCGTCACGTAGCTATGACAGACAAGCCCAATCCGCTGATCGATGCGCTGCCTCCGAAATCAGATTATCTCACCTACCTGACCATCGTCGAATACAACCTGAACGTAGAGAACTTGCCGACTTTGCACGATGTGTTGCAGGACGAGGCATTAACGACGAATATCGGATGGGACCTTGTTCACCTGCTCGTTCCACTTCTTCCGGAATCCGAGCACTGTCTACAAGATGTGGCCAATTTGGGGAATCCTCGAGAGGTGATTCTCAAAGTCACGGAGAGTCTACGCCTGATCGATTACGAGAATATTCAAATTCCAGAGTCGCTGGCCGATCAAGACGATGAGGACGATATTCGCGCGCGAGCGGATGCATCGTCGTATCCTCTCAAAACTTCTCTTCCTGTAGGTAAATCGGAAGTGCCTGGGTCGGAGCAGTCGCAGGCCGTTGAAGCAGCGCCGCCACTACCATTGCCTATCAATCAGTTCATTGCTCTCTTGTCCATGTTACCGATCTTGCACCGGCGCATCAAAACGAAGTATCCAAGTCGATTCTTGAGCACTTCCCTACAAGCAGTTCTCGCCAGTTTCTCAAATGCCTCCAGTAACCGCGAGGAAATCGTCGACGCCATCGTGCGGATGGTAAAAACGATGTCGGGTGTACACAGGCCGCTCCTACCGGCCCGGAGAAGTAGTAATATGATCAACACCACCACCTCCGCAGCAGCAAAGACAGGTGCTGACCCTGAAGGGGGAGAAAGCTCCACGCCAGCAGCTGAAGACAGCGCTATCCAAAACAAGCTCTTCCAAGCATTCGTCACGCATGTTATGGAGGAGTATATGCTCAATCTACCTCGTCAAGATGGCGTCTCTGGTATGGCATGGTGTAGTAGGATTATGGAGAAATTATACCCTGATCGTCAAGTCCTTCGAGCGCAGAGCTTCACCGATCGCTTTCATACCGACGAAAGTCTCGAAAAAATCGCCGATGCTGTCGGAAACCTTACTGCACTCGCCAAAGACTTGAGAATCTCCGACCAGGACCTGCTTGAAGTAGCGATCACTGTGGAAAAACTGCCAGCTCATACGGGCGACGAGGAGGAACCCCCTAAATCCGCCGAGGACATTCCCCTCTCTCGACTGGGATCGCTACTGCTCTATGCTGCCCGAAGGTCCTCGAACGTGTTGTATGACGGCGCCTCGCGCGACCGCGCCTCTTTCTCACTTTTCCCAGATCACCACGAGTTGATCAAAAACTGCCTTGCATCCCCCGAACTGGGTGCAGGTCAATTGGGCACTGAGCCTGAAGCGCTGATTGATTCGGTGCTCGCGCTGAGCTTAGTATGCCTCGAAGGCGACTCGATCGGCGTGCCCAACTCCGATGACGACTTCAACCATTATCTCCAGACAATTGCATTTCTTTCATCTAATTGCCCTGACGCGAATCTGAGAGGCCATGCCCACTATATCACCACCACGGTTCTACGTTCCCAGCCGAACGATAGAGTCCGTCTGGATTTCATCCGTGATACGCTGGAGCATTGCCCTTACGAGAATCTCAAGGTCTCTGCAGTTGGCTGGATCAAAGGCGAAACTATAGAGTCCAATCCTCCATCACCAACACCGGAACATGATCATAGCGAGAGATCCATTTTTGCGTCACCATACGCTCTTGACAGTTTAGGAGCCTACCTGTTCCCTGCTATACAAGCACTGGGGCCTGATGCGCACATAGGAGATGCCTGGATAGACTTCCAGGTGAACGTCTCCTTTTATCTGGCGAGCTTGAATTTCTTGTACCTCCTACTCACAGCGGGACATTTGCACCAGCGGCTTGACATTCCAGATCTCTGGAGCAACAACGATGTGCCTGGGAGCTTTTTGCAGCCCCTGCGCAACCTGGCCACACAGTTCCAGGCAGAGCTGAAAGAGGGCGGCGCGCTGGCCTCAGAGAGCAGCGGCAGCGTGTTGGCGGAATTGCAACTTTTGGATGAGACCATACAGAAAGTCACGAAAGCAGCAAGTCGCTTAAGTATATGATCCAGCTTATCACATTGGATTGAAGGAACAAGAACCATCGCTTCCTAAGAGAAGGGCATGAGACCGCTTCTCGTCGGAAACAGTGAATTTTGAGTAATATTCGGACGCGGAGGATGTCGTATTTCGCGATCAGGGAAGAAACTCCCCACGTAGATACGATTCGCAAGCTCCAGCTACCATGTATTGTAGACGGAAGTTGGTGTTGTAGAGGCATAAGTTTGGAACGCATCACATGACATGCAATGCGAGATATCATAACCGTTCGTTCAATTGATTTGTGTAGGAAAGACGCAAGGATTGTGAGAGAACCGGGCCGAAAGCCTACGAGCTATCAGAGCATCTGTCCGTGGTTCATATTTCGTTTCCCCACTCAGAAAATCCGTTTTCCTGGAACTGGGCTTCGTAGTCCGTAGTATTGCGGCCGAGCCTCTTGGGTAAATCAGACAGCTTCACTTTCTTCTTGCTCGCGTCCTCTGCTCGAGAGAGATTCGAATAGAAGGTGCGCACTCGCTCGTGAGCATTGACTTTACTGGGATCGAAGCGTAGCACCTGCAGACCTTCCATACACGTGGCTCTGCTCAGGGCAACGTACGCTTGACCCTTCTCGAACACTTTTCCCAGATCGACCTTCACACGATCTAGGGTCTGGCCTTGGGCTTTGTGGATCGACAGCGCCCATGCCAGTATCAAAGGGACTTGACTGCGCGAGGCCTGCACTTCTCCCGTGGGCAGTTCGATTTTCCAGCTCTCTGCTTGACAGAGAAGGTCTCGGTGGGTGCCATCCGCGATGGAGAAGCGCACGAGAGGCCAAAGTTTTGAGGTACTTACGTGGCCCATCATGAGTTCCTTGGCACTCGGACCATCACCAGCATTTGAAGTAGATAAGCCAGGAGATGACGGCTCATCACTGCCTCTAGACAAGCTGTACGAGTCGAATGAACGCTCATCCATGAAAGCGATGACGCGACCAACAGAGCCATTGACCAATGACTCATCAATGTTCTTGATCAGCATTACCTGAGCTCCTTTTTTCAGCACGATCGTCTCTGGTGCGAGGCAATTGGACAATAATTTATCTCGATGGGTTTTCTCCAATATGGTACCACCATCCATGGCTTCGAATGTGAAATGTTTGCCCTGCAACAACCCGAGACGATCGCGATTGGCGTTGTCGACTTCGACTCGCGTCGGAAAGAGCTCTGTCGCCACAAGTTGATCTTCGGTCGGTAAAGGTCGAGAGAGTTTTCGAAACTCAGTGATGGAGTTTTCGGAGAGTCGACCCTCTCGCATCTCATTCAGCATCCCTGCAAACTTTGGATCCTTTTGACGGAATACATGGTGGAGGCCAATAGTATGCTCGATGCTAGTCGGCCAAGTCGCAGCGTCGAACGCAAATTTGGCGATGCGATTGTTCTCGGGCACGGGAGGAAGTTGAAAGAAATCTCCGGTGATAACTAGTTGGATTCCTCCAAATGGCCGCGCATTATTGCGAATGTTGCGAGCAATGGCCTCAAGTTTATCGAAGAGTTCGCCATCTACCATTGATACTTCGTCTATGACCAAGATCTTAGTCCTCATCCAGCGAGTTTTGGCCTTTCCATTTTTCTTGATTTTTCGCACCAGTTCCGGCACGCTTTCCTTGCCTAGGCCGATGCCAGAAAAGCTGTGCAAAGTAATGCCGCCGACATTACATGCTGCCAATCCAGTCGAAGCAGTCACCGCCACACGATCGGGCTCACGAGCAAATTTTCTGCGTAGAGTTGCGATGATTTCTCGAAGCAATACAGATTTTCCAGTACCTGCCGATCCCGTGAAGAAGACGCTTTTCTTGTCGCCGACGAGTTCCAGAACGTGTCTTTGCTCGTCGCTGAGGAACACTTTTGCTGGGCGCTTTTGGTTGCTTTTCGCAGCTTTGGCAGGTTCGACACTACTGTCAATCTTCTTGGGTGCCTTTCTCGAATCTTCTCGGTGCTTTTTCTGCTGCTCCTTGACTGCACTGAAGGAAGTGTTCCATAGCTTGCTCGTGGACGTCTTCTTCTCCTGTGGAGTGGCAAAATTGTGCTTGATTAATTCATGCGGATTTTGTGCCGCAAGGTCAGTACCAGTCTGTTCTGCTGGATGAGGTTCGTCCTGACTAGACCACGGAAGCGTCCGCGTCTTAGAATTGCTCATTTCCATTGCTGTTCGATTACCATTCCCAGTAGATCTGACATCAGCGTTGGGCTTTTGGGCGTACGGTTGCATAGAGGTGGCTTTGGCTGAAAGATGATGAGCCGGTGACGATGACCATGGTAAAGGCGCGCTGCTTCCTGGTATCTTCCTGCTTGGGCTCGTGTGAGAAAACCCGGATGAGTTGTGCTCACTTATGCCATGCGTCTGCTGTCTTAACGTTGATGTTGGGGCGAAGCCAGAATGCAATGTCGAGGCTTTAGTGGGCTGTTGTGTGCGGATCACGGATGTTTGAGGTCGTGCCTCGACGATTTCCAGGTCTATATCGTCATCACTTCCGAAGTCACTTTCACACAATTCCTGTGTAAAATCGTATAGTGTGTTGTGTGGTAAAGGTCGTGTTCTATTCGTTGTCTCGTCGCCCAATACAATGGGTCGATTTCGAGAGCCTGTGCCAACATTGTCCTCGAATTTTCCTCCCACAACCTTAGCAATACCACTAGCAGTCCGTTTGATTCCATTGCTGGGTCGAGTCTGTCGTACATTGCCGCCATTCAATGTCGAGGCAGAAGTTGGCAGAAGTGGGTTGCGGTATGTCGGATTCATGGTCGGTTGTCTGGCCGTGCTAGACGCACCTTTGGGTGTCGTGCGTGTCTGAGATGATCGCGCGTGGTCATGCTCTTGCAGCGCAGTTTGCAACATCTCTCGGGTATGGTAACGGCCTTCGAAGTGTCTGGCAGGAGAATGCTCCAGTGGCTGGATCGAACGGGGATGCGGTCGACAGGATAGAGTGATGGCAGCATAGGCCGGCTGCTTTGTTGCCTGACCTGCAGCTCGAGTCAGAAGCATACAGCAGAAGCCGTCAAGTACGGCGAATATGAGCGCCGTTCCAATGAAGTTGTGTATCGTCTGTGCTGGGACCAGGTATCGGTTAAAGTACAATATTGCCATGGCGAATCTCTTCACGTCCCTCTATTTCGAGGTTGACGCGGAAAAGACGCGCTAGGAAATTGTACGGCGTACCACAGCAGAGTCATTTGGGATTGTGTTCGTTATGGCGAATGCACACCTGGGCACACAGGAAGTAGCTCATTTGGCTATCAGGAGGGTGGCAGGCACTATCAACGGCTGGCTAAATCTAACCCTACCTCTTTGCTGGTCTTGTCAAAGAACAAATAACATCTCAGGTCGCACCTAGAATTGCCATCCATAGCTTGATAAAACATTTCGAGGTAAAGCTAGATCAAGAAGAGCAACAAATGGCTCGCCGGCGTATTCTAGCATGTCTAGATGATGAGAAGTGCACTGATACATTACAATCCGTTTAATTTTGAGAGCACTCACAATGCTAAAATACTTGAGCCTACAATGGTGGTGGTGAGAAATTGGGAGCATGGCAGATTGCGGCTCGCACAAAGTCTTTATCGTTGTCTGACGGCGCCTGCGCCACCGCGGTTCAGGAGGCCCGTCGTCGAAGCATCACTTACGTCCAAAGGGTCTCCATTGACCAGTAAAGTGGGTTTCGAAGCAACCTTTCCGGCCTCCCTTTCACTGCCAACATCCCCTTCGTCCTCGTCTTCCTCTTCCTCAGAATCACTGCGATCGTCCTTCCTGTCGCCCTTGAACAACAGACGCAATGCGATTCGAATGATGAGGACATACCAGAAGATGTTGACGGCTTGTAGCATGGCGAGGAGACCGAATGTGATGACCTGCGAGAGCAGACACTTGTACTGTTGAGCGCTCCAGTTGAGCTCATATGGCCCGATGGTTTCAAACTCTCCGCCAGGACGCATAGACCACAAGACCCGTAGGTTGATGTAATGCCGTAAGTAACCCCAGACAAACAGGAAAAAAATGAAATAGGGCCCGACAATCGCCCAGTCCAGGTAGTTGAAACATTTTGAAGTCTAAGGGGGCCATTTGTTAGTTTTACTCAGTCGTTGAGCAGTTGACGAATGCCATAACTTACTGCAAGGAAGAAATCTGATACATCCATTGTAATGTAGATGATCAGGCCGATGTATGTAAAGTGGAAGCGGTAACTCAGGCCGATTAGGGCGAGAGTGACGATGTGATGGAGCACGAGTTCTTTGAAATCTTTCCTCGGTTTTTCCAGCATGAGGAGCATTACCAGTCCTTGTTGGGCCCAGTAGGACGCTTGCAGCAAATAGTACGCCTTGAAATACGCATCGTGGGCACGATGCGGGAAACCAACATACATGGCCTCGGTATTGAAGAACCACATCGGAGTGCGACTCATGACGTATAGTCCATATGGTCCAAAAATGCCGAAGTATACAGCTGTGTAGCACTGCTCCATGAATCGAGCTTGTCTTGCTCGGTTGAGGATGCCAGCGCGGATGGCAATTGGTCGGATCAGACATTGCATGAGAAACTCGCGCGTGAAGGACAGGACAATTGTGTAGAAGCCAAAAAATGCCAGATCCTTGAGGCCTTTTCCATATTGCGTCGGATTCCCAACGTGTGCCGGCAGTGTGTTGGTTTGTTGATACAACGGCGGATTGGCATATGACAGGAATATGGCGGCATGTAGTGGATTGTCCTCGCCAGGTCTGACGATGTATGCTCCCAGGATACCCAATATAACGATGAGCGGATTGACCCAAGTATGCTTCAATGACATTCGTTTCCATTTACTGAACCAGCTCTTTCCCCTTCTCCGTTTCGCAGGCACTCGGCTCGATTTCTCGTTGGCGGTATCCAGTATTGGAGACAATGGCGGAGACTGTTGTATGTTCTCGACTTGGGCGAGATTGGACGTCGCAATAGATGTAGCACCTGTGTCTCCTCGTGGGTCACCCCGTAGAGAGCTCACGCGTCGCGCTCGGGTCGGCCTTTGTGCAGGGGTATTGCTCGAATGCGCGTCGAAACCAGGCTCCGGCTCGAGCGGCGGAAATGCCTCCATGCCGGATGATTTGGATGCCATGATGAAAGCAGTCTCTCCCGACCACAATGCGAGATCAATGCTGATCTGGTTGAAACAAATACTCGAGCGATGGAAATACTGAATGTCGAGTCTCGCCAAGACGCGGTTTCCCTTGAGGGAAATTAAAGTTCCCGCGCGTTACGGCCATCTGATATCCTGAGCCGGACCGTTGGCATGCACACCTGAGAGCTGGATACTCCTCTTTCACTGGAGCTACCTCCCCCTATTGAAATGCAAATGCCATCAAATGCTTTCGCATTCAGAAGATGAAAGAAGTAGAAGAAGTAGAAGGGGAGAAATGCCAATGATGTGTGTGAACAACCTTGGAAGTATTAGTATGAGGTTTGACGGTTCGTTACAAGCTCCAGACCCCTGAAACGATGTTCATATTGTACGTCGCAAGCAAATCCTATGGGCATTCATGCCATAGCAAAGGACTCGAGATTAATGAAAGCGCGGAAGCGTCAGAACGCTGCAAAGCAGTTTCCGGAAGCAGAGGCGACCACACAGTCAATCACGCATTTAACTAGTGAAACATAACACTGTGCGAGGGTACTAACTTGACGCCCGCATGAAAGAAGGGATGTACGCACTGGAGCGGAAACACGCAGCCGTGGTCACAACCGAACGTTGTTGCGCTGTGAATGCGAATTGTCATGTCCAGGTCTGGGGCACGATCCAAATCACATGCCGGGATGCAATGGGTTGTCTCAAGAAGAATGGCTGAGATGAAAATCGACTGGGACCAAACAATGCTTTGCTGGTGCCAGGCGAAGTGCAGAGTCGTCCTTACATGCTTTGTAAACCGAATGATGAATGTGAGAAGATCTGGTATCCTCGCAACTGCTGCGCGGTCATGCATCGACCAACCAAGTGCAGTCTGACGTTCAGGGTAGATGAGCAGCGTGCTCCATTGCATCCCATCCACGAATAGCATGAAATGTCACATCGCAAGATCATGTCCCCAAGGTGGAGTGAAAACTCGCGTGTCCGGTGCAGCAGTAAAAGATAGGGTTCTCACGCTCCATCAAATAAACCAACGCTACCAAGTAGAAATTGGAGGTCCTCGCACAGGGCTCCATGGCATCTCTGATGAAGCGAAATCGTCATGATCTCTACGAGTCCTCCTACGAGACAGTGACGTACTTTGACGGTCGTGCGCAACCAGGAAGGCAAGGAAGTTGAGTGTTGACGAGGCTTAAGCGAGAAACGATCGTTTGCCTTTCGTTTTCGCGAAGACCTCGAGGGCCAGGGGGTAGGTGGGTAGTTTCGTGAATTTCGGGAGACTGACCATAATGACTTCACACCTGAATCGTCACACCCCGCCACAGCAGAGCATCGAGATTCGTGTACAGTTGTTGTCGGCGTGACCAAGTTGCACATGTCGAAATGGTGGCCCCGGACCCCCCTTTTGAGCGTTGCACGAGCTGCAATAACAATAACACCGAGGACTCGCAGGAGAAAGCATCAAGAAATATCCAATCGGTCCATTTGCAGCATCGTGATGAGCGGCCCACTCTGCTACAGTGACAAAGCACAGATGGCATCATGGTGCCTACAATCTGTGTCATTTTGTTATGTATCCCAGGCCTCTAGGTCTGACGTCCTGTAGACTAAGGCATATGGCCGACTGAAGGTCCAGTGGTGAATAGCTCGCATCATCACCAATGTTCCTGGCCGAAAGATCTGTGGACGATGTTGCCAGTAATCGTTGCATTGGGCAATTTCGAGCGTTATCAATTGAACCTAGGTATATACTGCTGAAGTGATACTTTGAGTCCATGAATCAATCGACCCGGGTATCACATCATAATCCTACCTTGTCCTACAGTGTGTCATTGTTGCAAACGTCGACATCCCATGGCGGACCACACAATGTTCACGTTTCCAGCGGCTTCCTTTGGGCCTTCCCGAGGTGCAAATTGATAGCTATGCCGGACTCAACTCGCTATCTCTCGCTGGAAAGTTGGGTAACCCATTAAGCGAGACTGTGGTCAGCCCGTACATTGTGTCACAAGCATACAAACGCATCGAGATGAGAAAGCTTCTGACACGACAGGGCTGCCATTGAACCTCCGACGGGAGCGTGCCACGGATGAGAGCATAATCGGCGTCGATGGAGCGATCGTCACATATGCCAGGTGTGCTCGCAAGCTCTGGATGTGGAAGTCGAAGCGCAGCTCTTCGAAGCTATGGTGGTCAGCTGGTACACGGCAAAGCGTCATACATAGCTTGATCAGGAGGGCATATACGATCCTGAGCGAGTGAGAAGGGCAAAGACATATGGCGGCTTGAAAAATCGAAGAGCGTTGCGAATTGAATCGTTCGGCGATGACGCAACGAGTCAATTTCCTGAAGTCGCCCGCCCACAGGCTGACCGAAGTCGCAAGGCATACCTACTAGGTAGGTAGCTTTCTATGTTTACTGGCAATGACAAGGAGGCCGGAAACTCTCATCACCTGGGCACTCATTCAAACCATTGGCAACAACCTCCGGGCTTGGAACAAAGGTGCTGTCCATTTTGCGAGGCGCTACCACGTGATTATCCAGGTACGTGCGGAAAAGGCATCAGATGAGGCAGTAGTGGCGCGAGCAGCTTCGTGGCGCTGATGCCTGGTTGTGCGGCCTGGCGGACGAAACAACCTCGAGATCCATCCTTCCATTTCCACAATGCTCTAGCCTCTTCCGAAGCTCGACGCCACACTTGGCCGAGAACAGCCTCCCGCCGGCGGTCATCGTGATGTCATCGCCAGTGGCACGTCATCCGAAAAAGTTGGCCAAACGCGTTACGCGACCCCATCATCATATGCGAAATGCGCATCCGTCATTGTTTGTGCCATGGTCGTTCTTGTGCCCGTGTCTGCCCGCTCTGCATGACGAAAGCTCAATTTCCGCCAGGAATACCCCACTTGCTCTTTGCGGGCGACCCACGTGTGACGCATCTGGCGGTTGCCGATGACGATGCTGTGCAACATTGTGTGGCAGTCACTGTCGGAGGGGTAGAGGGGTGCCTGGCGAAGTGAGAAGGCACGGTCAACAAACGAGATATATAATGTTTCCTCAAGCCCCCTGAATACAAATTCATATCCTTCATCATCAATTCTCTACAATCAATCAATCTACCTCCAACCAAACCCCAAATCACATCCTTCAAAATGTCTGCCCCTAACGTCAACAAGCCCAACGAGTCCATCGTCGGCCAGGCCGCCAACGCCGTTACCAACGCCGCCAACTACGTCTCCGAGACCATCCAGGGCAAGAGCGCTGAGGCCAGCAAGGAGGCCAACAAGGAGCAGGCCAAGGGCAACGTCCCTGGCAAGGACTCCCTCTCCGACCGTGTCTCCGGTGCCACTGGTGCCATCTCCGACAAGCTCGACCAGAGCAAGCACGACGCTTCCGCGACTGCCAACAAGCACGCCAACTAGAGTGCTCCATCCTACACATCAAATCAAGACTTCACATCAATGATACGATGACGACCTCTGGGCATTCAGCATGACCCATCAAAACGACTAAAAAAATTGGGCGGATTATGATAACATAAAATGGCACTTTAGTAGCGGTAGACGACTTTTCTTCTGTCAGATAGTCCTACAAATGCCAAAAACAGCTTAAGAAATTCTCAATCATGCATGAGTGATTGTTTGTTGTGATTCGTGAGATATTGATGTATTTTTCTCTCACAGTGACTGTAACAACGCTGCTGCTGGGGTAAACTTTACGGTGATGTGTTATTAACTTTCCAGCTTCCGAAGTTTGCTCCCCGTATCTCAGCACGGTGCTGTCGGCGAAACCTACAATTTACCAAGATGCTAAGGCTGGTGCGTAAATTCTTTTGGACACGAGCTGTTGGCGTAATTGCTTGCGAACGAACGTGACGCGTGGCAGAAGATTGACCCTTGATGCTCGATGATTTAGACGTGCGGGCGGGTTACTGGAAATTCTACAAAGCGAGTGGTATAATTGCAGGCAAGCATCATTGTGTAAATCAATTGCCCCACGATCAGTCAGTGCGTTGTCCTACATCCTTTCGATTGTCTAAACGCTCTCATCGTTGCAGTAATCGAGCTTGGTCACGACATCGCGTTGGCAGCCTGACGACAAATCGCGCTTCACCTCCAGCTTCTTGTACGACTTTTTTGGGAAATTGGGAATCAAAGCTCTTCTTCGATACGACACTGGACAAAAGGCTGGCATTTGTCAACCACGTTTAATGGTTAGAGTCCGCATGTCTTGTCGCAGGCTTTCAGTAACCGTGCTTGCCATCACGAGAGAAAGCGATTACCTACTCCGGAGTGCTGCAGGCGACGCAATTGATTCTCAGGGGCGTTGCTTATGCCCCACCCATGGTCGATCGTAACCTCGAAGTTCGACCGTTTCTCCATAGGCGTCTGATATTCACGTCCCGATGAGCTGGAGAATTGCTTGTGAAGTCAAGGATATCGAACTTTCGGAAGAGCTGGGGTGAAGCTGTGAGGGGGCCTTGCGTCAGCGGCTTCGCCAAAGCGCGGACCGAGCGTCTACCTGGCCAGTAGTGGAGTGTTTCTGCAGCTACACAGAGATTCCCCGAGACCACCACATCCGCCGTCGCTGCGGCCAGGGCATTCTCGCGGATATCTGTCCCCAGTGATGTTCATATATCAATCATGAAGAGATACTGGATGCAGATTGGGTTGAAGAGTTCCTTTTTGGTGGCAGAGTCTGTTTAGCCGTGATGCTTGCATGCGAGACCGTGCGCTTGATGAGGACCCCGGACTACATGCCATCCTTGAACTATTGGCCTTCAAGAGTGTCTTCTGTACCTACCTAGGTAGGTATCCATTGAACTTGTACATGACCAGGAGCAAAAGAATGCGAGGCCATGGGATATCTGGAATGCCTGAGCATGGGATGTTGCGGGCTTGGCTTGGCCTCGTGATGTGCATATACCCACCTGGGCACTTGCAAGATGGGGGGTAAATGTCCCTCTGCTGCGGCGTGCTTTATTATATAAAACTGTCGCTGAAGAATCACCAATTTTACCCTCGAGCCTTTTCAGTGTGAGCCCGCCATCTGTCGTCATTGCATTGAAACTGATCCGCACACGCGCATTTTACCAGTCCACGGGTTGGCGACCTTTCAGGGTTCGAATTTGATGTCCGATATCACCGAAGAGAGCGAACATCGATGGTGAGACATCCCGACGACAGCAGTCCTGGCTTGCGCGCGCTGTGATAAAGTCCCTCTCGCTCTACTCTTCTTTCTCCAGACCGTCGTCCGAATTTTTCAATTTTCCTTATCAGCGTCGCACACGGTCGCAGCCCGTCTGACCTCGTCGTCCAAGATTCGAAGGCTGTCTTGTCCTTCCCTCGCATCATTTTCTCCTGCACGAGCATCATCTACTTCCGGACTTCTCAGCACCTTTCTCAGCACCGGATCAGCCGACCACGATCTAGTCCATTCCACATCAGTCTCTGCTGCGCCGTGCGAAAGGACCTTCTCTGACATACATTTGTGCACCATCGGTGCCATCCAGTTATACATAAATATAATCTATGCCCTCGTTCTGTCCGCATTTAGCACAACTCATTAAAGCCTCGAATTCCTGCCCGACCCTCCGCCGTCATGCTAGGCCCGCCTGCTTCGGCTGCAACAAATTCGACCAGCGAATCCACTCCATCGTCGTCGGCCCGTCCCAGTCGACTGCGCGGTCTGTCATATTTACGAACATACACTCATAACCACCTGCATTCCCACGGCCATCGTGCTGAATCCCAGCCTTTAGCAAGATCCACATCTTCGCCAGGCACCGAGACCACTAGCGCCACCCTCAGCAGCACCGCACCCCCCTTGCCTCAGGCAGGAGGTGGCTCATCGACCGCAATGCAGTCTCACGAGCATGGTTGGATACCCACGATTCAAGGTCGCAGTGGACTCAGTCGAGAAGGTGCTCACCCACATCTGACCTCCACCTTTCTACCCGCTGAGTCGTCTGAGCCCACCAACAGCGTTTTCTCCGGTGCTGCGAGAAGTCGCGCGGCTTCAGCGCTGACACCTGCCTCGATTGATTTGGTTGAGCCCGCGCCGGCAGCAACCATGTCACCTTTGCCGCCTGCGCCAGCATCGTTGTCCACCGAACTCCCGTCCGCGCCAAACGAGACTGCTGCTCCGCCCTTGACCATACGATTCAGTCCGCACGTAGAGCTACGGTCGACACGGCCATCACTCCACTTCACTGCCATATCGCGAACACTTTCAAGTCCGAACGGTGTGGTGCGGGTCGGACGGTATAGTGAGCGGGATCACAAAGCAGCGGGCGATACTTCGACCTCGCCTGTTGGGTTCAAGTCGAAGGTTGTCAGTCGACGGCATTGTGAGTTCTGGCACAACTCCGGACAGTGGTATGTGAAGGACGTCAAGTCCAGCTCAGGCACGTTCCTCAACCATGTGCGCCTGTCCAGTCCTGGCGTCGAAAGCCGGCCGTTCCCGGTCAACGACGGCGATGTTGTGCAATTAGGTATCGATTTCAAAGGAGGCGAGGATGACATATACCGATGTGTTAAAATCCGTGTCGAGTGCAACCGCACCTGGCAGAAGAGTGCCAACGCGTTCAATACTTCGGCGCACAAGAAACTCCTACAAAATGCGCTGCGAACCGGCGCCAAGCGCAATTCTGACGCTGGAAGCATCAACAACTCCGAGTGCACTATTTGCTTCAACGCTGTGGCGCCACTCCAGGCGCTGTTCGTGGCACCTTGTGGTCACGTCTGGCATTATAAATGTATCCGGCAGATTCTTGTGGGACCGCATTATCCAAATTTCCCCTGCCCCAATTGCCGCTTGGTCGCGGACCTTGAAGCGGAAATCGATCAGTCCGAACCGTCCGGCGACGACGACGAGGCGGAGGCGGAGGGAGATCTCAGTGAGCCGCCTCAATCGAATATCGACAACCTCTCTACTGCAGAGAGCCAACGAGCCGGATCTTCTTCCGCTCAACCCCAACGCAACACCGATTCCTTTGCACCACTCATAAACAATTCCGGTTGGTCTGACGCCGATCTTGCACACGCTCTTGCCGCAACCACTCTCCATACCAGCGAGCCATCGATTCCTGTAGCAGAGGTTCGCCTCGGAACGCCGGGCACCGACAGCGATACCAGATCTTTGGTCTCAAGTCCTCTGGGCAACAGTCACCTGCCCGAGACGGCTTCGCGGCCGATCTATGTGAACGGAACTTCCACAATCTCACATCCGGAGGGACCTATGACGCCGAGGAATGATGTAGGACCTTTCATACTAGACGGAGGTGGTATAAACGGGTCAAGTGGAGAAGGAGGGAGTGAGAGCGATACATCTGGTGCACAAACAAGAGCAAGATAATATCTTGGGTTTCATGGTTGTATAGTCTATTGTCGGAGCCAAAGCATGATTTGAGAAGTTGAAGCCTGGCGCTTGGGTGTCACCGGGGGTGTTGATATGTTAAAACCATGACGTGATGGCGTACTATGAGGGCGATTGAAGGGCTATTACGCTGAGGGGGAATGGGGCGTGTTGACTAAGGCGTTTGGTTTGGTTTGAAACCCTTCCAGCATATATGTTCTTAAGAGCATGTGGATCTGCAGCAATGCGAGACGTGCGTGCATGCAGGTCTTTGGAGAAGCCTGGGCAAGCCTGCGGTGCGCACTGCAATAGAAAACCGGCAGGATGATTGTTGGGGACAAAACGAGAACCTTAAGCCCTCAGGCGACATGATATTTCCTGGCTGGATTTGGTGGATGTTTTCGAATCGAGCCAAGTCACAATTGCCCAAGTCTTCGAAGATTTTGAATACGAGCCTCCATAAATTCGCCCATGGTAATGGCAGACCGGCAGACTTGCAATGATGCCTGAAAATCATCGTGGGCACAAAGGCTCAAGTCCCAAGATTGAACACATACTCAATTACCGGCTTAGTCGCTCCTGTCACTCAGCCATCAATGAGTTTCCTCATTGCCGGTACAGCCGCCCACTGAGCTGCATCACCCTTCACAACCTCAATCACCTCCTCGACATTCGCCGCGCCCAAGCCCCGCACACTCCCGTAAACATGTGCACATCCACCTCCCAGTTCAGGCGGAAATCGTGTCTCGCCGTCGAGGTCTGCGGCGCGTAATTGTAGGATCCACAGCGTGGGCTCCGAGGCGAAGAAGAGGTCGGCGGTCTTAGTGGTCTGTGAAGCGGTGGAGAGATGAATGAAGCCGTCTTGCGAGTCCAATTGCGTGGCGGGCAAAGTGCTGGGAAGCGGAGTTGGAGGCTTTTGATCGAGGATTTTGTAGAGATAGCGGGGTCGGGGTGAGGCTGTGGTGGTAGTTGTCGAAGACATGGTGGTTGTTGCCGCGGAGTGATGTGGTTGTTATATTCTCTCGATGCGAGGCAAAGACTCTGTGGCGCTTCAATTAAATTTGGGATTTCAATGGTCTCCAGCTCCAGTGCTCTTACAGTCCCTTTATTAAACGACTGGTAAGTACCTGGAAGCTCTGAGGTCTTTACTAGTAGCTCAAGCTTGCTGGATTCTCACAGCCTACGCAAGCTAGTCAACTCCATTGTGTCCTCTGCCCGCCATGTTAATTCCAAACGGTCCCGATAAAATCAGTACTCGTTGAGTGGGAATTGTAGGCACGCAATAAATTGCATCCGGGTTCGGTGTACACGACCCTGTTCTCTCGTTATCGTACATGGCATTTCGTGCGGGCAAGGCAAAGAAGAAGGCTCAACAAAGCCCATGTTACGAGCTCTGACTTCTTCCAAGTGCCGAACGTGGCTCAAGTCGAGAAGATAAAATGCCTACCCATACCTGGACCGGCACCTACCGTTCGTGGGCCGTTGCAGGCTTGCGAGCAGTCCACGGGTCCGTTGAATGGTCTTTACCACAGCTCAGATCCTAACCATAAGCATCTTCGCCACAAGGATAGGTAGATCACAAAAGCACGCCGATCTGTTCGATAGTCTATTCCTCGCGAGCAGAGTGTCACCTTCTCTGACTGCGTCCCGATCCAAGTTGCTCTGATTTCTGATCGGAGGCTACAGAAGAAGTCCGTTTAGACCTCTTCCGGCGAGGTCTCTCTGGTAGATCTGTGACTGGACTGGTAGCCACGTGGGATGTTTTCACGTTCGTGGCCCGAATCGAGTCGGTGCTTTCCCGCTTCCTCTTTTTCTTATCCTGTTTTACCTTGGCTGCCGCCTTCTTTTCTTGTTTGGCTTGTAGTCGTGCTGTCACTTCTGCGGAAACGTCCTCGTACTTGACACCATCTTTGACGAAAACATTCGTTTCTTTTGGAAGGAGCTCTGCACCATTGTTCAAATCCTTGTTGTTGTGGCCGCTTTTCGCAGCCGTCGGTTTGTTTGCGCTCGGCGTCGTGGCAATTTCCGCGTGCTGGTGATTATTGCTTGCCGATGCAGTCAGGCCATTGCGTTTTCGAAGTTTACTCGACCGTGGCTTCGTGTCTGTGCCGCTAGGTGACTGACTGAAACGAGAGTGCTCGTTTGTGGGGATTCCCCAATTGCCGATGTTGGAGGCTTTGTGGTCGCTTGTTTGTCGTTTCGAGGTATCACGAGCGCTGACAACTCCGGCGACGGCATTCTTAGCTTCAAAAGCAGAACGGGAAATGTTCTTGAAGCTTTCGTGCGAATCGGCAGCATCTCTGCCCATTGCCGGCTCTGGGGCCGTCAACAGGACTAGCTGCTCGAAAATATTGTGGTAAGAATTGATGGCCGTCGTCCATGCTGCCAGCGTGCTGTCCAGATATCGTCCATGATTGTCGACCCGAGACGGCCGATCTCCTACAGCCAAGTCGACATGTTGAAGTTTCACATGTAAACCTTGGACAAGATCGCGGGCTAGCAGCAAGTTGGACTTCTGCAGCTCCAATTGTTCGCAGGCTTCCCTCAGAGCATCGAAAAGAGGCTGGGATGCTGCGTAGGCAGCGGTGGAATTACGCTTGCGCTTGGGCATGCTTCAGTATAGTACACCGACCGTGTACCTTCTACTCAAGAATCCTAAGGATCTCCGACGGAAACAATCTTGCAACATGGGAATGACGAGGCGGAGATTGCAATGAGACCGCCACGCGACACAGGGCTAAAAGCCTTAGGCCAGGAACGCGTTCGCGATGAACGCCCACCCGGGCGTGTAGCAGATTAAAATCCACTGTGAGTGTACGTCATCGAGCTGTGTTCTCTGCATGCAGCTCTCATGAGAGATCACCAGGGCCACTCTAACAAGATGGAGCGGCAGACAGTATCAAAACAGTAGATACTTTCGAAACAGTGCGAAGAAATTGTGATCCTTCACGACCTTCATAATGAAGCTGGACCAAACAATTTCATGGTGTAATATACTGTTTTGCACATGACCGTGCAGCGCAGATATTCATTTCAACTCTCACCTGTTGCTTGCTCTGAATTGGTCCATGGGTGCTTCGAAAAAGTACCCCACCCACAAATGTGGCAGCTGGGTGGCGGTGATTGACGAGGGTTGTCAATGATGCCGCTGCTTCATGGGGCAAATCAGATTACCAACATCCATCCTACACGACGGGTACATGTGGTTGGGAGCCTCTACACGCGAAGCAATGTTTGATCAGCAAGATCGATAGCTAGCTGTAGGCGTTGATACACCATACATATATAGCATTGGTTTCACTGTGCGTGGGATGCGTTCGAACACATTCGGCAAAGATGAATTGGGACTCCCAAATTTTAACAAGTGTGTATGTAGCTCTTTGCTTTCCTATGCAATCATTGTAGGCGCCAGCGGCACAGGCAGCACTGGCGGTGTCACTTTTTGACGAGCACAATAGATCGCAAGACTCCTCTTAAGTTCCTTGCCACATACCACTCTCGCCATACAACTAAGCAAACTTAACCCATTCACCAGCTTCTCCAGCATCAACTCAGCTGCTGCAGTGAGGTGACGCCACGCCCACCACAGCCCACCGGACCTAAACATTTGCCGCACGCAAGTGATCAATCACACTCTTTTGGTTTTTCTGATTCGTGGTTCACTTCTCAGCGCATACTACACACATCACATCTGAACCGCTAATTGCGTGACCGTCGCGGTCACAGCGTCGCCATGTCGTCCAACAGTGTACCAACTGCGCCGACCGCCCACAATGTTGCTGCTTTACTGCCCAAGTTGCAAGATGCTGACTCCGATATCCGCTATATGACTCTGAACGATCTCAGCCAGATGTTCACGAATGGAAATGCCACTTTCATGGCCCATGACTACGCTGTCTGTGCTAAGGTTGTTGAAGGTCTGTTGCATACTCTGAATGACACAAACGGCGAGGTACAGAACATGGCCATTCAATGTCTCGGCCCCTTCGTGAACAAAGCACCCGAGAGTGTCCTCTGTCCTACAATTGAGAAGATCAGCACCATCAAGACCGAGAACACGATCGACAATTCGATACCCGCCATTGCAGTGCGGGCCATCGTTGTTGCACTGCCACATCCCGTACCCGGTGTGCCTCACAGCCAGAAAGTGCTCGAATCATACAGCGCCATTTCGCGAGCCTTGATACCACGCCTAGTCGGCCGCATAGTGACTCCAGTTGCAGGAGCAAAGCCAGTGCCTGCGACGTCCAAGGGTATGCTTCAGCATGAACTAGACACCGGGAGCGACAGCAGCAGCCTGGATCTCTTGTCCGAAGTGGCACGATGCTTCGGACCAATGCTACAAGAGGCGGAGGTGGGTGCGCTTGAAAACATCACAATGCAAATTTTGGAGAGCAGTAGATGTGGGTCAGTGGTGAAAAAGAAGGCTGTGGCATCGCTTTCAGCCTTGTCCTTATACTTCAGCGATGAGCTACTTGCCAAGCACATCAGCTACACAATCGAACAATTAAGACAGCCGCATCTCACGCAGCAGCAGCGCAAGTTGTACCTCACCATGTATGGTAGCCTGGCGAAAAGCATCCCGCAAAATTTCGGACCGTATCTCAAGACCTTGACACCATTCGTTCTTGCGCCATTAAGCCAACAAGAATTGGACGATCAGGAGGAGGCACAGGTCGAAGCAGATGGCGAGCGCGATGTCGAAATTGAGGAGGTACGAGAGGCTGCTTTGACTGCGACCGAGACATTCTTGGAAGTATGTTCCCACGATATGAAAGGTCATCTCGACGACGTGCTTGAGTCGACGATCAGATTCCTCAGCTATGACCCAAACGTGGCGGACGACGAGGATGAGGATATGGACGATGAGGAAGAAGACTTATTCGACGGGGAAGAAGATTTCGAAGAAGAGACTGGCTTTGATGATGAAGACGATGTCAGCTGGAAAGTCCGGAGGTGCTCTGCCAAAGCACTTCATGCTCTGGTGGGTGTTATGAGCCCAACAGATCCCGCCATGTTTGATCGGATCGCACCAGCGCTCATCTCGAGATTCAAAGAGCGAGAAGAGAGTGTGAGAGGCGAGGTAATCAGCGCGCTGGCATTCTTGATCAATCGTACCGGATCCAGCTTGGCGCTACAGCGGTCGCAGCATGCATCACCTCCGCAAAGCAGGAAGAGGAGGCGCGGGTTCAGCGATTCCTTAGGCTCTGACCTTCAAGCTCAGCAGACCGTTATGAACGGCTATGCCTCACCGACGACGCCGCCGCCTATGGACAGTTCAGGTCAAGGCCTTGCCAGGATCAATCCTGATATCGTCAAAGGGGCCGCTAAATTGCTCAAGTCAAGCACACCAGCGACAAAACAAGTCGTTCTTGCACTACTCAAGGATATGGTGTCTGCGCAGCAAGGGGGTCTTTCGGCTCATGTTGTACTTGTCATCGATCCTGTCATCGAAGCAATGAGCAGCAGCAGCAACGCTTCCATCTCCAATGTGGCTAAGAACGCTTTGCGAGTCGAAGCACTCTCCTTACTTCGCATCATTGCCGAAACACATTCAGGCAAAGTGTTGCAGCCACATCTAGAAAAGATTGTACCGGCGCTTGTTTCGGCGGCCAAGGATCGATTCACTAGGGTGTCTGTGGAGGCCCTGACGACCATTGAAGTCTTCGTCAAAGCGCTCACACCTCCTCGCTCCGCCGCTAGTAAAGGCCAAAACGGCGTCGTCATCAAGCAATTATTCGATGTGATTGTTGATAGAATCTCTGCCTCAGACTCTGATGCGGACGTCCGACAAAAAGCCATTCAAGCTTTGGGCTTACTGATTGGGCGCACGTCAAGTGCAGCCGGATCGAGTCTCCTCCCTCAGGAAGACAGATTTGCTGGTCAAAGGCTTTTAGCGGATCGACTGAACAACGAGCTGACGCGACTTGCATCAGTACGTGCCGTGGATACAATTGCGGTGCTCGCGACGAATAAGGACAATTTCCCGCCAGGATGGGTGGACACCGTGGCTTTGATCTTATCGGCGCAGCTCCGTAAAGCTAGTCGCTCACTGCGTGGAGCCAGCCTGACGGCTCTACGTATGCTTGCTGTCAACAAAGTATCACGGACATGCATGAGCGAACGTGTTGTCGACGAGACGACAAGGATGCTTGTGCCCTTGTTCGACGCTCGAGAGCTCGACTTGCACATGGCTGGTCCTGCCTTGATTGTTCTGGCAGCTTTTGCAGATCAATATCCCCAACTGGTCGCTACACCCGATGTCATTAACGCCATCTGTATGATACTCAAATCAGCAGTATCGGGGGGCACTCTTGATGCTTTGATCACCCTCGTAGAGGCTCTGGGTCGCGCGGGAGCAGGCAAGGAACTCATGGCAACTCTGCTGCAAATTGCGCCCCAATGTGATGCAGATGTCACGGGGCAAGTCATTGGCACCCTCCTGGTGTCTGGCGGGCAGAGCCTTGGCGTCTCTCTGGAGGCATTCACGCAGGAACTGAAGACTCAGAAGGAAGAGTCAAGGCGATGCCTAGCACTTTCTGTGCTCGGTGAAGCTGGTTTACGCCTGTCGACGACCTCTCCACTCACACCTGAGACATTCACGGCATACTTCAGTGATCCCTCCGAGAAAGTGAAACTAGCTGCTGCTGTTGCACTTGGGCGCGCCGGAGCTGGCAACGTTACAGCGTATCTTCCTGACATCTTGGAAAAAATGTCCAAGGGAAAGCAGTACCTACTCCTTCACTCTCTAAAAGAGCTCTTGCAGCACAGCAACGCCGAGGATGATATTCGTCCTCATACCAAAGCGTTGTGGGACAACATCATTGCTTCCGGACAAGCGGAAGACAACAAGGTTGTCGGTGCCGAATGCATCGGAAGGTTAGCCATCATCGATCCAGCTGCGTACTTGCCTCAGTTGCAAGCATATTTGCAGAACCAAAACGCCACTATACGAGGAATGGTGATCGCCTCGCTCCGATACATTTACTCTGATACGGATGCTGCGTACAATCCCAATCTGAAGTCGAGCATCATTCCTATGCTGGCTACCATGCTGGCTGACGGAGACCTCAACAATCAGCGGCTTTCCCTCTCGACATTCAACTCAGCACTTCACAACAAACTAGACTTAATCTTGCCTCAGCTCCCAGAGCTACTCCCATACGCCATGCAGGCCACTCTGATTCGTCCGGAGCTCGTGCGCGAAGTACAAATGGGCCCGTTCAAGCACAAGATCGATGATGGTCTTGAGATTCGCAAGTCCGCATATGAGACTTTATACGTACTGCTTGATTCGGCAGCCACCCGTCAACGCTTAGACATGCCATCATTCTTTAATCGCATCGTCGCTGGAGTGGGGGACGAGCACGAGATAAAGATCCTCTGCTGCCTGGTCTTGACCAAACTGCTTGCCATCTCCCCCACAGAATGCGCTCGACACCTAGATGCTTTGGCGCAGCATTTCCGAGCAGTCTTGTCATTCAAGCCAAAGGACAACGCGGTCAAGCAGGAGCTTGAGAAGCTTGCCGAGCAGAACAAAGCGGTCGTGAAGGTCTCTGTGGCATTCAACAAAGTCTTCGGCTCTGAGGATAACAGGAACTGGAAAGAGTACTTCGACTGGGTTAGGAGTGTTCATCCCATGATGCTCAGGGCGGCGGAGGAAGAAATGCGAAGCGACGGTCGTTAGTAACAACTGTACCAATCCATTTCTGCTTCAGGTCCTTCCCTACTTGGCTCTGATCAGCTACAACATTTGCCGACAGAGGTGAGCACCCTAAGTCTATGTCATTTCAACCATCTTTCATGAGGAGCATTTCTGCAGAAGATGTTTCGCTTGTGTGTGTCGTGAAGTCAAATCGCAGTGAATAGTAGACTTTGTCCGAAATGTCTGCCATGTTCGATGGAATAGCGTCCGCTTCCGAGGACGTAAGAGCATTTGCGGGCCAAAGGACGGACCTGACATTTCTAACGTCCTCGTGGTGCTGCAACAGATACGTAGAGCTGCAAAACACGACTTTTCTATCCCGTCGTTGGTGAGAGACGCATTGGTGGCGACCGTTGCACTACCAAGCCGCCCTATACATTGGTTGGCGATCAACCTCGTAGGTTCAGGGGTGCCATTAATTTCATGTGAGATTGCTGGGCCGACCGGACTTGGACCCCTCGAAAAAAGCCGTGCATGCCACTTCCGCACCCCCCCGAGCGTATGGTCCAGTCATGCAAGGAGAAGACGCGCTGTCCGATCAAGTGCGGCTCGTTGACCTCATCGACTTCTCCTGCGCGTCGCTTTTCCTTCGACTGAATCCTCTCGCGAAATATTACTTTCTCGATTGTTCGTCAATAATTGTCAGTCACATCGACGTTCGCCCGCCATGCCAGCGCGAACACTTCCTACGTTGCCCTCCGCTGAGGTGGCGTCGCATAACTCGGCCAAATCATGCTACATCACAGTCGGAACTAAAGTTTACGATGTCACAACATTTGTGGAGGATCATCCGGGTGGCGGAGACTTGATCCTCGACTATGCCGGCAAAGATGTCAAGGAAGCCATGGAAGACGAAGTCTCTCACGCTCACAGCGAAAGCGCTTGGGAAATCCTGGACGACTACCTCATCGGATTTGTGGCAACAGAAAAAGTCCTGGAGGCTGCCATGCACAGTAGTGATCCTTTCAGCATTCTCCCGATGGAGCCGAGTGCGAAAGGCATGGAGGAACTGAAGCGCGCAAACACGGGAGCCAAAGAGGAGGTCGAAGCAAGGGACAGTGTCACAGTTGGGGATGTCGACGGGGACAAGCCAGTGTATGAGAGGACAGGCATCAGCAGCGAGGAAGACTTGAGCAAGGACACCGACTTTGTCAACGACTACAAGAAACACAAGTTCCTTGACCTCAACAAGCCCCTGCTCTTGCAAGTTTGGTATGGCGGATTCAGCAAGAAGTTCTACTTAGAGCAAGTCCATCGGCCACGACACTACAAAGGTGGCGAGAGCGCTCCACTGTTTGGCAATTTTCTAGAGCCACTGTCGAAGACCCCGTGGTGGGTAGTGCCAACTGTCTGGTTGCCAATGGTGGCATACGGGACATTCCTCGCCGCACGACATTTCTCTCCTCTGGTCACAGTCGCGTATTGGCTGGGCGGTCTTGGATTTTGGACGCTTGTAGAGTACGGACTGCATAGATGTCTTTTCCACCTGGACGACTATCTTCCTGATCATCGCGCTGCGCTGACTCTTCACTTCTTGCTGCACGGCATTCATCACTACTTACCCATGGATCGACTACGCTTGGTCATGCCACCTACTTTGTTCATTGTTCTGGCAACACCGTTCTGGAAGCTTGCGCATACGCTGTTCGCTTATGACTGGTATGCTGCCGTTGCAGTCTTCTGCGGCGGAGTGTTCGGGTACATCTGCTACGATTTGACACACTACTTTCTTCACCATTCAAAGTAAGCTTATATGCCATAAGACTGAGCCGACGTGATACTGACGATATTATAGTCTGCCCTTCTACTACAAACAGCTCAAGAAGTATCACATGCAACATCACTTCATGGACTACGAGAATGGATTCGGAGTGACCAGCCGCTTTTGGGACACGGTGTTCGGCACAGAGTTGCCACCACCCCCGATTCCGAAGATCATCAAATCTGTCTGAAGTTGCTTCGTGGTTTTTGTCGATGTCGCATTTTGCATTCTTACCTGGTCATGAAGTCCGATGTACATCTGCTAGAAACCTTTGAAACTAGATAAGATACCTATTGTAATGTTAATGGGAGTACCTGAAAATTATATACAACTACACGGAGCCTGATCATAGACTCGAGAACATCCAGGCCCGTTGACAATCTGTAGAAGAGTTGCGCTGACGTGCCTATGATGTTGTGATGATCACGCCTCCATCACGTCTACACCACATGATCATTTCAGTCCTAGTACTTCCTGCAGACGCTCTCCTGTCTTGTCGCTATCTGTACCGGCTGCAGTTCTGATAGTCTTGTAGCGCCAGCGCCGAAGTGTCTCCAGCAGGACAAGCGGGAAGCGGATGTCTTGGCATTTGACTGGCAAGTTCGGCTGACGTTCCCTGACGACAACTTCTTCCCGCCTTCAGCACAACACACCGTGAGCAAGCCACGCGGCAGGCCACACTCCAGACATCTCAAACATATCTGTACCCTGCGCTCAAGTATACACAAACAATCGCATCCACCGGAGGCTGCGAGCACATCTAGTCATCCAGCACGACGAGCCGAGTCTTGCCGCACCCAGCCACTACGTGCGGATTTTTCGTGATACATCTTACACAGCCGTAACGTCGCCATGGCTGCCGCGTACACAGACCTTGCTGATCTCATTGAAAAGAATGAAGCCGTTGCGCTTGACCAGTTGCGAAACGAGTCCGATGTGAAACAACGCAGTAAAAGTGAGCTCTCAAATGACGAGCGCCGCAGCGAACGAGATGGCCGCAGCAGGGGAGGCGAATCTGTGCATCGCTCTCCACAACATTCCGAGTACATGGACGAGCGTGCGGAGAATGACAAGCGTCGGCTTCGTCGGTCCAGGGATATGTCTGACGACGATGGCAGAACACACAGTGATAGAGACAGTGCGAGCGGCAGCACTCGAGACAGACGTCATCGGAGAAGCCAGTCGCCCACCAAAAGTGACCGTCGTGCCTATCGCGATCGTGAGTATGGCTCGCGCGGAGACTTGCGTGACAGCTATCGTCCAGGGGACCGTCGTGGAGACCGCCGTGGTGAAGACGACTCTTACCGCCCAGATTCAGACCGACGTCGACGGGATCGTGAGTACGAAGGACGTGATCGCGCTCGTGATCGCTCTCGCGACCGTGGAGATCGCCGTGGCGGCCGTGACTCTCGCGACTCTCGCGATTCTCGTCGCCGCCGCTCGCCGACTCCTAACAAAGAGGATTCGAACGATCGTGATGAGCGTACAGTATTTGTGCAACAGATTGCTCAGTCGTGTAGCAGCAGCAAATTACAGAAGTTTTTTGAACAGGTCGGAGCTGTCGTTGATGCTCAGATTGTGAAGGACAGAGTCAGCGGACGATCGAAAGGGTAAGTGGAGTGATTCACTCGTGTCTCTGAACTCTACTGACATTGATACAGTGTTGGCTACGTCGAGTTTCGCCAGAAAGAATCAGTTGAAAAAGCTCTTGGGCTGACGGGTCAGAAGATTAACGGAGTTCCCATTATCGTGCAACAAACCGAAGCAGAAAAGAATCGTCAGCCTCGCAACACAACCGGAGGCCAACCGCCTGCCAATGGCGCTCCATTTCATCGCCTTTACGTTGGTAATATTCATTTTTCGGTCACTGAAGATGATCTTCGCAGTATCTTTGGTCCTTTCGGAAATCTTGAATTCGTTCAGATTCAGAAAGAGGAGGCTACGGGGCGCTCGCGCGGCTATGGTTTTGTTCAGTAAGTGCTGCAACTTTGACCTGAGAGATCATCCGGCTGATTATCCTTTAGATACTCTGATCCAGGCTGCGCAAAACAGGCTTTGGAGAAGCTCAATGGCTTCGAACTGGCCAAACGCCCCATTCGCGTTGGCCTTGGCAACGATCGCTTCACCGACTCTTCCACTAAATCATTACTGCAGGCATCTTCACAGCAATTCCAAGGCTCTGACTTTTCGGGTGCTGGAGGCCGCGGAGCCTATGCTGGGGGTACTGGCAATTTTGATCGTGCTGCTCGCGAAGCTGACAAGACAGGTGCCGGATCCGCACTCGATGATTCCGACGTAGGAGGTGTGAATATGTCGAACTACAATCGCTATGAGCTCATTCGCAAGTTGGCCCGCACCGAGAACGATGAGGTGAAAGCCCCAACGCAAGCCGTCACGCAGAAACCTGTCGACCAGCCTCAGACTGCGACCCGCTGCGTGGTACTGAGGCATCTTTACGACCCAGCAACGTAAGTCATAACTTTGCGACCGTCAATGGAGCCGTGCTGACACTTATCGTAGAATGACTGATGCGGCTGAGCGGAAAGAGCTCGAGGATGATGTTCTTGAGGAGTGCAAAGCACGTTACGGTGAAGTTGTTCACATCGGCCTGAACCTTGACAGCACTGAAGGCGAAGTTTATCTGAAGTTCAAGGACCTCCAGGGCAGCAAAAACGCTATACAGGGTCTCAACGGTCGTTTCTTCGGCGGTTCTCAGATCACTGCCTCATACATCGTCGACGCCATCTACAATACGAACTTTCCCAAGGCTGCCAACTCGTGAGGTATGTATGTCCTGCGAAGCCTGTCTGGAGTCCGCATTATGACTTGACCAGGCCTTCGTCAGTGACTACAAACATCTCCGTCATTGTTTGATTCGGACGATCTCGACTGGAATTTTCGCAATTCTACAGCAGCCGCTTCGCCGCCACGATTCACAACCAACCGAGTCCAAATGCACAGCTGAGTGGCTACGGCACCGAAAGGTCATAGCTATTTTCGCTCGTACAAACTCAACGCGGCTCTTTTACATGGGTTCGAACAATACCCAAGGACTTGATCGCGATCCAGAAAGCCAACGAAAAGCTGAGTCGAGGTCGAGGCATATTCATGCGTACCTGCGTGCTTCAACTCGAAACTCCCCCGTCTCTGGATGTACTGACTAACGCTTAGGCGAGCTTTGCGGACCATTATCCTTCGCTTGCTTTCGCTCTACCAATGAGTGTTTTGAGTGGTGGGATCAGATTCGCTTGTCCTGAAATTGCACTATTGTTTCCCCAAATCGTTATTTAGAAAGTTCCATAGCTGAAATTTCACATCATTCTTCTAGCACTCATCATCTGCAAGCCCTCAAAGTTTTCGCTTATGAATGCAATACAGCGACGTGTCACCTTTCGAAAGTGTTTGGACCTAATGATTGGCCCGATGCACGAAGCAGAACCTGCATTCGATTGTCGTTCTGCGTGCAAACCCCAACGCTAAGTCACATCGTGGACGCCGGATTGGGCTAGAAAGCCCATTCACTCTTGAATGAACCGCAGATGCGGAACTCTCTCGAGATCACACCTTGCACATCCAGGACAAGTCCAGCGGTTGTACCGCACGCGATCGAGAGCTCTAAGGTCCTCGAAAATTAAATCCCGAGCTGCTCGAGCTCGCAGCTGTACTGCCTTGCTCCTGACCTGAGCCCGCAGAAGCACCGGAGGTGCACGTCAGAAGACCTTTGTAACAAATCCATGAATCAGTTCCATCCAAGAATGTTGAACCCGCTTCGCTCCCGGGGACTAAACTCACCACATTGGCTCGAACTCGCTGCGGAGCTGTTGCCTCCGGCTGCGGCGGCGCTTGAGCCGCCGCCTCCTAAGCCTAGAAATCCAAGCAGGCCATTGCCTCCGTTGTTAGAGCCGGCGCTTGTAGAGCTTGAGGTCTGGCGAGTGGATAGAGCGCGCGAGCCTGCATGTGGAACAGGAAATGAGGTGCTGAGGGCCGTGCAAAGAGCGAGTGAGAGCAAGATGATGCGCATGGCTAAGGCGTTGCTGAGCAAGTCCGGTTCTTCAAATGTAATTCCGGAGTGTTGCTTAGATCTGATCTGCTTTGACCCGACCGTGCGAGACACGGACATTATGAGAGAGGCGAGGAGGCCGGAGCTTCATATTTGCGAGTATGGCTGCTCGCTGTGGGAGACGTGCGTCTGCGCTCGAATGTGTCTGCCAAGGCTATCGATGGACATACATCTTCCCCGAAGTCACTCTTCTTGACACAGCATCGCGGTACCTCCTTGGAACTGACGTCTCTATGCGTCGGTCACAATTCAGTGTAGAAATGTTTTAGATCCACATGGCCATCGTTGATCTCGGACAAATAACATCTACGCTAGCTCAGAGGCCAAGCGAGACCTAATGTGATGGTTTGTGGCATGAGACTTATCGTCGCTCGCTAGTCTTCCGGTGAATGTTGCTTCTTTGTGGTTGGACATCGCGAGCCGAGTAAGTTGTACGGAGAGATGTGCTCGCTCTGAATGGGCTGTATGCATCGGAGACTTGGCATAGGCACGTGTCTTGAAGTACCAGTACTATTGAATAGCATCCGCGTATTATTCGTCGTGAGAACTCGGAGCACACACGGTGCAAGGGCAACATTGCCGTGCTATCACCGCACTGTCTGAGTGGCACAAGGTTGGGTGATCTTCAATTCATTCGTCTCTCAGGACGATGTTGGTTAGGGTTAAATATGTTAACCCAAACCCTACCTGTTGAAACCTGCATCTCTGTTCCTTGTCATCAACACAAGATACTGTCTCGAGGGCAACGGTGAGCTGTAAACTGCAATACTTTTGCCTCATGGGTCAAATTCAAGACAACTTTGAGTTTCAGCCCGAAGAAAGTCAAGAGAAAAGGGTCAGAACAAAATGGTTAGCAATTGAACCGTATAGATGACAATGTGTGAAGGGTATCTCGAGTGAGTGATCAGCTAGCATCAACGCCAAACTTATCAAAAAATAGAACCAATACGCATCTGCGCAGCGCTGTCAAGTTGTATATCGAAATGCTTTATTCTGTCGGTCCGTGAGATCGTCGTTAACCAGCAGCCCTTCTCGAGCAGCTCCGGTCGCGTCGACGAGGCCTGAAATTGCTGGACTCGTGGAGATATCTGCTGTCGAGAGGGAACCGTCGTCATTTGGTTGAGCCTGAAGTTGCCCATACTTGCGATCTCTGGCACAATTGCGGCGAGAAAGGATAATCCAGTACCATGGGACAAGTACGAGGATGGTGAGTAACCAGCAGACGATTGTAGTGATAACGCCTCCTTGATAGCGAGGTGGCGCGGTCCTATCAACCAAGCGAGGAGTTAGTCACCGTGACACGACAACTGCAGGTAAGGGGCGGCGTTGTGACATACCAAAGTTGAGGTCCAACGATGAAGCCGACGCAGTAGCCGATATTGAACATGGCATTGATTGTGGACTTTTTCGTATTTCCACGGACGTTGCTGGCGAGCATGGACATGAATATAACGCTGGTGGCATTATTGATTGAGGCCAGCCAGGAGGCAACAATGATGCCCCAGCTGTTCTCATCAGGCAGCACAAACAGCAATATCGACCCAGTCAAAGGTACCAGTCCAATCAGCATGATAGATAACGCACGTCGCTTCAGAATTGTACACAGTCCGACGCTGACCCAGATGAACGCGATTTGAACTGCACCGGAGGGAGCCCCGTATAAGAGAGTCTGTGCTGGTGAGTAACCTAGATTACGGATCACCAGAGTTGCAAAAGTGAGCACAGGAGCGCTCATAGTCACCAGTACTCCGAAGAGGAAACCGTGGAGAGTCTGCACATCAACCGCGGCCTCACGGAATTGCGCCCATGAGAAATATGTTTTGTCACCAGCATCTTGGTACGAACTCATTCGACGTGCAGCGATGATCCGTTCGTGCGGTGTCAAGAACCATGCGGTGTTAGGGCCTGCTGGTATAACGCACAGGAACAGAACGCCAATGACGATCGTGATACCGCCACAGATGAGGAACATGACGCGCCAGGGAGCCAGGGCACCAAACGAGGAGGCGCGCTCGCCAATACCGTACATCATCAGGGATCCGACAATTTGCGCAATTCCATTACAGGAGACATAGGAGGCCACCCGAAGCGGATGCTCCTCTTTAGTGTACCACGTCGAAATCAATGTAATGAAGGCCGGGGCGATGATGGTTTCTGCAAGGCCAAGCAGACATCGAACAGCGAGAAAGCTTGTAAAGTCCTGTGGAGCAGCCAAGGCTAGACAAGCGATTCCCCAAGCGATGATGGTGGCGCCAATCGTGGCAGCCAGCGGTAGACGGCTCATGATATAGATGAAGGGTACCTCAGCCACGAGCTGAGTCAGGTAGAAGCCGGAGGTAAGCCATGAATACTGCGTCGGTGAGAGAGATAGATCTTCGAGGAGACCGTAGACCGAGGTGTACGCTAGCGACTGCTTGTCCAAATATTGAATGAAGAAGACAAGGCACATCTGTTGAGAATGGACGCATCAGAATTTCAAGGACCTCGCGATGATCATGGAACAAATTTGCGCGCGATGATGCTTACAGTGGGAAGAACCACGGCATCAATCTTCCTGCGTACACGCCGTTCCTCATCCTGGTGGTGACCAATGTCGCTGGCACTGGTGGTGGGAGTAACAACAGGACTTGCTTCGATGGTGGCGACGTCTTTCTCCGCGACAAGTGGAGCCATTCCGCCCCCGCGCATGACAGGAGTATTATCCATCTCGATCGTATACTTGAGATGGATGAAGCACGCGCAGTCATGAAGCAAGCATTATCAGAGTTTCATAGATCATAGAGCAAAACAGCAGTAGAAGTAGCACAAGATGTCGCTAGTCTAGTGGCGGGCGCGGCTGGAAAGCTGCTGTTCTTGCTGTTGTAATAAGCACTATGTGTTGCGACTGGGACGATCCAAGAACAGCGCCATGCCCACAAAAATGGAGACGGGATTTTTATTAGTGTCACCAACCAACACGCAAGCCTCTCAATCAACGACTCGGTGATACCGAAACGTCGCGGCGGACCGGAGGCCCGAATCGTCTACTTCGTCTCTCTCACATAAATCCTCATAGCATTATCACAGCCACATCTTGGAAGTGTCGTCGACCATTCCAAGCAGCATCATTCAACCGCTTGGCGCACCACCCATTCACCGGTCTGAAGGGAAGAAGCTGTGGTTCTCTCAGCGGCGCGATCTTTCGTCCACGATCCGCGTCAATCGCATTTGCCGAGAGAGGGGATCTATCATGATGAGTCTCATTGTGTGAAACTCTGACGCAATGGGCGGGATGGCCGTAATCTGAGCAATCCAAGGTGCTGTCTGCCATCCTTCTAACAATGAGCCAATCAAAAAAGTGTCGGTGGTGTGGGCGTTGATTTCACAGTACAGGACATGGCATTCATGTCATTATTAGCCACCCACCCGCACGTTCTGAAAGCGATCTAGATTTTAGTGCGCATGCCCTGCACAAGATCGGCTGTTGAAGGTCTAGACTGCGCTCCAGGCCGGGGTATTGCGCTGTGCCTTCCAAGGTTCCAAGGTTGGTATGCACACATCCACCCGATTATTAATCCTACACGCTTGCATGCACAAGTGCATACTTTACCTTAGTGCACGCTGTGTAAGCTGTCATTTCCATACATAACGCCGAGTGAATCCTACCTCCATGTAGTGACTAGGTGTGCATAATTGCGCGCGTCCACTTTCACATGAACGGCACGGGAATTCATGCTCATGCAAATTATATCACTGGACTTAGTCGGAAGTAATCTTTCCTGTCTACTACAGGGGAGACCGACGTGGTACGCCACACATGCTGATGATCTTTCGTTGTCATCCACCTTGTGTACTGAATGCCTGCCCAGGTGTTTATTGTTATCATGCATTTGCCGCAACGTTGAGCCTCCCCGGCACTTTGTACGCTAAAGGATCCGGGAGGCTCGTCACCCCAATAAGCCAAAGACAGAGGAAGTTTTCCGTTTATGAGATGGACACTTCAAGTTTTGGACGAACAAAGAAGTCCGCTACGCGATGACGAAGTTCTTGTCATGTCGTAGAAAGGTCATCAGGAATGTTCCACCCTGTTGAAATATTATTATCATTGATTATTATGACTTTGTATGAATTTGCCTGATAGTTCTATAGCACGGGGAGATGATCGCCCTGCATTCCCCCGCACCTGTCACCTACGATACATACTTGGATGCGATGCTCCCACTGTGCCATCAAAGCTATCAGCAGAAGAGGAAAGCAAACTCTGGCGCAGGCAACCATCGCCGCCAAAATTTAGCGAGCATGCATTTGATTTCCTAGAGCGGAAACCCAAGCGATTCTTCGCGCGGAACACAATCCCAATCGATCGAGATTCGCAGGTGACATCAAGCCACGATCGGTATCATGGCGGTGCCAGCAACGCCCGCGCCCAGATCGGGTGTTGTAACGGGAATATTCGCAACTCCGGCGGTACCATCGCCATTCCACCAAAACCATCCAAACCGTCAGCAACCTAATAATGCTGCCGCCGAGATTCTTCTCAAGCCTTGGACTGCTCGACCGGCTCGCAGCCTCAATCTTATCAATGCCAGGCTGATCGATCCCAAGGACGGTGCTGTTCACGAACATGTCAGGCTTGATATCCGTGATGGGCGTATCGAGCGGATGCTCAAGTTGACTGCACCGGTCACTCAGCCTCCGTCAGATACCGAGCTGGCAGCATTCAAGCGTGACCACATTGTGTTGGTCGACCTGGCGGGGAAATTTGTGATACCTGGGTTGATTGATTGTCACGTTCATCTCGCGACACCGCCAGGAGAAGACGGCTTGAAAGTAAGTAATGTACAGTCTATTGCTGATCTGTTCGTTCCATAATTTTTTACGTCCACGAAAGACCATGGCTTTCTCCCAGTGCGTCATGATCTTGCTGATATTCATGTCTCCTTAGAGCACACTCAACCAGGATCCGGCAGCCTCGCTGCTCAGGCAACCATATCTCGCCCATGAGATGTTAAAGCGCGGATTCACTACCATTCGGGATTGTGGTGGCGCCGGTCTTGCCCTGAAAGAAGCACTCGCCGAGAATCTCTATCCGGGACCACGCTTGTTCACCTGTGGCCATGCAATGTCACAAACCGGCGGCCACGGCGATCTCCGCGATGCGCGGGACGCCGAGTATGGCACACGCGGGAGCAGTGGGCACGTCCGTGGTCATGGTCGTGTCGCTGACGGAGCGGATGAGTGTCTCCGCGCTGCGCGGGAGGAACTTCGCCAAGGAGCTGACTTTATCAGAATCATGGTTTCGGGCGGCGTCGTTTCGCCAACGGATCGCCTTGCCAGCCTGCAGTACACTTCTGAAGAGGTTCGTGCATTTGTCCAAGTAGCTGCCAATGCAGGCACCTATGTCACTGCACACGCACATACGCCAGCAGCGATCCGCCATGCGCTAGAAAATGGTGTCCGCGGCATCGACCACGGAAACTTCTTGGACGATGCCACCGCAGTGCTGATGGCTGAAAAGGGGGCTTTTCTGACACCTGCCCTGATCACGTACGCGAGTATGTCGGTGCCTGAGTCTGCCGCATTTCTGCCGCCAGCGACTGCGTCGAAGAATGCACAAGTCCTCAACAGCAGCGTAGCCAGCTTACAAGTCGCCGATAAAGCCGGCGTGACGATGTGCTTCGGGACAGATCTGCTGGGGTCTCTACAAGCCAAGCAAACAGGCGAATTCGTGCTGAGAAAGCGTGCAGGACTGAGTGCATTGAAGATTCTGCAGAGTGCAACCATCAATGCTGCCAAATTGCTTCAGAAAGAGGACCGACTTGGTCGCTTGAGAGAAGGCTCGGCAGCGGATCTACTGATCCTAAACGCCAATCCTCTCGAGGATATTGAAGTGCTGGATCGTCCCCGCAAGCATCTTCTCGCCGTCATAAAGGATGGCCGCGTCCTCGAAAGTCGATGGTACTCCTTGGCGAAAGACGTCGATCGAGAATCGATCATCGAATAAGACTGCTTTCTCGAAGCTGTTCAGAATCACCTCCCAAATATCAATATATGACATCTCATGTTGAGAACGGCCCATACTCGTCCGCCGCGATGTCGAGACAGTCTGAGCCCCAAAGTGCATATTTTTGTACTTCGGCAAGATCAGCCCGCGTTATGATCCGTCTCATCTCTGGCGTTCCATCCTCCGTCAGATATTCGATCATTCCTCCGATGCGATATAGCGTCTGAGCGACTCCGACGTATTTTACGCTCGTGTTACCAACACGAGCGACGGCAGTGCTCATCGTCATCATGCGATCCTCGTCGCTCACAACTCTCATGTGCTCCTGCGACTGATCATTGTCCAAGATGCGCATGCATTGCAATTTGGTGAGGAATGGCATCAATATCCGTACGAGGTTGTGATCGGGGTCGTCGAGCCCGAAACCGAATTGCTCCAAATTGGGGCAGCAGCGGACCACGTTACCGAGTTGTTCCTTGGACAGCTCGAACTCGTCCGAGAGCAGCAAGATTCGAAGGGAGGCGCCCTGTATCTGAGTGAGCGCTTGTAAGTACACACGCGTGAGAGCAGCAGGATCCCATGATGGTGAAGGAGGGTTGCTAGCGGTGGTGTTGGAGCTGCTTGTGGAGCTCGTCTGGCTTCTTTGTCGTACTCTGCGAGACTTTTTGGTGCCAACCATAATGAAACTATGTATAGATTGGGGACGCCGTCTTAAAGCTGCCACAAATTGGGGCAACACCTCATTGCATCGCATCTTCCGAAAATTGGTATCGATTTTGCCAACGTCAACATGTTGTGGTTCTTCAGCGGAGAGAAATGCGCGAAACTCATTTTCGCCCTCCCCGAAACTATCCAGTATGCACACGCTCTGTAGGGTCTCCACGTCGAACAAACCCGGCTCTATGGTCAACTTTCCCTTCGCTACAAAGTTCTGTAATGCAAAGTGCTTCAAGCGCAGCGTGTATCCCGCCTGTCGACAGAGTCGCCAGAACATGCCTTCGAAGTCAATGATGGGGAAGCCTTGGCGGCGTATGCGTGATGTGAAATGAAAGCGCAGATCTTCAAGTTTCCGCGACTCCAAGAGCATTTTACTGAAGTCGTCCGGATTTCCCTCTGGATCAATTTCGAGAGCTGTGAAGGCTCGGAGATTTGGCATGGGCGGCACAATCGTCACAACTCGCGGTGCGGATTGAGGTGAAGGGAATCGTATCGTCAGGCGCGTCAGCGTGCTGTGTGATGCGATGCCTTGGTACATGGTCGTTAGGGGCAAGCAGTCTTGCAACTCCCATGCGATTGACTGTAGCTTAGACATTCGAGCGGCGATGCTGCGCGTAATGATGTTCAGCATCATGGTACTGTCAGACACTCGCCCGTCTGAGTTTGATTCCCGATTCCCGTTGGTTGCATTCGACTCCTGCCATTTGCCTCGAAGTCGGAACTGCTTGACGAGGGCTGCGTGCGGATTCGATATCAGTCCGTTCAGAGCCATCATGAATGGACTTCCGATTCCATGTCGCGTGACCTTATTGAGCGGGCCATTGCGCGGTCGAGCAGTGGTGCTGAGGTTGACGCTTTCGTAGAGTTGTGGCAGGGTCATATAGTACAGCAACCGGCAAGTCCTGGTCGCTCGAGCAATATCTCCAATCTCGTCCAAGTATGATATGATCAATAAAATGAGATTGAGTGGGAGCGTGACCGGGCTGCTGCATCTTTGTGCCTGCGTTGCATCTGGTCCATTTGAGACCGGTGATGTGTATTGTGCAGACAGAGGGATCTCATGGTAGGCTCGCATGAGCGAACTCGGTCGCCTGTCTGGCGCGACCCCACCGTTTCCGTTTGACATGGTTTCGGTGTTCACTTCGCCGGGCCTGGGGCAATTCGATAGCCGTGTGTTCGAAACGCAGTCGTTCTTCATGGGGGTGATGTTGATTGATGTATCATCGAGGATAAGATCCCTGGTATGTATTGTCTACATACCACTTGGAGTTTGAAATATCCTCAGCAATCTCTTCTGAGGCGAATGTGTCTCATCGCAAAGGCTTGAGAACCTAATTCGTGAAGAGTTGTATACGAGGTCCGGGTCCCAAATTGTCCGTTTGACTAGCCAGACCAGGGTATGGCCCTGCTGCCTCGAGATGCAGACGATGTGAGTACTTTTAATGTTGGAGTTTAGTGCTTTTCTACAATGGACGGACATACACGGAGAATGTAGGAGTCCTTCAAGTGCCACGACCTCGGCCAAGGCGCATTCATTTCAAGGTTATTTTGGCGCCGAACTTACCCTACACGACCTATGCATGTATAAAGTAGTCATCATCCACGGTAGTCGGTGAGCCCGAAAGCCCGGCACTTGCGCTATTGCAAAGGATGCTAAGGGATCATCACATAGGAAACTTACAACACGCGGACTCGTACTCGTACACGTACACGTACTGACGGCTGTCGGCTTTCAGTATCGTCATGACCTGCATCGTGACGCATCACGACAGATGATGATATTTGACCTCTTAGAATCCAAACTTGGATTGCATTTGATAAAGGAAGTCTCCAGGGCGATCGCCCCAATTCTGAGACAGAACCGTTATTGCTTGGCGCGACAGATGATGATTATAGACAACCTTGGAACCTTAGAACTAGCTCATTCGAATGATGATACGCCAAGGATCAAGGTAACAGACCACAAAATGTAGTCGTGGCTTGTCCTGCAGATCAGCACAGGGCGCCGTTGTCAACACCCACGACACCTCAGGATTGTTAGCTCGAGAAGAGCACAAACCTGAAAGGATTGCGGCGGCGTTACCCAAGTTCCCATAGTTGCCTCCTATCAAGCGTATGTATATGCACCTGGGCAGGTGTGTGTCTGAAGACGAGGCCTGACGCTGCGCTTGATCGGGAGACTCTGTGCTGGATCGAGTGCAGCTAAACAACGGTCGATGGGAGGAACTTGTGTCCGACGGCACCGATATCTCGACCAAGGCCACTCTCTCACCGAACGTGCTAAAAATTTGGACAGAACCTTGGAATGGTTGGAAACCACGCCGCGTGTCTGATTTTGCAACTGTAGAACGCACTTCTTGCAATCATTGATATCATGCAAAACAAATTGACGCTTTCGAAATGATACCCAAAGAACATGAAAATTTATCGGGATCTTAAGTATGATAATTTGAAAACCGATTCCCCTGATGGAGAGAGGCATCCACTCTCTGTGCTCCAAGAACATCGATAACGAGTTTGACACTGGACCGACGTCCATTGATTACAGACCAATCACCACAAGTCAGGCTAGGTAATCTCATACTTTGTTTCCATCACCCCATAAGCGGCGCCGCGCCGAAGTGTAAGCGCTTGACTGTGAGTGTTCACGGGTAAGATCCCGGGTTGTTCGACTGTATGCGCCTGAAGAAAGCCTCCCGTCATCAAATGGATCATCTGCATGTACATGTCAACTCAAGGCTTTTCGTGTTCTCTGGCTGGGGCTGTAACTCACTTCTCGAAAAGCTGGATCCTTGCTCGCATTACACTTGGATCCAGGACTCTCACTGTGTGCGACCAATGCCGCGGCCGTTTTGAATAATTTGACGCACAGACAACGGAACTGTACTTTGGCGTGCCATTCCTGAATGTGGATCGCCAACTCATCTTCCCAATTGAACTCGCGTTCACAGTCTGCGAAAGGGCACCTGTACCTGTTCTCGATTGGATTGTGAAAGGTTTCGAGGTTATACTCTTGAGTTCTGGTCTTGTCCCACCATCGGGCTGTCATCAGATCTTGACCCTTGGGAACAGGAGCTAGTGAACGTTCAGATTGACTAAGTGCATCATTGGTCGACCTTGAATGAAGGCTTTGGGAAGATTCTCCAGCTCGACTCTGCCATGGACGAAGACCAGTGGCACTGCCGATTTTTGCCGTCGAGGGCGAATGCTCGTGCAGTATCGATCGTCCCATCGTCTCGCTTAATTGATCTCGAGTCACGCTGGATGTCGAAGACCAACAGTCCACCATGTCCGCGTATGATTTTCCACCATGGCCAGAGGTCGTCTGCAGAGATTGTCCCTGCCGACTCACAAGCTCATAGCATTTGCGTGGTCGTGCCTGTATTGCGTTTGGTAACCCGGGCCAGCTCTCCACTTTGTCTTCCAGCAAATCTGCTGCTTTCTTTTGATTATCTCTGTTTCTCTGGAGTGGCGCTTGTAGCGCTCCAGAACCCACCTTTTGATCACCACTGTGGTGGCTCATCAGCGAACTCTCTGTCGCATTATCGTCTGCCTCGCCGTATCGCTTGTTGATGAAGTTTCTCGGGTCGACCATGATCTGACGCATGATATGCTTCTGCTGAATGGCGACAAGGAATTGATATCGACTGATGCCGGGGCAACGATCCTCCTCCCAGTGTTTGACGAGATCCGCAGCTCGCACAAAATGTCCTTGGCATGCCCTTGCCAGGCAGACAAGATCCTGTTGGGCTGGGTGAACCTGCAGAGTAAGATTAGTCGAAGGCACGATCAAAGCTGTATTGCGCTCGATCTACGAACCTGCTGCCGGTGCAGCTTTCTGCCCCCAAAAGTAGGGAAATCTCTGCCACAAAATTCGCAAACGATGTGTTTCGGCTTGACTTCACTCGGCCGAACCCTCTTCTCAATGTACGGCGCCATCACGTCGACTTTGTGTTGTGTCAAGGCATCGTAGCTCTCGCAGTCCACGTCACAGGTCTTGCAATAGAAATGATCGGGCTGCTCAAACTTGTGCAGCTTCATTTCGATCACGTCCGCGAAACGTTTATTACAGCCGCCACCAAGCTTGTCACATCTGACGGGGTTTTCCCGAAAGTACGCAGGTGTCATTTGGAACTCATCAATATTTTCGTCGTATCGACTGCTGTGCTTCGAAGGGGTCGCCATGATGCCGTCTCATTGATGTTCGGAGGTCAAGCTCGATGTGTGTGGTTGCAATTTGGGTAGCTGCAATGGTCAGTACGATGATTTGTTTCCGAATTGAAGTCCTCTAGTGGAGCTTGCCGATTGAGGATGACGATGGCTTGATGAAGCGATGTGTTGCGGTTGAATTGTGAAGACTGTCCAGGTGACAAGTGGCGATTTTGGCATGGGCCTATTGCAAGGTTTCTGGCAGGCTCATGTCAGAGCGTGTGTTGAAGTAGGTGACAGCACTCGTGGCCTCAATTTCGATATTGAAGATCGAAAAGCTTGGGTCGATCCTGCTGATTTCGTGGTAAGATTGCTACTTGCCTTCACGTGCTTCAAAGTTCAAGGCTTCACAGCATCTCGGAAGGACATTCACGAAATTCGATGGACGTACCTTTCCCGAAAAACATCATCAGCAAAACCCGATAGGAATGACACAGGACTCGAGTTCGGCACAACCCGAGAGGTAAGAAGGTCAACTCCAAAAGCACCTGGGCGGCCAATAGCCACGAGACGAAGGTTGGGGAGCCGATTCGTGCTTTACAACCCGAAACACTTGTGAAATGTGCCAGGAGCTCGTGTAAAGACCATTTGATTGTGTGACGACACTGTGTTGCTACATTGCGTCTGAACTGACTTCACTTGACCCCCCCACCCAAGTAATAATATATACCTTCTTCGGGAAAGCTCGAGGGGCCGGGGCTTAGAACCATGCCCCAACGCCATTCTCTGAACTACCTAGGTATCTAAGTAAAACCTCGTCGAAAGCTGGCATACTTGCCATGTGAAATCACATGCGCCGTCTTTCTCTTAGCTTCATTAGAAGCGAGTGTAAGGTAGCCTTTGACAGCGGATTAGGACGATATGAGTTATGAATAGCGATGACATGAAACTTACCATTTCCCGCGGAGTGTGATCTTTACCCACTCGCCCTTCTCATCCGTCTCTTTCTCCACCTTGGTCGAGTATGAGATGGCGCTCATGATTCCGTCGCCGAACTTTTCGTTGATGACCGCCTTGTACGCATAACCGTAGTTTTGTACAATCTCGTACAGTCGGTACATCAGTGGCTCTCGAGGTGGCATCTCCATCGATCGGCCTCGATCCGGAATTCCGGTGATCTCGGTCTCGCGAAGCTTCTCTTCTGGGATGTCTAGGAGTTGGGCCAGTTTTGCAACGTCTTCATCACTAGCTCGCCCTTGACCGTAGAAGATGGCAGCAACGGCTACCTCATCGCGACCAAGAACCTGGCTGATGGTCTCGAAGGAAAGGTTCTTGGCTTTCTTTTGAGCAAACAGGAGGGGACTCTGCGAAGGCAACTTGTGAACCAGATCTTGCTGTTTCACTGGGTTAATCGGACGTGTGCATTTTCATCATGATCAGACTTCGTCATACTGTCAGAACAGTGATCGGGTGTCCACTAGACGTGCCTGACCCTGTGGCTGCCATCTTGACCGCGGAATAGTGGAAGTTGCGGTACGTGAGACGTGAAGTCAATGGATGAGCGTACTTTAGGGAAATAAGAGCAGACGGAACTACGAAAGACGGCTTTGAGACTGAGCGAAGTTGGAGGTAGGCGATTGACATTTTTAGCCAACCTTGGACAGCTCTAATAAGCTATATCAGACCTCGGGAGGCAAGCAACCCATGGCGAGTGATCAATGATAGGAACAATCTCAGAGGACCTTCAAGCTTGAGATAGTAGTGGAGAGCGAACTATTTCCGAGCATGATGTGTGATGTAATGATGTTCTGGCCTCTTCACGACCGTCGACTATTGAACCCCTTCCGCGTGGCGTCCGAAGGTCTGACACATCTTACGTTTGTTCATGTGCGCTGTGAATGATCAGTGGGATATCTGTACGATGCAGGTGGCATTGCTTATCGGTACAAACACTGCCATTGGCGGGCTCTACGTCAAGCCGCCGTAGCTTGTTCCCTTTCTGAGCGTGGACGCATTGCACGCTGAAGCATATCTATCATCGACGCGTCTGTCCGCAGGAGAAAGCAAAACCTGGGGTGCAGCTTGGCGCTTCGCGGGGCGACATTGGGCCGCAGCAGCCGCAAAACACCTTCTCAATCACCTCCAGCTGCGTCTTCATCACGTTTTCACGATCTTACGCACCTTGACACTTTTTGACAAGGAGGATGCCGGGATCGTCTTGCGCCGAGCGCAAAGCCTGACCACGCCTAGCCATTTGCTTCCCTTCCAGCTTCCAGCTATCTACGAAATCTTGGAAGTCACGCAGAAAGTTCCTGTATTGACTCCGTGCCGAGCTCCCCTTCTTGGTCAACCGTTCACACAAGCGTTCCACCAGACGCACTGCTTGTGAGAATACAATTCCTCTTTCGTCTGAGACGACATGCTATCTGTCGGTAATGACGCATGTGATTCGCCTGAGCAATGCACCAACAACTAATAAGAAAGTCGTGCTCTCACGTCTTCTTTACGAATGCAAAGGCCAAATTTCCCGCGTAATCAATGTATCATCGAGCCGTCTACTCCAACTTTAATGCGTCGAGCGTGGAACATCGCGACATCATTCCATGCTTTCTCCGTGTCGCGTTCTCGTCACGCAAATATTCATGTGATCAAGGTGTTTCGTCGTGTGCGATCGCCTCGAGGGTCCTTTCGACCAACGATAGCCTCCAATGCTTGCGTTAATGCCTTCGCATCATAACGACCAACTTTACCCTTCTCGTCCCATCTTCCATACAGTCGAAGAGTATCGATACCGATTTGAGCGAATGCATCTCTATCGAGTTTTGGTGACGTTGGTCCATCCAGATATATCACGTGAGTCACATAATGGAAGTACTGTTCGGACGTTGGTCTAGGTAGAGACCTGGATTCAGCACAAGCATTGGCTATCGCGGCCACAAAGTCCAAAGCAGTAAATGGGCTTGAAGATGGACCAGTCTCCCGATCAATCGTGCCGTTGAGTATCAAGATTTTACTCCGAATGTTAGTTGACGAGACCGCGTCGCCGACGCCCTTCAAGACCAAGGAAGGTATTATAGAAGTGAAAAGGGATCCGATGCTGTATATGACACAAGAAGCTTTCTTCAATGCATCAACCACGCGCGGATTCGCTGGGAGAGTGATCTCTTGACCGTACGGGTTTATGTACCACAGTCTGTCGATCCTCGATGGAAGCTCTTCTTCCTCTGACTTCGAAAATGCAATGGCAGGTTTCCGAAGGGTTGCCAAAGTTCCCGGAAGGTTTGCATCTTCGATTGCATCTTGCTCCTCGCCCGGCATCCTCGAGCGAGCAGAAGGAGAGATTGCACTTTGAGGTACAGCTAGAGTAGGTACGCTAGGATGGCTTATGTCATTCTGTCCAGTGATAACTGATCCGTCAGCCAAGCCGGCAGCAATGTGGTGGGCGAAGTTCGAGCTCAATACTGGTAGAACGACGACCGAGGATGGCACAGCACAGATGCTGGATAGCAAATACACTGCAGCTTCAAAGCTGCCAGTGAAAAGACGCGCGCTGTTTCAGAATCAGTGCTGTTCACCTTGGTGATCAAGGCGACGCAAATCTCACCCTGTCAAAAACAGATTGCCTATGCTAGCCCCAGTGAAGTCGAACCTGCTCGAGGGCCGTATACGTTTCGCAATTTCGAGATTCATGCAGCTCAAAAAACTTCGAATGAGCTCTTTCTTTGGCACGGAAATATCACGCCATAACGGATGTATGGCTTCGACTATGTCAAGCCATTCTGTTCGAGCAGGCTCATACGCGCGTGGCAAGCGATAATTGAAGAATATCTTGATGGCCTTCGCCTCATCGTTATCGTCAGGAATCAACCGCACAAGCCGTGACCGCACATCACCAATGCCTGGATAACATTGTCAACGTGTATCGGAATAGTCTGAGTCGAGTTCCAAGTGCAGTGAAGGTGCTCGCGTGACCGTGGACTTACCTGGTCCTCCAAATACACGGATCAGCTCACTGGAAGAACCACCATTATCCGAGATAGGTATCACATAACTGAGGGTGCTGGCATTGACAAGCCGTATCTCCTCGAAAACGTCGACGAGATTGTTGGCGGCGCTGCCTCCAGAAAAGACAACGATACCTTTGTTGTGGTTGTTCACTGCCGAAATCGAGCGCGACAGCGGAGGGCGCACGGTGACGGTGGGCTTGAGATTGTCGCATTGCGCTCGATGGACGTCAGCACTGTCGTCCATGCTCTCACGTGAAGCACGGCAGTATTTTCAAAGATATGTAGCTGTAGAAAATGCTCGTTGCGAGGAGGCTGCCAGATGTAGAGCGATAGCCTATTATATGGATTAGAGGGATGCGGCACTGACGATTATAGCTACGCTTGAGATCAAGTAGACGGCATGACCGCACTAGGCAGCGCCGATGCTTGAATGCCTTGCCATCAAAAAAAATACAATTACGACAAGACCGTGTCGTCCGTGCCAATGTAGATATTTACAAAAACCAACTGGAAGGGCGTATTCGAGTTCTGTTTGGGCACTGAATGCCAAATCACGCCCTCTGAGACGTGCCGAACTCTGAATTGCGCACCTTGCACGCTGAATGCTTCCATCCTTTCGTCTGTACTGCTCAAATGTCGCCTCGATCCACTGCTTTAAGCTCTTGATATGCCGGATGTCTATGCGTGATTGGCATTCTGAGGCGCAGCTGGGAATAAACCTTCCTCCTTGGTACCAGGACTCACACCTCCTTCGCGCTCTGCCCTTCTCCTCCGCTTCTCCAGTAATCGTTCACGAGTCTCATTCAGGATCCGCATTTGTTTGTTCTCCACTCCTTGCAACCAGTAGCCGAACGAAGCGCCGAGTCCGCCGTAGATAGGATAGATGAGCCAATTCTCTTTCTGGAAGAAAGGTCGCATCTCAATGCCGAGTTGCCAGAATCGGACCGCAAGGCCTTCGCAGCTTGGTCAATTTACTTTCATGAATGCTCCTTGTCCGAAGATCACTTACCGAAGCCTGACCAGAAGAGAATCTTGCTGACCATTGTAGCTTTGGGTATGGAAGATTTTCAATGTCGCAAGCGAACGCCGAATTGATGCTTCGCACGCGTTTTACAAGACGCTTTGCATTCGAAGGATGGTCTGCACCGGTTCCCCAGGTCGTTGCAGGTGCGTTTGATGGCAGATAACTCGTGTTGTCGTCGGAATGCTTCTCTCCTCAGCGGCCCCGGGGTACTACACGCATCCGTGCTTTGCGTCACGGAAAGAGCTTCTTGGCGCGCTGAGTCAGCGTCGCGTCTTCCAAGGTTCTCTGTAATCCAGCACAACCCTCTAGGGCTGGCTGAATGTCCGCGTCTCCGGCGACGGGTTCAAAAATGTCAACGACGGTAACGAAAGTGTCCCACTCCCATTAGTACTGGTCAATTGACCTCGATGATCATCGTTTTCCGATCGACATCACTCTAAGGGAAGTGTTTCACGAAAATGTCGGGCCTGGACGAATTCGAACTGCCGCGGCGCAAGAAGCCGAAGGTGTCGGAGCTGCCTCTTTCGTCCATGCAGCGCGCCTCCATTGACAGCATGCTACATACTTTCAAAAAGAAGGGCGAATTCGATGCGATGCGCAAGCGAGCTCTTCAACAGTACAACGAAAGTGCCCAGCGCGGCATGTTTGAGGCATCATTACGAACATTCACGGCGAGTGAGATCGACCGCGATCCATTGAAGTACCTCAAGCCCGATCGCCGTATCGCCGCGCCCTTGCTAGAAGGTGCTGCGGCTCGTGCAGATGTATATGGCAAGACGGAAGAGGACATCAATCGTTACATTGATCAGTACATTGCGGACGCTGAACGCATACTTCGTGAGATTCGTGTTCAAGACATCGGCGAAGATGTTGCGCATGAGGAATATGAGAAAGGGCGGAAGAGTGACGAAGCTTATGCTACAGAAGCCGAAGAGCGACGACGTGACCGAGCCAGACAGCATGTGGAAGACGAGAAGAAAAGGAAGAAGGCGGAAGCGACGGAACGGAAAAAGAAGGAACTAGAAGCGCTGGCGAAAAAGCAGGAGCAATTGCAGAAGGAAATGGAACGTTTGCAGCGAGAAGCCAAGCGTCGCCAGGAAAGAGAGGCATTCAAGGCTGCGGAGAAGGAGAAGGAGAGGGAAAGGATACGCAAGTACAACGAGGAGCGCGAAAAGCAGAGAAAGGAGGCCGAAGAGCGTGAGAAAGCAATACAAGTGGAACGAGAGCGGCGACAGAAAGAATTGTCCGAGATGGAGCAAAAACGAATCGAGGCCGAAGCTCTGGACCTTCTTCTGAAGGACGCGCGGAAGATGAGCGAGAAAGGGAGACGTCCTGGATTGGAGAGGAGCGAAAGTATGGAACCACCGCCCAGTCTCATGCGCCATCAATCAGCGCCTAGGAATGCATACAGCAAAGATCAAATGCGAGCGCAAGGTCTGATGCCAACGTCGTTGACACTTCGGAAGGGAGACAAACCACTCCCTCCTAGCAGCTCAGTACCTCCTCCACCCGAACCAGAATCGCGCTCTCGTCCCTCGAGACTCAGATCTCCATCGCCGCCACGATCAAGATACAGCGGCGGACGACGTGACCCATCTCCTGTTGATCGTCATGCTCGCCGTGATAAGGACCGCGACCGCCGGGCAACTCTATACCGTGATATCAGCGCCGAAAGAGAAGCTTGGAAAGCTCGCCTTCGTGAAGAAGGCAGTTCAACCATCGAACGACCTCGTGATCGGGAACGGGAACGGGAACGGGGCCAAGATAGGCCGCGAGAACGTGAGAGAGGTCGCGGAGGTGAAGGTAGCGTAGTGGGGGAACGATCTGCTCGTAGCAAGAGCCGAGAGTCGCATCGCCCACGCCGCGATGAAAGCCGTGGATCCCGACGAAATCGTCGTGACTATCGTAGCCCGTCTCGATCTCCTCGTCGCCAGCGCGAGCGCGACCACGACCGGCGCGGTTTCAGTCCACGCCCACGTCGTGACCGCAGTCGAAGCCCAACAGTGATGGATAGGCACAAGCCTAGTGGAGCTCCGACGGGCGATGCGAGAGTTGAGCGGAGTCGTGAAGGTACAAGCTCTGATCGACGTCCGCGAGACGGTGATCTCGACATTCGGGGCGGAGACCGCGTGCGAGACCGGGAGCGCGACCGAGACATAGACAGGAGAAATTCTCGTTTTGACGAACGCGAACGCGAACGCGACCGAGAACGCCCACGATCTAGAGGAGGCGACCGCGAACGACACGGGAGTGGCATAGGCGGACGTCCATCGGAGCGCCAACCCGAACGTAGCCGAAGTCGCATTCGTGACCGGGAACGCGAACGCGAACGCGAGTCTGCTCGTGGTGGCAAAGACCGAGCCCGCGATCGCAGTCGAGAGAGAGAACAATACAAAGCCCGCGAGCGAGCGAGGACGCCAGTCAAGGGGAAAAACGCATCTCTGGCATATGGTGATGCGGACACTCCAGAGAAAGCCCGCACTGCTGCCTCTAAGTCGTCGAGCGTCACCGAATCACAAGCCGACAGGCCTGCGGGGCCAGACAGGGAGTCCGGAGCTTCTGGTGTAGTCGCTGCCGAAGCGAGCAAACCGGCGCAAAGCGAAGCACCAACTGTAGCGCCTGCGGCGGTCGATGTTGAAATGCAGAACTAGGCATGACCTTTCTGAGTTCCTCCACAACCAAAAGGTAGCACAGCGTCTTAAGTTTATGTCCATGCTTGCCGGTTCAATGCCGCGCAAGGACATCTCGCATCTGATGACTACAGTTCCCTTTTAGCTCGCTGGCCCTTGAATCTTCTCCCTTAATTCGTAGGCAACTTCAACGAGTAACGGTCCTCACAACCACATTTGACAAACTTCGAACCATCGGTAGTGCATTCAATGTCAACCGCTACAGCCAATTCGATACCAGGACGCGCTCAACGCAAGATATCGACCGCAAAACCTGCACTGACACGCCTTTCCATATTCTGAGAAGTTTCCCAACAATGCACATATATGTCGCCCAGGCAATCGATTTAAGCCAGTGCTTCCGCCCCAAATGTCAAAATGAAACGCTTTTCCTTCCCATCAGAACGCCCCCAAACCATGATTTCCCAAGACATTTCCTGCCACCCAAAACAACGCAGAGCACATGCCCAAACTTTTCAAGGTGCCGTTTCCGCTTGTTTGAACGCCTTGTGATACCGTGCTTGCAATAAAAATTCAGAAGTACGACTCAAACATTCAACGCAAACGCATGATGATTGCAGGTACCACCATTCCGCAGGACCACTAATGATGCTCTGATGTTCAGATTACTCCCATTCAAGCTCCGTTCAAAGACACGACCTGCCCGTCCGGTCTCCGCATGTCACCAAGATCGTCCAGGCCCTCGACCGACAAGGCCAGCGCATCCAAGAGATCCAGATCCTCGAAGGCCGGCGGAAGTTCGTTACCGTTGCTGTTAGCGGCATTGCCTCCCACGACCGAGAATTGCCTCGACCGTGTGCCTTGTGCGTACTGCGGCGGACTCTCTGGTACATCTTCATACATCGGCGGCGTTTCGTCGTCCCAGGCGATCCCGAGACCTGCTCGTTGCGTCAGGCGAAGGGCGAATTGTGTGCGGAGAACACGGGCGCTGCCTGTAGCTGCCGGCGTGGCACGTGAACTAGCGACGAATTCTTCAGAGATTACCAGTTCGATGACGAGGCTGTGGGTGATATTTGTGCCGTTGGGTGCGGACACGCCGCATTGTGGCTTGGAGCTGTGGTCGATGGCGACGCCGAAGGAGCCTTCGATTTGGCCGTCGCTGGTTGCTGGCGTGCTGCTCGATGCGGATGAGGTGTGGTGGTGGTTGACGCAGGTGTAGTCGCATTTCCAGCCAGATTTGAGTTCGCCGACGCCAATGTCTCGGTCGGAGTCGTGGGCCACTCCGCGCCCATCACCGCCGACTTTGGCGGAGTGGGCTGGGCAGGCGGGTGAGATCGTCTTCTCCTCCTCCACGATCCGCCATACAATCTTCCGCAGCCGCCAGCGAAGCTGTGAGCCGTCTGGGTTCTTGGTTGTGACGCCGTTAAGTCGGAAGAGAACCGGAAGCTCGCCGATCGGGTGAGCGACGGAGGGTAAAGTCACGTGGAAGGTCAACTTTGTTGGCGGAAAGATGCGCATGCTGTTCTTATCGTTGCCTGGCCGTAAAGCTCGTTGAAAGACAATATCGCGACGATGCTCAATCTCGACACCATTATCCAACCGCGCGCGCACGTGCAAGCTGTACTCGATTGACGCGACATGGCCATGAGTTGTGCATGGAAGATGGCCGGGTACCAAGTGGGAGAATGGAAGCTCTTCCAGCGTTGACGAAAAAGTCCGTGGTTTTGTGAGGAATTGCCATTGGTATAGATCAGCTACTTGCGTTGTGCAGGCGCGACACCGCTCCACGACCGGCTTTTTCGTCGTCGTTGTGCATTCTAGGAACATGGCGATTGCTGCCAAAGTGACGGGGCCTTCGGTGGGTTTGACCCTGAGCCGGCCCGAGATCAAAACGCCGGAGGAAAGTTCCGGGTTGTCGAGCATCAAAGCCGGAGGAGACTCCATGATGAGTTCCAGGCTGACCGGTTTGCTCGAACCGGCATATTGACCATCTTTGCCAGAAGCGTGGACATCCTTTGACAGCGAGCGCTCATGCCCGCGCGACCCACTCTGGCGTTTGGCGAAGCTCGTTTTCTTGAAATGTTCCATGCTGGGGCGACGGACTTCAGCTGCAATACTGGCAAGGGCTGAGGGATTGTAGATTTTGTTTTTATTATTGCAAGAATTTAAATTGTTGTTATTATTGATCCTTTCCTTGTTCGGTTGAATTGTTATTGTCGAAGAATTGCCGTCCGATGACTCAAGTTGGGAAGAGCGCCCGAATTCGAGGCCGAAAAGGCGGCCAGGCATGACGGGCGCAGTGCTGCTTTATTATCACTGCGTGATGGGGTTCTGTCAGGTGGCAACGTGACAGCACGGATCGCGCAAGCTATTTCTTATGCTGCTCTAGCCGCGCCTCTTTTTCAGCTTCGCAACAACTACCTGTCGCAGCTACTCGGCGTCGCCGGGCGACAGTGACACCCGGCGGGAATGAGTCGGGTTCAATGTGCGCAACGTCGAAGCCCACGATGCTCCTGCAAATTTGTTGTTCTAGCAATTCTTGGCGGTTGGGAAGGAAAGTGAAAGATCTCCCGGGTCGGGGAACGCTGCGCAAGGCTGAATATCGTGGACTTGTCGGCGAGGGTGGATTTGGCCCAGCCAGTTGATTGTAGCAGACTGAAGTCGTGATTTTGTGATCATATATGGTCGGCCCAACGATCGCTCATATGACCTCTTTCTGACGACACTCGGTGGGACAGAAGGAATCGGACAGGGCGAAAGTGAATGGACCGCGTAAGCAATGTCATTGACGACTACAAGTACCTATATAAGCAGAATATGACAAGTCGAACACTGTACACCAAGGTGAAAAACTTCACGATCCCGCCGTTAGTGGAGGGCATGGCGACATGATGGAGCAGAGATCCCGAGCGCCATGGAGGAGGTCCGTGGTGTGTGCGCATGTCCATGACCTGTCTGTACAGTAGCAGACACACACCGACGATGGATGTCGCACTTTCGACCAGTCCGGAGAGTGTAAACTGTAGTGTTGGAGCAGGGTGCGGCTAGTGTTGAGTACTTTCGATTGGGACACGATGGGGAGGGGGGTTGACTCCACACACAAACACTACGATAGAGTACCTTATTCTTTTGTTGTATTACTAGGTGTTACAACAAGTAGAATCGCTCCTTGTGTCCGAGCGTGCGGATGTCTCTCCTCATCACATGGATTGGCGGAAGAACAGCCACTGAACAGCCGGAGCTCGCAAACATGGGCCAGGTGACTCTTGCCTGCATATGAACAGGACACGGTTTTTCTGCGCTCAGGGGATCAGATAGCGAGCAAACGATGACAACTTGGCCCGACTAGAAGAATATGACCCGGTACTACTGTATAAGATGGATATAGTAGCAAGCGCACGTCGATGGCGAAGATGGTCCTCGTGACGAGACTTCGGCGCTCTCCGTTGGCGCACGAATGAGCAGACAAAGCCACCATTGGACAGACGACGATTTCCCCAGCTCTTCTCCGCCCTTTGTTCCCTCTCCGTGGCTGAGGATCCGCTCCTTGGCTAAACATTGCGGACTCGGTCCCTGGCAGATCCAATCGTCTCGTCCAACAGACAGATGTCTTTCCGACACATGGGCTGATGCGACAAAAGCTTCGCTCGAAAGGAGTCTCGGCTACTACTGCAAATTAAGTAGGAAATTCATTCGAATTTCGCTGTAGATGGTGCTATGACCTGGCTCTTTACTGCTACTGGAGAGTATGGAGGACATTGCACCCGCCTGGTTTTATAGGACTATAGAATGCGACAAAATGCAACATGAACCGACCAATACATGCAGCCCTCCACGATGCGTACGGCATATGTGTGAAGGCGCACGCCAAGTCATGTTGCTATTCGCAGCGGTGAAGGAATCGCTGCAAGATCACTCTTTTGTTTGATCAATTGCAGTACGCCCAACCACAGCTGCGTCAGCAATCGTTCTGATCGTCTTCAAGTTCCGGGCGACGATCTTACACAAACCGGGAATGCATTTCCCATTCTACGACAAGCTCGCTGTGCCTACGTCGGAGCGAAAATCTCTTTCAAATTTTCTTCACACGTGCTCTTGATTGCCGTAGTGCGTGGCCTGTCTTTTAGCGGCTGTCGACGGCGGACTCTCGGCCACACCTACTACTGTAGATACTACTGTAGCCGGGCGGCGCTGTAGGTTTTCGTTACTCGATCATTACTCGATCGCAGCACGCCTTCCATGAGATGCGAGAAAGGTCGCGTCGGCGTGGCGTCCGGAGCGTCGGCACAACCTCGTTGCAATCTCATGAACAACATGATATGCCTCTCTGTACGGGAATGCAGGGACCTGGAGAGGTTACCATCGGATAGATGGAAGCGAGCATGACAGGCTTGGTCAAAACACGATCTGTACCAGAACATGTATTTGAGGCGTTGGCAACGAGGAAGGAAGGAAGGAAAATGAACAATGTTGCGAAATGCAGCCGACGCCCTGCATGGAAAGTGATCGTCCGCCGCGCTCCTCTTCAACCAATGATCGGCTCAACTGAGGTCTCACGTTTCCTTGCGGGTGGTTGGCACTACTCAATCATGCATGCTTCACGGACACCGACCAGACACTTCCTCTTCGCACTATTAGGTACGACACATAATATAACATGGGCATTTTCGAACTCGCAGTATAGCAGGCCCGGGGCCGTTCAATTCTTGAGTCGAACAGCGACAACCTGAGAAGCCGCTTCTGATGCATCGGTCTACGGCTCGCGAATGTCCCTACAGATCGATACGATACGATACAAGCGACAGCCCTTCGAGAGAGACGTTCTGCTGCATTTCGGACATCGAAAATGTCGTGATCGGACTGACTCTTCACGAAATGTGCCCACGGACCTCAGAGGCTGCAGTATGAGGCAACCCAATCAGGCGGCCAGCGGGGCACGCGACCTACCTGCACCCCCAACGTCACAATCGGCAAAACCGCATGGGGAAAAACACAGCGCGATCGACGCATCATCTACACGCCGGGCGGGCTGTGAGTTGCATTGCGTCGCAGGGGATAGCAAGATCACGCCGCATTGGTTGCGTTCGATGCATGCTTCTCTTGGTACGACTTCGTGTATTTGTATAACAATACTCCCACTCTATCCTGAATCACGGTTACTGCTAGGTGACGCTGGCCTCATCTTGGCTGCAAAAACGAAGCGGCATTTTATTGAATTCGACTGAAACCATTACAGCGCGGCTCCACGTCATCTTGTCGATACATTCTCCCTTTTGGCATCATTGTCGTCACCAACGATCAACTCCGGGTACTCCACAGTCAAAGCCATCGAGGACACAACATCACGGATGAATGACTGCGTAGACCAGAAACCACCATCGAAGCTCATATCAAACCTATGCAGAGACGTCCACCGGGGACTTTCAATCAGCCTGACGCTCTTCCACTGATCCCTACGCATGCGAAATGAGCAGGAAAGATTCCTTACCAGTAATTGACCGAGCATGCGAAGCCCTCCTTCCCGTTGCTCTGCCCGACCTTGTGATACCACAGTGCCGGCAGATACATCATGTCGCCTTCATTCAAAGTGACATGTGTTGGACGAGAGAATCGTGAGAATTCCGATGGTCGATGTTCTGGATCATCGGGATCCCACGTTGCTACCGGCACGGGCTCCGCAGTCTCATCCGGGCAGGCGATTAGCTCTGTCGCATCACTGCCGTTGCCAGGTCGATACCGACCGCGGTCGAGTGATACATCGTTTACGCTGGGTGCCTCCACAGGAGGTAGCAAAGTGAAGTGCTTCTGGCCGCGGATCTGAACGTAGATGTTCTCGTAGTTGTCCTTGTGTAAGGCGGTTGTGGAGCGGTGATTGCCGAGCCAGAAGTTGATCGCGTCGGGCTGCTGTTCGAGCGCCTCGGTCGCGAAGGGGATGGTCGGAGGGACGTCCGCGAAGAGTGCCTCGTATTCGGCGCGGAGATTGTCGTTCTCTGATCATGTGGCGTCATTTTCAGTCGGTCGTGGCAGCCGATTCGGGGAGAGACAAGTTATGCGGCGCGGGACTCACGAGTTTGAGCATATTTGACGTTGCCATTGTGTGTGCTGATGTTACTCGAGCACGAGGACGAATCGATTTGGACGTAATCTAAGAATTCTTCAAAGCCTTCGTCGATCTCGTACGGCTCCACAAACATGATGCGACCGTGCTGATCCTCGACCACCGCGTCTGCATTTCTACGGCACTCGATGAGAAATACGCCGAGACGAGATAGTGACTCAAACGTACCCCAAAGGTGTGATTGCTACCTTGACCTTGCGTGATCGCATCGTTTCGCGCAAGTATTTCGCATTCCACAACCGCGTGGCCTTCCAGTCTCGTGCACCATTTCTCACGATAAATGGCCTATTCTTGGCCACATAACGATGGAAGCCCAGGGCTGTGGGAATGGTCGGTAATTCATCGACCGTCGAAGAGTTCAGCTCATGATATGTTTCAATCAACGAAATCAAGGCCCTTCTCGAATTCATGTCTCTCGGCGATGCAATAATCAATTTATTGGATAGCAGGCATTCGATAGAAATGCACATGTTCCATTTACAGGGTCCGTGCGCATTTCTGGCACTGTACAGAGCAACGACGAAACACGCGATGCAATTCATCATGTTGTCTTCGGGGCGTCACTAGCGCACATGTCATATATCACTCCCAAAAAGATTTTTCCCTACTCTAAATCAATTCTTACTTTTGATACAAATCCTCGTCAAGCTTAGTCTCCTCCTGCCAGCTTTGCTTGATCCATTCAGCTGAAACTATCCGTGGAATATGCCTTCTCGTAGCTGCGATGTTGCGAATATCGCTTACCGATGAGACCGTAGCCGGTACGATAACATGACTAATAGGATCGGAGCTTTGAAGTGATTCGACAACATTGCCGCCCGCGAGCGCGAAAGTTCGCTTGAGATTGGCAGGGACAGATTTGTGAAAGTAGGCTGTCAAGCCGTGGAACATCCAGCCAGGCAGTACATCAAGCTCCTCGTTGTGGGCCAAGAGCTGTTCCAATACTCCCTGGGCGTCAGGTTGGAAATCGTCCTCGAATTTAGAGGGCATGGTCTTGAATAATTCGAGGAGCTCATCAGCCGTCACATCGCGAGCGTAACTATCACCATATTCATCGACGTTGTTGTCGAACTTCCCCTGATCACTAGCTCGAGTATGGAAGATATGACTAGGTTCGTAAGGTAGCACTGAGCCATAACGGTTGACATTGCGCTCGTTCTGTGCGATGGAGTCGAGCAGCCAAGACGGTTTTATCAGATTTCGCTCGTCTTTCTTGATGAGCGAAGCAACCTTGACAAGTTTGCGGTCCGCGATGATTATGGTTGCAGGATCCTTTTCCGAAGCGACCACTTTGCCACCGTTCGCCTTGACCAATTCTTCGACTTCCGCTTTCGTCTTTTTGATGGGTTTGGGCGCTTCAGTCATGATAAAGAAGCTAAGACCTTCGAAAACTTTTGTCGCAGGTCCAGCATATGGGGTTTTGACCTCGCTATCATTTCCCTGAATGACCATTGCCCGCTTACGCTTTCGTCTGTTCTTCTGTCGCTTTTCATCATCAATTTTGAGCTTTTTCTCTTCTTTCTCACCTTCGACTTGGCTCTTGAGCTGAATGAACTCATCGAACGATAGTGCCTGTTTCCAGTCCTTATCCGTACGTAACTTCTTGAAGCGGGGGAACCGTAAAGTGACTCCAGTTCGGAACGACTCGGTACTACCAACCGATGCAGCCTTGACTGAGAGGATAATGGAATCTTCGGGCTTTATCCAGACATCAGGCTTTTCGTGCTGGCGATCGCCGCCAGCCAGCTCTATCCAGTCAATTGGCGGTCTTCTGGCATTCCAATCATGCCACTTTCCTTCAGTCCGATGCCTGATCTCGGCATAATCGGATGCCGCAAATCCGCCGCCGACTTTGAAGAAAGACCAACATTTTTGCTCGTTGACACCATGACTGAGCAGGGCCTGCGGAACTTTGAGGCCACACATGAAACTACTCAAAGCTCCGCCACGCTTTCCCGAGCCATAATACCCACCGATCACCACACAGTCTAGAGATTCGCCAAATTCGGTCATATACTCCGGTTTGACTTTGATCCAATCGTCATTGCGCTCATTTAGACGATATGGTGAGCGTGGATTTTTCAAGACCAGACCCTCACTGGCTTCTGCTACAACCTGACGAAGCACCGGTTCAACTTCGGATGCAAGCCGTGCTTCTTGGTAGCCGTGAATTTCGAATCGACGGTGGACGTCCTTCACACTTGCTGAGAGTGCTTTGCGTCGATCTCGAAGAGTGTACCTCGTCAAATCCTTGTCATTCAGTAATAAGCAATCGAAGATACGAAAGAGAGGTCGATTGCCTGTAGCGTAGGGATTCTCGCGTTCGGCAAGCGCTGCGGTTTTGAGAGTGCCGAATGGAACTATTGCGTCTTCCTTCGGATCCCATGTGATCATCTCACCATCGAGGATGATGTTGCGGACACCATCTGAGAATGCACTCTTGAGATGTCGAGTCAACGCACCCTTTTCGTCATCAAACCCAGATCCATAGAGGTAGCAGTAGTCCTTGGCCTTCCGTGACCAGAATCCGAAGCGCTTGCCGCCCGGGGTGTTTGGGTCGTCGATCATGTGTAGTTGCATGCGTTCGCCGTCAAGTTTCTCTTCAATCCAGAACACCGGATCTGACTCCGTGGGATTCATCTTCGATACCATATGCTCCATCGACCGCATTTGGAATGCGGCCAATTGTGGTTGGAAGCACTGCATAAGCGATATGCTGCAATCGTCACCCTCCAGTCGCAGCTGCGGGTCTGACAACTCCCAACAAACTCGGCGGAGACTGCTCGATATGTTGAAGAGGTTCTCCGCATCTGGATGCCAGACATCGAATATTGTCTTTTCAGTGGCGCCAATCTTCATTTGGCGTAAGATCATTCGCAGCAGCCAGAGGAGCTCCTCGGCATTCATGCGCTTGTAGAACTCCTCCATTATTGGCCGCTGATTCTCCTCCTTTTGCGCTACCGAGAGACGATCTAAAAGCCCATTGACTTCTGCAATGGTCATATCGCCCGGGGCTGTGCGCATCGGTCGCTTGCTGATAACTTCATAGCAACGACCTGCGAAATCGCCCGCCATGACACTTGTAGATTTGACGCCCGGCAACTTCCAGTGCAAAATGTTGTAGCCATCTTCACTGTTCTTGTCGATTTTCATGATGCTGACAAGAAGTTTTCCCAGCGTTGCCTCTTTCAATCCATACATTCCGCGATCACGATCTTTGTCGGGAATTATTAGGCGGAGGGCAGGGTAGATATCGCTGCCGACTTGCGTTCGCCATCGTCCGATGAAACGTTCTATGATACTCCTTCGGATCTCGTGGGGTGCATGGATCGCTCCATCAGGACCAACTTTACGTCGTGCGACAATCGGTCCAGCCGGCTTCTTCTTGTTTTCGCTAAGCGGATTGAACAATGTGAGGAATAAATCGTGAAATGGCAATGTCTTGGAGTGGTTATGTGGTCGATTGGGATATTTTTCGTCGAGTTCTTTTTCGGTCATAGAGCCATGGCCGTACATCAGTTGTTCCTCTTTCTGGGCTTCTGAGACGTCAAGCTCCATTTTGTCATTTGCCATGGTTGCGATGCGATGCTAAACGATGCGCTCAACGTCAAATATGTCTCGTGTCGTTGCGATTTCGTTGGGTTGGATGAACGAGATCAACTTGGAAGTTATCAAACAATTCGCATGTCTGTCATTTATGATTGCCGGGCACTCGTCAAATGGCAGTCGTCGCTCGGGCGCCCGGGCGTACAATGTGACGATTAAAGTGAGGCAACCACGCGCAAAGTGCAGGCAGCAGCGGGTGAAGCGCGCGTGTCAACGAATGTGCCACATTGACTTGTTGGGGAGTCTATACCATCGCACTCCGACGGCATGTTGCCGAATTGTGACAAAAACGGGCTCAGATTCAATCAATAATGCCGGCTTTGTTGTGTGTACACGAACATTCGACGTCTGGTTTGATCTGTATCGCAGCTACGTGCTCCGTCGGTAGTGAGATAATAGCTCTGGAAACTGGCACACTTTCAGAATCTCCTCTCGCAGGGAATGCGCATGGCACTTCCACGAGGCTGAGAGGATAGCCATTCAAGTGACATTCACTACTCAGCCTGATGTTATCGAAATTTAGGTAGAGTTTATCGCGATACCCGGAATCTCCCCCACTGGGTTCATCATATTCGTCAATGCTAAATATACATAACGCCGCCTAGGCGCCACCAACTCATCAAAGGTTCATATTCCCAGATCGTGCGCCAACGGTTTGCCGCCGACATAGCTCACGAAAGCCGAATAAAAGAGTTTTCGCCACGCATGACCCGGTCGCCGTTCCCCATGCTCCAATGATCTCCTTGCTAGACCCAATAACTCTCTCCACTGCGAGCAATGATAAACTCACATCCAAGTCCCTGTCCCTGTTCCTGTAGCCGGGCCTCGTAATCCTTAAGTTGTGAGAGGATATTCTCACTGACGTGCGGGCCATCCTTGAGCGTATCCTTGACATGAATGATGATGACCTGGATCCCACGAAGCGGCATATCTTCTCCAAGATTAACGCCTATACCGGTTTCGCAGCGGCGAGGCGTTGATGACGATTTCGGAGAGAGTGGTCCGCTACGTACAGCGTCTACTTGGCTCTCGAGTTGAAGGGTCGGATGTGCAGTAGGTCCTGGTGCGACCTCTGAAATGAAAGGCGCCGTCGGTGCAGGTGCTGGAATATGAGTCAATGTATCGGGCACAACCCCCGGCTCTGTCACGCGATGACTTTGTTGATGATCCTGCCACGTGCTGGATCGTGTCACCATACTGCGGCTTCGTTTCCGATCATGCTCAGGGAGCAGAAGTCCGTTCGCCGGCGCCGAACGTTTCCGCTTTTTGGCGCCCTTTTCCTCCATCTGCCGATGAATCTTGGCTTCTTCAGCTAAAGCAGCGAGATTTTGCAGTTCTGTAATCAGGTGTCGAGGATTCATATGTCCGAACAAAAATGCATCGGCTTGAGAATCGTCGTAACTGCATTCGATGAGAATCGCGCCGAGGAGACCATTTGCGATCTTGCGTGCCGCTTCGGTCCACACGATTTGATTGCGAGGAGACAGGGATAGAGTATCAGGTTCAACATCTCCGAAGAAAAGAAGCTCCCGCGAGGTTTGATCATCCCGAATGAAGAAAGCTGTGCTGTCCACCACGCAAGCGCCATCCAAGGGCATTGCATGAGGCGACTGATGCGCAGTATGGAAACTCGTACGGGTTGCGCCTGGAGTCCCTGGAGCAGAGAACTGGTGCGATGTCGATAATGACCGATGCGTCGACGAAGCCGAAGATTCGAGCGCGAACGCCTGTGCAGAGGTATTATACGTCGGTGACGCATCCGTTATCCCGGCACCGCTCCCTCGATGCTGATGCGCCGGGGGACTTTTTGTGCATACCCCATGCGACACCTTGAAGGCTCTCACCCCCAGACCGTCACACACATCGATGTAGCCTCGTCCTTCGCCCTCACCGACCATTGCATCTCCACCCTCTTTCAGTCGTTGGAATGTGACAAATCCCACTCCGCCGTCCTCATCGGTAAGGTTTGGCCAGATTACATCGTTGAAGATGTGCCTTTTCATCGCTTCAACAGTGTTCGGTAGAGCGGCGACAGTCTTCGGCCGTGACGTCGCATGGAATGCTGCGGTATTGATCGCGAATCCAGCTAGATGGTCCAGGTGAGGATGTGTGATGAGATATGCTGAAATGTAGGATCGCAGTAGATGCATCGCGTTGGCGCGAGCGGACCTGTCTGGGAATTTCAAACCAGCAAACGGGCCCGACTTAAGGACTGTCGCTTCTGGCTTTGGTGCTTCGGCCTTTACTGCTCCGCTCTCATTTCCCTCGTGAGACGCAACGCCATTTGGGAGCTGCGCAACTGCTTCGCTCGCCTTTGGCTTGCCATTGTATGTCAGAGGGAAATGTTCCTCCAATATTCGAGTGATAGGTGCAAGATGTGACCCAGCATCCACTGCTAACAGCGAGTTGCGCGCCCACTCTGTGGCTATTGAACGAAGCAGGAACCCGGTGACATTGTCCTCGCAAGGGCCGCCTCCCGAACCCAGGCAAACCACTTGTATAGCAGGCTTGCGACCATGTGCGCCCGCGTTTGCACTTTCTTTATCCTCACTCAGTACCGACATTGGTGCTCCGGGCTAGCAAGCCTGGTTAGGCAAATATCCAGTGCGAACGTCCGCACAATAGGGCGCCCGATTCCACGGTGCACCCTTCCTTTCTTTAACCAGATTTTTGTGGTGAACAGGAAACGTAAAGGCGATTTGTTGCAAGAAATCGGCTTTGCGCACGATCGGAAACAAGGACCGTGACACGTGCTCCTCTGCCTAAAGCGCTCCAGCGCGTGGGAAGATTCTTGGCACTGGATCGAAAGTTCAATAACGTCGCGGAAGTTGGCAAACGTGCAAATGGCGCATGGATCCCAGCGTCGGGCGATGGTCTTGTTGAGGTCTTATGATATACTGATGTGCGTGTGCTGTGCCGCGGTCGGAAAGATTGGCGACAACGTCTCGAGTCGGGTTGGTCTGTGGAGCAGAGGCCTTGCGGTCTAGAATGCGCCGGCTAGATTTCGCGTCCCTTTCGCGATCGAGCCGCTCTCGTGCTGAAGCAAGGATCAGGGAAGCAGGGAAGACATTAGAATGGTTGTGAGGGATGTCATGAACGAATCCCCTTCCCATAAGATCGGAATTGTTTAACCAAATGAAAGGGTCAAATGTCTTTGCGATTGCGTCAGCCACTGTATTGAAATATGGTTCGGCATCGGTAATCAGGGTGACACATGTAGGCACTTGCCACATGCTGAAAGGTCCCACGGGTCCCCAACGCGCGAGACCCCATAAGTTTTCGGAGTGCCATTTTCATGTTTCATTGCCCCTGTGAGAGTGCTGTACAGTACCGTTGACACACCGACGTGTAAGCAATTAATTCATATGCGCGGGCAACAAGGATGGTTTTGGTCAATGACCATGGCATCGATGGATATGTTCAACCCAGAGTCCCAGACGCGATACTCTTTCCAAACTAAAGATTTCTAGCGCATTGCCGTTTTTAGACAACCTGGGGAGGAAACCTGGGGAGCGTTTGTTCGCCCCTACACATTGCGGCGCTCAAACACGTTCAATCTCGAAGGACGTGCCCGACCCACGAAGCATGAGCAGAGCCTGATACAGTCAGAAGCAGCCCAAGATGCGGTCAGGTGGATAGCACAAAAGCTCGCATGAGAGCTTCAAAATGATATTGAAACAATGTGGTATACTGCTAGAACCATGATTCCTCCACACGCTGAATGCCAGACAAATGCAACGATGCAGGTAAGAAAGTAGGAATATGAAAACACAATCACAACACAACCAAGTCCACATTGCTGAAATCTGGCGGACTCTTGCGGAACACCACTCGTCCTTTGTGATCCAACGCTGTACCGTCATTGCTCATCCAAATGGCAGTCTTCTGCTGAGAGTCGACTTCGACCGTGCTCATCTGCTTTGTGCGTCGAATCTCATCATCGCTCACTCCGAGTTTATCGCGAGGAATCCAGACGACCGGCCGACGTGCTCGCAGCGCACTATGCTGAAACGCGTATCGAACCAGCAGATCGCGATCTTCTGGAGCTAGGTCTTCGAGATCTTCGGCAAAATCGCCGTAGAGGACGTCGCCGATACTCTTTTGTGCTTCCGTGTCATGTTGCGGCTCTCGGCGTTTGCCGTCCGCCAAGTAGCGCAATCGTGCAACAGCGTCAGGGCCGACCTTTCGTAGGCCTTCTGCTGTGAAAGGTTGCCGGGCACGAGTATGCCAAGCATTCTTCTGGTCTATGGGAAGAGAGGCCAAGGTCTTTGGAGCACTGCCTGAACGACCATCTAGGACAGGAGTACCTTCGACTGGATCCTCAGCAGATCTCTTCTCCTCGCTGCTTCTCCACAGCCTCAGCTTTCTTTCGTGTCTTTCAATCTCGGTCAAGCCTTCTTCAAATTCTTCCTTATCCGCGTCAGAAGAATGGTTGAACTTGGCGGCCTGAATCCGGGCGAATTCGGCATCCCTCATCACTGCTTCGTCCTCCAGAGTAATGGGCAGGTATTCGAAAAATGGCGCGAAGGCACTGTTAAGCAATATTTGATAAACGGCAGTGATGATCAACATGGCTATCATGATACCACCTTGTGGAAAACTTGAGCCGGTCGTCAAGGTGAAGAACAGACCGATCAGGCAGAGCTCGAGGAAGTAAATTCCGACGAAGAGCTGATTGATTGCCACGGGAAAGAGGCGCCCGCCAGTGTCAGTCTGCTGCGCGTTCACGTAGAGAACATTGAACCTGTAGACTATCCAGAACAGCGCAAAGATGAAGAGCATGAAAACCAGAATCAGAGGAGCGATCATCGAGTAGATGATGCCGATCACGGCGAAATTGGTGAACACCGGGAAGAAGGATCCCCATTCGACTGTGCTGAGCTGAGTTTGGCGCTTAAACTTATCTCGAGCAGTAGAGTCGGCGATTGAGGCCCATACAAACCACATGAACAGAGTGAAAGTCTGAAGGAGGGCACCTGCTGAATTGCCCAACGCCTGAACGATGAGGTATGAGTAGAAATATGTCGCTGCGCCCGGAAGATTCTGTGCCAAAGCAGATGGAACAGAGATCGGATTGTCGGCAATGGCATTGAGGAACGTGGTAATACCATTGACAAGGGAAACCAGGAGGAAGACCAGGATGAACAAAAATGCAAAGTACCACTTTTGCACTCCCAGCTCGCGAATTGTACCAGTAGGAACGCCTTGCTGCGTGATCAATGCACGGAAGATCAGCGGGGCCAACAGAAGGATCAAGCTCAGTAGGACTGGAGGCAAGACACCCTGAATGATCGAGGTGGCCACACTCGATGAATTGGCGATATCGGTCAGCCAAGGTGACACTCCACTAAGAGTCGTGACCTTGTTGAGCACGGAGGTGAAGGCGACGGGCGCAGCCCAGAGAACCGTCATGCCAGCGCAGGCGAGGAGCACCAAGAAAAAGCGCAAGTAGCGTTCCCACCACTTAACAGCCATATTGTCCCAAATGACGTCGCCAGGACTGATCTCAACGATGCGAGGGGCCATCTGAAGCGGAGCATGATGATTGAGCGATTGGCAGCACATATGGGCTGCAATCTGATGATTGAATTGAATGAATGCTGAATTCATTAATGGAAAGCGCTCGGTTTCGTTCTGGTCTGCTTCGATCTCAGTGTTGAGACGGGCTAATTCGCCACGCAAGTAGTATATCTTGTCCACTTTCTTGCCCATGAATGGCAAGGCGAAAAGCCATGGCCGAATCGGCAGACGTTTAGTAGCTCGGTCTTTCTCGGAAATATAATTGCGCCAGACTGCTTGTTCCTCAGCGGCGATGGTGTTTAGGTCTTCGCGCATGGCTTCCGGGTATGCAATCTTAGCCTCAGTAGACGATTGCTTACCAAATGAAACTTTTTCGGCCATCTTGCTTTTGGAGAATTTGTCGTCGTGCTTGTCGTTCGACTCTGAGGTGTCGGCACTGAGTGGAAACTCATCATCTGATTCTGCCACGTGAGGTCGAGGGGAGGGGACTGCGAGAGATCTGTCGTTGTTACCGAAGATACTCCAGAGCGCATTGTGCTTCGTTGGCGCGTGTGGCTCTTGTATCTCCAGACTTTCTGCGGGCCTAGTATCGGAAGACGGACGGACGACGTTGACGCTCGGTAGACCATGGTCGACACCATCAGAGCCTGTCGGTGAGACTCGCTGAGCGTGGTAGGAGTCACGATTACTGGCAAAGGGGTTGGGTTTCTGCGGTGGCAGTTGCACAGACAACCCAGCGGTGACCTCTTTTGCTTCCCGTTTCGGAAATTGCGAGCGTAGGTCTCGTCCTGGGTGCGCCTCTTCGGGAGTAAGACTTGAATCCGAAGCATGAGCTGTTGGATCACGATAAAGCGAGTCGTCGTCGACGTAGCTTGCTCCGAGACCTGGAATTCCACTCGTGTTCGCTTCATCAGCCATGTGATCTATGCCTTTCACGGTTTTGATAAGATTGTTGTCCACGTCTGCGATGACGCGACCTCCCAACTTTCCAAAACCCTTCCCGAACTGTCCAAGACCTTGTCCTACCGCACCAAGTCCCTGTCCTACTAATCCAAAGGGATTGTTGTTCGAGTGCGATTTCTGCAGTTCTTCATGCTGTCGACGCTCTGTCTCTAAGATCTCTTGCATTCCTTCCGACACTTCATGCTGTTCGCCAGCGCTCACGCCTCGGCCTTCAGCCATCTTGCGGGCATCTTTGTCGTCTCTTTCTTGGTCCTGTTTCTTTTCCTCCCTTGTCTTCCTCTTCCCACCTTGTGCTTTAGCTCTTTTCTTCTCGGCTTTTGCATTCTTTCTATGGCACAATACAATGAGGCTGGTCTCGGCAGATTCGAGCTGGCGTGCAATGCTGTCCCGTTGCTTCACTTTCTTCGACAGTTCATCGTAATTGCGATTAATCCAAATATTGCGGATGCCACCTGGGAAGACATCGTATAGGCCAGAGAGGGCTTCGAATGTCAGCCACTTATTGGGGATCCCTGCTACGAGTACTGTAGTAGCTGAGGCGCGAATACGATGCTGGGGGCTGGTCAAGTATGCTTGTCGTACTCGAACATAGCCTCGGAGCTCAGTGAAGACGACGTAGAACACCCAGAATATGAACAAGACAGCAAGGATCAGATGCGCCCAGAGCTTGCCCCCAGCCCCGGCACTGCTAACATTCTGTATCGAGTAAGCAAAAAGCCCATCTTGGTCGCCACCACCAGTCTGGTTGATTGGAAGCAGGATCGGCAGCACGAGGATTGATGTCGGAAGGAAGATCTTGAGGAGCAGTCGAAGATAACGCAAGAAGAAATATGCATCAAGACCACATCTCTGGATCAGTGTCAGGTTCGTGGTGGTGAAGATCGGGTAGAGCCATCCGATGAGACCTCTCGGAGGCTGTGGCACACGTTGTGATTTCGGTACAAGATAGGATCTCGGAACATAGATTCTTGTGAGGCGTAGGCGTAGTAAGATGAAGGCTAGAAACTGGATCCCAAAGCCACTAAATGCAGCGATGATGGAGGCCTTGAGTGTGTTCGGGGTCTGCGCGGCGTTTGGACTGCTAGCACAATTGAGCAGGCCGAGGAAGGTGCTGGGATCGCATCCATTCCCACTCGAGGTGGAATTATTTGACATGGTGGTTTACGCGAAGAATCGAACCGTCCAGGCTTGACAATCCCTCTAATTCGTCTCTTGGGCTCGGATTTGTTCTATTGAGGCATATTTGTTGAGGTGTCGATTCTCCGCTCTCCAGTCCAGATCACTAATATTATGAGAGTTCAAGGAGTTGTCGAAATGACGGTGGTATTGAAAGGCGATTTTCTCTCCAGGAGAATCTAAGCACAGGTCGTAGAAAGGTCGAAATATTAAAAGTCCGTGGAAAGAATGCCCACGTAGGTGTCGATAATGCTGGTGTACACCTCCAAAGACGCGTGCGGCAGTCACCGTTCGAACTTGGAAATTACCGCCCGTCGAACTGGTTGTACCGCCATTTGGGGATGGCACAAAGACGTATCGATGACGTCGGCATCACTTGGCTTCTGCGCCCAAATTCTGCCAAGCTCGTAAGGGGCGCTTATCACCCATTCTTTTCAATATGTGCATGCCAATGAGTGGATGATACATATGTACAGTACTGTACTATACAGGCTCGTATATTGCGTGTAACAATCACGTACATCGCAGACTCTCTGTATGTTCATAGATCGGAATCGTGAATTTGTCCGGCACATATTCATCACGGCGGAGCACGATGTCCGCGATTTGCACAGACACATGAACATTAGGTGCTTACAGTACACGCCCCTGATCTCGAGGAAGCGAGAAAATCATCCGCTGTCCGCAGACCATGCAGTCCAGTTCTTCTGAATATCTCAACTATGGTAACCTCGATTGTGGAATCGTTTGGTATCATTAATACAGGCTATGTATCGCGGCGGAGAAATAAATGCAGTAATCGCCAACACCCAACATCTAGAACCAACTTTTTGACTTTTTCGCCTTCTCATCCTCGGCTTCAGAATCCGTGTCGGTATCGGTGTCACTCTCGTCGTCGACATCTTCATCTGTATCACTTTCATAATCGCTCTCGACCGCCTTTTTCACCTTTTTGATCTTCCGCGGCTGTGATGCATCCGCAGTCGCTTGTCCTTTGAGAGCTGCCATCTGACCAGCGATGGAATCTGCAATATTGTTAGCATATATGCCTCGGACACCAACGTAGGTTTAACCATGTCCTCACCTTCTTCGGGCTCTGAGATATCGTCATCTTCGTCGACCTCTACAGCCTTGCTAGCGTCCTCTACATCAAGCACAACATCCTGTGATTGATCGAAACCAACATAACTGTCACTAATGAGATGCATTCTGAAACGGAATTCTCCGGCTTGGGGCGGAGCCGCGAATTGCATCTTAAGCGTGACAACGTTGAACGTAGGTTTACCCTCGTTGTCGAAGGATTTCTTGTCAAAAACTTTAAACGTGAACGGAGGTACCGCAATCTTGCCCTGGCGAGTATCTGCGAGGAAAAGGTGCCACCGAGGAGCATGATCGCGTGTGTAGTAAGGCGCATGTGCGAGTGGTATCGAGTGACGCTCTGGCTCCGCTTTTTGTGCTAAGATGTCGTTTTCGGCTGGGTCGATATCCAACAAATCAGCCTCTGAGAGTGCTGGGATGCTCTTTTCGGGTGTGCCTGGCGGGATGAAGCGCGCCTTCACCACAAAGTGAACCAAAGACGAAGTAATGATGTACTTCTCGCCCGGCACTTTGAAGAAAGCTTTCTCGACGCGCAAGAAAGGCAGTCGTCGTGCCAAGTCTTCCGCAGACTTCAGATTATCCATCGGCAGGCCCGCCGCTTGAGCTGCTGTTTGGCGTTGTTCTACCGGCAAAGCCATGAATTTCTGGACCGTCAAGGGTGTCTTGTCAGTGATCACCGACTTTTCGATCTTCTTAGCGATCTCAGCGGTGATGTGGGGCAGTTGCAACAATGGTATACCCTCGCTCTTCGTTGGTGGCACAGCTTGAACTAGGCTCTGGCTGAGATGAAAGGAAGACACAACCGGAGAAGTAAAGCCGTAAGCGAGGCACATGTTGGTGAAAGCATCGTTGATCTGCATCGCGGTTGGTGGCAGCTCATATTTCTCGGCTTCCAGAGTTTTATCGTCCAGATCGGCTCGCGTGAGATAAGACCATAGTAGAGCCAGGGCCTTCCGGTGGACAGGGTCTTCAATGCCAGCAATGACCTTGATATCCTGTTCGGAAATCAATGCACTTTCTGAACCAATAGTGGCAAGCTTCTGTTCGACTTTTCCAAGACCAGCATCGGCTTTCACCCCGTGAAGAATGGATTCGTATTCGGTGGCTGTGCTGACAGCACCGAGCACATCACCGGGCTCCATGCGTTCTTTGAACTGTCTGAAGATGTTTCCTGCACTTGATACCAAGATACGCTCCTTCGTCACCTTCTGCATGCCGTACCACCACTTTCCGACCAACCAGGGAAGTCCAATTCCGAGCAGGATTCCGTATCCAATGAGGACATATTTGCCGCTTCCCTCCGCCACAAGGAATTGAGGCAACGCAATGCCGAACGTGGTGCTCTGCTTGCCATCAGGGTGGCCGTACAGGATGTAGTTGTTTCGAATATCCTCGTCAGTCAATGCCTTGTAGGCCTTGACAATCTCCACCCATTCATCGTTGACTAGCTCGGCAGTCTCGTTGAGCGCGGCATTTGGTCGGCGTTTATCAGGGTGCATAGTCGTGGAGAGTTTTCGGTAGCGAGAATTGATCTGCTTTTCGGTCGCAGTGAGAGAGACTTTGAGAATGTCATATGGATTCCAGACAGTGGGTGTGTTCCGAGCGGTTACAACCATGAGATAGACCATGTATCCAATCAGAGCCCAACCAAGCAGCGCGGCGACAATGCGCTTGAGGCGCAGATCCTTTCGCTTCTGCTTCGCACGCTGGGAATCGATGATGTCCGCATGATTTGGTCGGAAGGGAGATTCGATGCGACCAGCTTTTGCGACATTGGAAGAATCGGTAGGCGATCGAAGGAGAGAAAAGGTCAGCGGGAGGGTGACCAGTGCCGTGACGGTGACGATGAAGAAAGGAAAATATTGCGCCTCGGCGTCGTATGTCTGTTCATTCGACATGGTGGGCACGCGAGCATTGGTGCATGAGTGGCACCTTCGGGATCGATTTCGCGGATGAAATAAGAATTCCCAGGTGGTCGATTTTGGATAGCGAGGTCATAGGTGGCCTCTCGCTGACTGTACATACAGAAAGGACTGTGGACACCTCCAGGGCTCAGCTGCGGCGGTTTTCGAAGCCCGAGGAAGGATTTTGGCCAGCCGGGGGCTGTAGTATGTACTACACCGTGTAGAAATTATCAGGCCAAGCGGGACCCTGCACCAATTTGGGCAGCACTTTCATGGTCACTTTTCGTCAATGTCGCCAGCCCGCATCGAGTGCAGGGGCTTCGGCCGCGGGCAAGCTCGAAGGCCTGCCGCCAACGGTTATTATGCAGGTGCGTATAATGATAGAGATTCCAGGTGGAGAACATTCATCACTCGTCCCAATTGTTCTTTATTTTTGTTGTAGCAGGTATGTTTGCGCCCAAGGTTATTAGCATTGGTCCCCCGCGCCCCGCTTTGCCCGCCTTTTCCCGCCGGCAAACACAAGATTGTAGGACATATCATCTCTGTATGCGTGACATAGATACGTACTGTGATCAAATGAGGGACAGCTGCACGATTGACGGAATGCTCATGTGCGTTTGTGCTATTCGTCATCACACGATCTAAGTGCTGACGAAACGACCATGAGTACAACATAGCTGACTCGCATCAGCTCCGCTCTGGGACCGCCTAGCACTGTATCATTTATTTTATTAGAGATTTATCTGGCCGGTCAGCCATTCTCTGGGCCAGACTTGCGGACTCAGTACGTCCCTTGGGTATCTCCGCGCCGGTCCAATCCTGGTCGGCGCGATACGATGCCTGGTTGCTTTTGGCGCCGTGTGCCCTCAAAGAGCGCCAGTACCGACGACATGACGAAGGCTTTTTGAAGAAATCTTTGTCAGAGCCAGTCACAGAGGAGCAAGCACAAGGTTGCAATGGTGGACTGGCCTCTAAATACCCCCACTGGTCGGGCACTCGTGCGCCAAAGGACAAATAGTATATCGCTATGAGTTGCGCGACTCCATGTCCGCTTGTACATTCCTTTTATATTGACTAGCAGTCACGGTCTTGACCAGCGCATTCGTTAATGGTATAATTGCCCTTCGAGTGAGAATCGCGAGCTACCTACTTTGTCCTCATCTCGAATCACTGCAGCTTCACTGGTACAACCACCACATCGACTGTCTTCTGAGTACCAGTTGGAACCGACCATTCGTCTCAGCCACCACGGAATCGACTATCTATCTGCATTGCGACTACTCGTGGAGGCTACATGGTCGTTGCCCGCGTGCCGCATCTTACGGTGACATCATTTCGAATGCGCTGTTCGTGCAGGGTTGATCATTGCAGCTGGAGGCCGTGAACGCCTTGTGTAAGCATCGCTACGAGAATCGCTGGCCACGTTATCTTCTGCAACCTCGCAAGACTACGCCAACAATTCGCATACACTCGTACACTCGAAACCTGTGGCCTGCAGCAATCACGACACCTCCGGATCAACCTCTTAAAACCTTCAACATTTTCGCCCGTGTAAGAACGCGGCGCATGGCGCCAACATCGGCTTCTCTGGGAGATGCCATGGACACAGATATCATACTGGGCGTGGCGTCAGAACAAGTTGCCAACATCGTGGACCAGATGCGAAATCTGAGCGTAGACCAATTGATTCACATCAAGCAACAGGCAATTCACCTCGCCAACGCCAAAGCACCATTTCTCCGGCTACCTCCGAACGTGCGCAAGATCATCTATACATACATGGTCCGAGATTACCTGTCACCCTTGACGGAAAAGTTCGATCACAACTGGTTGGACTCTCGACAACAGCCATCATTCTTCAGGACCTGTCGCCTGATCCAGCGGGAATGCGACCAGCTGTTTCCGGTGGCGCCTTTTCAAGTACTGGTCCTTCGCAACGATCGACTGTATCGTCTCGCAGAGCTACCATCAGATTGGCTTTCGTTCCAGGTTGGACTGAGTGGCTTGTCGCGCATGAAGAGTGACAGGCCCATGGACTCGATGAGGGACGCGGAGGAGAGGGCCAATGAATTGCGGGCATTGTTACAAGAACAGGGCCATTCCTCCGGCGTCATCGTCTTCAGAGAAGACCTACACATCGGACCCAAAGCTTGGTATACATATGAGCGCCCTGTGCACGCGGGGTGAGATCTGTGAGCTGCAGCTAATTGACGAAACGCCCATGGCTTGAGAGTCGCAGTGTTCTGCTAAACTGTGCCTGCTCGGCGGTGGGCACTTCGCGATGGTCGAAACAAGAAGGTCCAGATCCGCCAGGCGGCCGCTAACTCCTAGATGACACTGGCCGATAACGTCATACGGAGCGTGCGACGCCAGCAAGTCAGCCAATCGCGCAAGCACACCAGATGGGCCTCGCGCGGACTTTCACGCCCAATGGTCCCTGGTCGCCACGAGCCGAGGAAACACAGCACAACTCTGCGACAACGGCAGCCATTGAGCAAAGCGAACTACCACCGCGCAAAGGCGCGCATTGCATTCTTTTCATTATTGCGAACAGTGCCGCTATGAGCTTATGAGAAACGTCAACGTGACAAGTATTCGTCCGCTAGGGACAGGAAGACAGCACTGGCTAGCGGCGACAGCGAATAGTGTACTTGTAGCGTTACTTGTACAACAAATGAGACTTCATCTCCAGCCCGAACAAGTAATCGAATCCACCATCCATTCGAGTGAGCAACAATAAGTATCGTCGAGAGGTGACTGCGTGGTAGAACATCATTAAACCAAATCTTGCGAGACTAGGGTTGACGAACACTAGGGTTCATGCCAACCCTTAGTGCCCAAATCAATGTTGGCGCTCGTCGATGCTTCATAGCGCTTGCGGATACTCCATGTGACAAGGTCACTTCCGGCTCAGACTGATCGAGCTGGCACGAGATTGCGAGATGCCAGGGACAGCTTTGCCTGGGATCCCAATGGTAAGCGGTCGCCCTAGGGACCCCCGAAGGTGTCGACATGCACGTGTGCATCTAGCAGGATGACTTTAATGGACTGTTACCTCCGCCTGAGGAAGGGTGCTGGGGCTGCGTATCAGACAAGCAGCCGAGCTGTCCTCAACCTTGATGAAGGCGGTACAAAAGTCCATGGCGACAATGTCAAACATCGATCATGGAGTTTCAGCTTCAGCTTTAGCTTCATATCAATCGTCATATATGGCACGTACGAGCACACAATTCAACATGCTCAACCATCAGCTGGCAACGAACCTCGCGTTGGGGCCTCTCGAAGACTATTCATGTATCGATCTGGAAGATATCAAGAAACATATCGCAACACTTCGATTTCAAATTCTAAATGTACAAAATGCCCGCTGCCCGCTCCTGCGCCTGCCGGGCGAGCTACGCGACCTCATCTTCGGCTACGCCATGCTGGCCGAAGTCCACGATCGACGAGCGCGAGGGCGGTATAACCAAATATTCGGCGAACCGGCTTTTCTACGCGTGTGTACGCAGCTACGCGCTGATTTCGTCGATGTCTGGTATACTCGGTTCCTGGTCTGGGAGGAATGGGATCCGGTGAAGCGCTGCTGGAAGGACCTGCACCGGGGCGAGATCCGGAAAGTTATGATGACAAGATCGTCGAGCGGGCTGCGATCGTTGACGACGCAGCCGGTCTACTGCACGCTGGAGAGGACGAGGGATGCTGTCATGGCGTCGCGGAGCATTTGTCCTCGGATGGGTTTGGTCAGGACGAGCCGTGATCCGGCATTACCGCAAGTGAGGTGGTGGATCCAGTGATACCTTTCGATTCCGAAGATATCTCCTTCTGAGGAGTGGAGGATGTGATGATGTGAATTGTCATAGCGATTCAATCCCAGCAGTTGAATTCTTCGCTGTCGCCGGATTTGTGTTCGAGTTCAAGCGCGCACACATCTGAATAAGGCTTAGTCTGTCCACGGGCGTTGATCCAGACAGTAACAGCATTGTCGTCTTCGACGAAGCTGGTCGTTGCCCAGATAGTCCCAGGACGAAATCCACCCAAAGTATCCTTTCCACGTGCGTACTCGATCGCTCCATCGAGGTCCGGGATGAACCGATCAATCTGGATGCTCCGCACAAACGAACGGTAGCTGACATCTATCGAGTCAACCCATCCTTTGAATTTCTCGTCCGAGAGATATGGAAGCTGGATTGGCGTGCGGAAATAGACCTTGGCTGCATCCAGTCGCATTTGACTGCAGACTTGGAACCAGGCGGGCGTTGCGGTCTCTTGAGAGACGCCGTAAGGGTCGACGCTGATAGCGGCTGGCAGGCCTGCGCGGACAATATTATCCCTCAACTCTTGTGGAAGTTGAAGTAGTCGCGAATGTTGGCCATTCTCGGATCGTGTCTGTAGCGGCAGTCGTACGTCATTCAAATATTGCGCTAGTCGCAAAACTTCGCCGTTGGGCATGTCGCCGATAAGGGACTTGAAGTCGGAGGATGTGTATACAGCAGTCATTGTGACGATGAGTCTGGACCACAATTGATACCTGGCGATAGTGGATGATAGTGTACAAATTGATTATCACTTGGAAGTCTGACACGGCATATTGATGCTATTTGTACTGTAGGTGCTTGCCAAAAAGTTAAACACAACACCCCCGGGGCCGCGCGGTCCGCAGAAATGGTGACCGTTTGGGAGGATTGAACAGTCAAGACCAACTCGCAGCTTGGACCTCGTCTGGATTTCTGGGGTTGGCAAGCACGGTGGCACCACTCTACACAGGGCTAGATCGGCAGGGTCGAACCGATTCGATCCATCGGCATCATCATACCTACAGCATCTCACTTTGCATTGTTCTTCTCTTTTCTTGTTCCATGTGCTTGGGATCCTGGCAGCCTGTCCACCAAAAGCAATATCGTTTGCATGCCTCGATCCAATCTGACGACACCCTCGGATGTGAAGGCATGGCTCGAACATCTGGCAGCTTGCCACCCCTTTCTGAAGTGTACACCTACAGATTATCACTCAGGTAGATCCCGACAACCCTGAATGCGGTCTTCGTCAGCTCATCTTTGCATGATATGCACGTTTATGAGCTCGGATGAGAAGGAATTCTTGCCCAGTCTACGTACGGCGTCAGCAGCCCAGTCGCGTACGTGTACCGCAACGGGACTACATAGAGGTATTTTCGACGACGAGAGATGCATGCTGCACTTGCTAGCCTCGAGGCAGTGCATATACTGTGCACCACGGCTGTATACAAACTACCTTGTCGCAAATACGAAAATACCTAGGTATGCAGAGGTACACTACAGAGCCAAGCATCACGCGTGCGATAAATAACGTGGGCGCCCTCCAAGTCTGTGGCGCATTCGAGGTCTCGCTTGCAAGAAGGATTGCAGGATCATGGGGCCTGTTTTTGGAGCTCATGGCTCGTGGGCTTTTCTCGGCGACAAGGCGACAGTGGTGAGTTGCAGCAAACCCGCGACGTTTTACTCGTTAGTGCTTGCCTGTGGAGATCCTGTGCGTGTGAAATGTCACGTACTCTTCGACTGTGATTCGCTTCGGTGTGTTCTAAACTCATGCATAGACTACTCGGCACCGTCCTCGTCCAAGGCCGGCGAGATGCGGCGTTCCGCCAATGCGAGCAGGCATGATATTCAATATTGGGCTTCGTCCAGTTCCCAGCTTGCATAAAAACGATCTCAAGCGATCAATGGAAGCTTAGCGAGAAAGAGGTGTTTGCTCTTAGCACTTCCGACTTTTGCTCTATTCACAAAACACCATGCGTCTCATGGAGCACTAACGTTATGACATCTCTGGTCAATATCTAGGTGTACTATGCACTACTCATCGGCGAATGATGTGCTCATTTAGTGAAGGGGACTTAGATAATCGGTAGTGCTCGTGCTCCAACTGGAGTCTCCCCGACTCATGGACATTCGTAGTCCATGAATGCATTCCAAGGTTGTCACCCATATATGCGTCAGAGCTTACGCGTGTCCTGGGGCTCGGCGCTGGCTGTATAGAAGAGTGCAATGATCGTCACAATCCATCCTCTGCCCGATGTTTCGCCTGGAGAAGAACACGCAAGCCGGACCTCATTTTGCAGCCAGCGTCATCAAATCTAAGGGTCATCCCCGCGTGGTGCACAGCCGCACGTGATGCACACCTCCAGCCATTTTCCACCCTCAACTTCAATAATTAATAACTTTACAACGAG